GCAACCATCCGGCTGACTGGGTCAGAGACCTGGCGCTGGCGCTTGCTCTGGAGACGGAAGCCGAAGCTTCCTTCGTGCCTCCCCAGGCCCCCATCATCCCTTCTGGCGCCCCCGTCGTCAAGATTGCCGTGGCTGCCCCTCCTGCCCTTGATGTCGTTGCTGACATTGTTGCCAACCTCAAGGCCCTCGACCATGACGATCTCATCCAGGGATGGACCCGTGAGGAGGAGCACGAAGAGCCCCCTCCTCGCTACTACCGCCACTTCCGCGTCGAATACGGCACCGGGCCCGTCATCCCCGGTGGTCGTTAGACCTCATCATCAACAGACTGTGCGTGGAGACAACAAGGAGGAGGGAGGAGGAGGAGGAGGAGGAGGAGGAGGAGGAGGAGGAGGAGGAGGAGGAGGAGGAGGAGGAGGAGGAGGAGGAGGAGGAGGAAGGAGGATACGAAGTTCACGATTGTAAGAGTATGGAAATGATAACGAACACCACCCTTCGCAACCCAAGTTACCAACGTGCATTGAACTTTGTGATCCTTCGTGCTGTCGCGTTGCTTGTAGAACTACCTGTCGCAATGCATGATATCTTATAGACTTGAACTCTGTCCAGCGAGAGTCGGGATGCTCCTCGCTCTCAGTGGACATCGATCCTTTTCTATAGAGTATTCTGCATTTTGATGGATAGCTTTGCAGCTGTATCCCGCCCCCCCCCCGAGATGAAGTTTGGTAATTCTCTCACCCATCATCGTTGCAAGAACAACCTCTATCAAAATGCAGGAAAGTTCGTACATTGGGACATTGTCCGCTGAGAGTCAGGTCATTGTTCGCTCTCACTGGAGAACATCTCTTCTGTGGAAAGTACTCTGCATCTTGATGCATGGTTTTGCAACTGTATCTGGCCCCTGAGATATCGAGGCATGGTGTCTCTCCAAACCACTAGCATCGCGTGAACATACCATAAAAATGCAGAATAGTTATCAGATATGGACAGCGTCGACTGAGATGCGAGGTATTACTTCGCTCTCAGTGGAAAATACCACTTTGCAGCAAACATTCTGCATTTTGACGCATGGATTTGCAGCATTGCTTAGCCCCTAAGATGTTGACGCTCGCCGTCTCTCCTACTCGCTAGCATCGCGTGAACGTACTATAGAAATGCAGAATGACTATGAGATCTGGACAGGGTCCATTGAGAGCTTGAACATTCTATCCTCTCAGTGGAAACGATGCGTATCTCAGATAATCTTCTGTATCACGCCGCATGTTGCGCGTCGGAATAGCCAACCCCTGAGATATTGAAGCCTGACATTTCTCTCATACGCCATGGGTAGTGAAGTTGAGGCTCGTCTCCCAGCACACAAGTCAGAAGTTTGACGTTGCCGCTCCGGCGTGCATCGTCAGACGAGCAAAAGAAATAGAGTCTCGGAATGTAAAGTTGAGTCTTGAGCCGACGTCCTCTCTGTCTTTAGGCAGGGTCCATCCCAAGGCACTTGACTCATTTGGCGATGGAAAGGTTAGTCAATCCGACCGTACACCCTGTTCGCGATGGATTTGAATGGATGGGTAAACTGGTTCAAGAAGTCATGGATGAAGATGAGGTGCAGTCATCATGAAGATAACGGCTCTGTTTCCTAGCTCTTCCATGCAAGCCAAGACCTAGCTATCGTCATCGTGGTACAGAAGATTTGGGTCTCCCAATCGCCAATGGGTATGGGCGCATCATGGAAAGTCCAGTTGTAGCTTCAGGCCCATGTCACTCTGTCACACAGAGGATAATGGATGGACAAACAGCAGATCAAAGACAGAAAATCAGAATGAAACAGGAGACCTGGCCGACGTCATCTTGGACATGACTCGGACGCGGAAAGGAAGTGCTCAACGGTCTTCGGCTTCGAAAGATGCAGGGCACGGCGGGTGACACATGGACGAAGAAAGTCAACATGCATCGAACAAGTCTTGTTTCTTGTATACTTTCTGTTCAATCTCGTAGTACCTGGCCAAGCGACGTCTCACACGCCCTAGCAATACGTGCATACGTCCTCCGAGGGCAGCCCTCAGTAGCAGGAATCTGCGCCCAGGCGACGCCATGGCCATGTGTTACGACGACTTTGTCGGCCAAACAAGGTCATTTTGCTATCAAGCAAATGCTTGGCTTTGCAGCATCCAAAGAATTAGTTGAGCCATGGAAGGCAGTGGCCATTATTGTGGTGAGCCCGTTCTCAGCCCTGACACACACATCAGTGGTCGAGCGAGTCGGCCCCTCAGGCAGGACCAGGACCACTGCACGGTTTGTTGTTTTTCCATATCTCTTTCCTTGTTACCCACCCTTGTCGTTTACTCTCGGCTGCCTCGCTCAGACCTCGCAGACAAGCAGATTGAGCTGAGGCGGCATCATGTATACCCCTCTCAAAGTCGCTCGTTCCAGCAACCAAAATAGGCATATCGTTGCTGCCATTATCCTGTTTCTCATCTCGATTCTGCTGTATACGCTTTCATTTCCTTCAGCACACCATCTTGCCCAACATGTTCCGTCTACTACCAAGGCAGCTCCTTCGTCCGGTTCAGGTCAACTCGACTCTCAACCCTCGTCCGTAAGACCGACAACTTCTTCCGGCGATGCCACGATCGACTTTCGTAATCAGCGCGTACCCTGCACCGGCCCCAGAGGAAAGCTCATTTCAGAAAGCCTCGACGACCAGATCCATACAACACACTTCAGAAACCTCAGCTACCCACCTCCCCTGAGTGGCTCGTACGAAGCCCTCGATCTCGACAAGTCATGGCTCACAGCTGCCGAAAGATACGGTCCATACGGTCTCGGCGAAGAGGAGGAAGGCTATACCAGAAGTCGAGTTGATTGGTCGACCATCAACTGGGCCGACTTGCAGGATAATTGCTCTGTAATCAACAACCAACGACTTCCTGATGCCTACACTTTCGGTCACGCTCAACCAAGACTCACATACCGCGAAAGGTCATGGCATGAGAAGTGGCTTCCCTCCGTCTTCACCACTCCACACATCAAACCAAGACCAGCGGCCGAGACTTATCATCGCTCTGCCATCGTCCTCCGTGTGTGGTCTACCTACAAGTATACGCCTGAGGATATGTGGAACCTGAGGTCGCTCGTCGCAGAAACCGCTCTTGCGACTGGTGGAGAATATGCAGTCTTCCTTCTGGTTGACGTCAAGGACAAAGACGCTGGCATTCACAAAGACCCAGAAGCATATGATCGTATCCTTCGCGAAGCGGTTCCACCTGAGTTTCGAGATATTGCAGTGCTCTTCGATGACTCTCTGCTGGAGAGCTGGTATCCCGATGTTGTCGAGCATTTGCCCATCATGCAAATTATGCAGCCTCTGCAGATCTTTGCTCAATTCTATCCCGATTTTGATCACTACTGGCAAGTAGAAGTTGATTCGCGCTTCTTGGGACATACCGGCGATATGCTCGACAAGTTCTCGGATTTTGCCAGAAAGGAACCACGGAAGCAAGCCAGGGAAAGAGCGTCTTGGGCATACATGTCCGACTACCATGGCTCATACGACGACTTTTTCAACACAATTGACACAGTGCTTGACGGCAATTCTTCTGTATGGGGCAACATTGACATTCATGACTTGGATTCTATCGGTCCTGTCCCGCCTGTCGAGGATCCTCGTGATGATTACTTTTCTTGGGGTGTAGGCGAAGAAGCCGATCTCATCCTTCTCAACACCTTGGAAGATGCCTCTCGTGACGAGGACTGGCTTTTCAAAGGTTGGCAGCACGGCTTCTCCATGGGCTCAAAGCTACCCATATTCGTCTCAGTCGTTGCTCAAGGCCGTGCAAGCTGGAACTTGTTGAATGCAGTTCATCATGCCCAAGCACATGTGGGCATGCGCATCCCTTCCGAAGCTACACTACCTAGCTTCGCTCTCTGGCATGGTCTCAAGATCAGTAGTCCACCGGTACCGGTATATCAATGGCCTGGGCGCGATCGTCATGAGATGGAGTTTGCTCTCAATGGAGGCGGCTTAGACGCATTCCCCGATGCCATCGCCAACGGCCCTGCACGCTACCGCGGTAGTTCAATGGGCTTCTTTACCAATGGTATGACTTGGCAATGGTGGACCACATTGCCCGAAGATTTGGCAAACCCTTGGTATATCAATGAAGTCGACAACCCTGTACTACCGGACATGCTTCTGAACGAGGGCGGTCATCTGTATGCCCCGAACATTATGATCCATCCTAGAAAAACCAACGGCAAGAAGCCCAAGCATCCTGGACAAGAAGATGAAGAGGATGAGCAATGAGTGCTCTCCATCCCTTTGGCCTCGTTTGATTTCTTGAGGTCCCTTTTGGCAGTTACGATTCACGGTCTTTTGTTCCCATTACGCCTTCCTTGCATTCAAGGTGTTTTGATCTGGTTATTAGCGCGGTTTGTTTTTGGCTTTGTTTGGGTTGGCATGCGGGAGTTTTGATAGAATGAGCATCCTTGCTCTTTGTGTTTATTTCAGGTCCCGTTTCTTCTTGTATCTGCTACATGGTCGAAAAAGTGATCAACGTGAGATCTTGTAGCCTACATCTAGAGTCTTGAGCCTCGGACTTCAGGAAAGTCTAGTTGGAGTACCAGTTCCCAGCGAGTTCATGTTGAAAGAATTCAGAAGAGGTTTGGGAAACAATGTGTTTGATACTCTCCACACATGCTCTCCAAACCAAACGCCGCTAGTTCCCTAAACAACCGGTGAGATACTCTATATGTACATGTTGTTTAGTGCAATCGCAGAAAGATCCAAGATCCCAAACGCCCCATGTCCTTTCTAGCTATTTTTGTTACATGTTTTGGCGATGGAGAATTTGTACATTGAAGCATTGCGGATCACAAGCCTCGAAGCCTTGATAACCAGTTTGTGTGTCAAGGCAAGTTGACAGAAAAGGACAGAAAGAAAACTCTGCCTCCGCAAGTGGAGGACAAAGAAAGGTCATATGGTCCAAAATTGGGGCCACATTTCCTCTCTAGTAGACGTTGGCCAGCTTACTACGTCTCCTGAGCATAGGTCCAAAGAAGTAAAGAATATACACCAGAGCAACCAGTCCCAGAGAAACAAAAGCCAGAGTCGCAAATGCCCAAGTGGTGCTCATGTTCTCAAACATGGCAACACCGGCATGACACATGGCTGCTGCAATCAAGAACGACGGGATCAAAAAGGCAGCCACAGCAGACCCAGCAACATTGCTATAGGTATCGCCGAGATAGTTCAGCATTCCTAACCAGAGCAGAGGGTCGCAGAAGCCAAGGACACCGCCAGCGACAATGGGAGACCAGTAAGAGGTTTTGCCGTTGGAGGTGAAGGCGAACCAGAAGATTGTGATGGGGAATAACCAGACGGTCACCAGAGAGGTAAGGAAGCGGGCTTCGGGACGGTGCTTGCCGTGCTTGATGCGGTCCTTGCGGAAGAGGTAGGTTTGGACGGGAACAAAGATGAACATGCAGGTCACACCGACGCAGAAGTTGAGGTATGAGAGACTGGCGCCGACATAGCTGAGGCCGTTATTATCGACAAAGACGTCAAACACGCCGTCGAGGTAGAGGAAGAGCAGACTGCAATGACTTGTCAGCAGGTTGTTAGGAAGCAGAGAGCAGGGCTACTGACCNNCGTATGCGAAACCATTGTAGAAGCCGAGGAAGATGACAATGGGTTCGGTAAACATGATGCGCAACGCCATGGTCAAGACGAAGCGGATCTCTTGGAACACATTGACATTGGTCAATTCGGCAGCGACGACTTTGGCGTTGGGCTCATCGGTGTTGCGCTTCTTGACTGCTCTTGCAATGACGACGGATGGAAGCGTCTCGGGCATGAAGCACATCACGAGAGCAAAAGCACCGCCAAAGATAATGTTCATGTAGAAAGCTGACAATTTAGGTCAGCAGGGGAAAGAGACCAAGATAGAGGATCAATGCGTACTCCAGCGCCAACCCATGTTTGGGTTTATGCCAATCCATTCACCGATTGGCGAGCCTAAACTTGCACCGTAGTTCGAGGAAAGAACGAAGAGGGCCATTGGCTGGCCTGCACCATCTTCGGCNNCTAGACGTGAATTGTAAGCAAGTTGGTGACCAGCGGGCACGGACAAGTGACCACATACACCAAAGAGGTCAATAATGGTTCCAGCAACGTTAGACAGAGCAGTAGATCCAGCAACACCAATGAGGAAGCAGAAGACAATCAACATAGGCAGGTTGTAAGCCAAAGCACAGCCAATGTTGAGGATAGCATAGAGCAAAATAGATCCAACATAGACCCATTTGCGGCCTCCGAGATCTGACAAAGGTCCGAGGAAAACAGGTCCAACAGCAGTTCCGATAATAAACATGGATTGGCCAAGAGTCACGACTTGTGTCGTACTAGGGAAGCGTTCCTGGATAAAGGTCTCGACCGAGACATACATGGTTGAAGTCATGGTCACGTAGACCTGTAGTAGACAGTAGACGGTGATGACGAACCACTTTTTCCATAACGACCAATGCATAGGATGCGCCTCATCTGTCGCCTTGATCTGATCCAGTACATCCAGAGGTGTCGGTGTCATGCCAGAAGCTCTGCGGGCCTCCAGATCAGAATGCAGAGGTTCACTGTGAGCAGAAGAGGGCGCTGACCCGCCTTTCTTCTCCTGTTCTGCCAATGCACCAGACATTGCTTCCTGGGATTTCGTGCACAACCAAGTTTACCAGAAAAATTTGTTTGCCGTTGGGATCCGGAAAGCCAGTAAAAGCCAGAAATTGATGTTTTCGAGGTTTGATAGCTGTCAAAGGCAAGACCCAAGAGGCCAGTCACTCAAGGAGCTTTGTTCGTCTTGTTGTTGCACGCGCACAGATGGCGGATTGGCCGGTTGACAAGGCTACAAAATTCACATTTCCTTTCGTTCGGGATGGGATAATAGTGCTGCACGGATCAAGAGTAGAAAACGGGACCCTGACGGCGATGACGTTGGGCCTGGGCCAAGCCGAGGCTTGAGCGCGCCTTCGTTGCTTGACATGCATTTTTATTTCTTGAGTTTGGAAGAAGCCGGGATGCTATAGCAGATTGTTATATTATGGATACAGCTTGGTAGGCTGTCGTTACACAGAAGCGTTCAAGAAATGTGGCTTCTGCCTGTCATAAGAGATTCATCGACCTGCTCATTTGCAAGCTGTCAAACTGCCAAGAAAAAGGACAGCCGCTTTTCGCGGTAAACTTTCTTTTCTTTTCTTTTTACACACACTTGGAAGGCCTGATGAGCTGTTGTCATCTGTGCGAACCTGAACGCCCGAGGTGCTTTCATCAGCCTCTTTCAAGGACAGAATGTTATTCAGTTCTACAGCTACAGCGTGACAGTCTTTAACTTTCGCGCATGGCAGTGTAGTGTATTCCATCGATACATTATCATACAACACCCGCTTACTCGAGCTCGGCCTCATCCATGTTGCGGATGAAAAGTGAGAACCACTTGACAGTGTTGACATGGTTCTTGATGGAAACCCTCTCGTCAACAGTGTGAATATTGCCCAGACCACTTGATTCGCCATCGTAACCAGGAGCGAAACGGAAAATGTTGCGTGACAGATCCCAGTAGTACTTGGTGTCAGTGTTGCCAGTCATGATTCCTGATGCGAAGGTACAGTCAGCGTGAGTTCATACAGTTGGTTAGAAGAAAACCACGCTTTTGCTAGTGAGTGCGCTCAGGTCTGCGCGATATCGCCCCAGATGATGTTCCGTCAGGACACACGGCATACGGGTCGTTCGCACAGACACAGGCAGAGCGCCAGCACAAGTCGTGGTATCTTCACCTTGGGCTCAACTTACCGGNNGAGCTACAATGACTTCGCTGCCATACAAAGCACGGATTGAACCAGAGAGAACGCTGTAGGCAGTCTCCTTGTCTACTGAAGTAGGCGTGACAGGAGCAGGCTCGAGAACGCGCTCAAAAGCAGAGAGCGAGATGGAGGAAGGCGTCTCAGTAGAGTTGTCGAAAGCGTGCAGAGCAAGGCCATATTTCTTAGCAATATCCTTGGCAAGGCCAGTGATTTTGGCGTGGGCATCGGCTGGGTGCTCCCCAACATTTATACGGTGGTTGACAATAGCCTGGACTCTTTCAGGAAGAGCGTTGACCTTGACACCACCTCCAATAACATCGACGGCAATCGAAGTCTGCATCAAGTACTGAATGGCAGGACCTGCCTTGGCGGCCTCGTGTGCAAGCTGGTCAGGCTTTGCCTTGCACTGACCCTGTGCCTTTTCGAGCAGCTTGCCAATCTTCTTAGGGAATTCAGGGGCGTGTTCAGCTCCGCAGTGGAGCTGGCCAAGGTAAGGGTTCTTGCCATCGAGACGGAGAGGATACTTGTCAGCCTCGATCAGAGTGATAAGCTCGCTCATGACACCAATGGCAGTGTGGTCTGGAGGAATCGAAGAGTGACCACCAGGCATGCGGATGGTGATTACTACATCGGTGTAGCCCTTCTCTGCAACGCCAGGAGTAGCCATAGTGACGCCCCAAACGTCGTCGATTCCAGCACCTTCATCTACAATAGTCGCCAGCGAGTCGGGGCCATAGCGTTCGAGGATGAAGGGGGCGAGAGTGCCTGCACCTTGGCCACCACTGATCTCTTCATCGAAGCCGAAGGAGAGAAGAACAGTTCTGGCAGGTTTAAAGCCGGCATCGAGTAGCAATTCGACGGACTCGAGGATGGCGATAAGCTGATTCTTGCAATCAGATGAGCCACGACCCCAAATCTCCTTGCCGTCGAAGAAACCGGACCAAGGTGGATGAGTCCAAGATGACAATGTTGCGTCAGGCACGGGAACAGTGTCTTGGTGAGCCATGAGTAAAGTGGGCTTCAGCTTAGCATCCGAACCCTGCCAGGTGTAAACAAGGCCGTGGGTGTTGACCTTCTCGACCTTGAGATGCTCATAAACCAAAGGGAAAGTCTTTTCCAGGTACTCGTGGAAAGGGAAGAAAACTTCCCACCTCTTGTCTTCGCCGACCTTGCCCAGATCATCAAACGATTGGGTGTCGATCTGAACAGCACCGGAGAGACGCTGGATTGATGAGTTCTGGAAAGCAGGTGACTTGAGATAGGCATCCATGTTGACTAACTGATCGCTCTGCTGGCTCGGTACAAGAGGCTCTACCTGAGGACATTGCGACTTTTGGTGGTGGTGGTGGTGCTTGCCATGCTTTCCATGATGCTTCAAGGGCAGCTGAGGAAGGACAAAAATCCAATGAAGAAGAGCAACCAAGGCTGCACATACTGTGANCCTGTAGCGGGTGTTAATTGGTATAGCTACCTCGAGCTGTTTGTCTGGAAGACCCACAAGTTTAATGGTTCCCCAACGAGAGCTCTTCTTTGCTTGTGCACGCTGTTCGGAGATGTCATTGACGACTGGGAGTGACCCAATAAGCTGCTGCTTCTCATCCATCTTGTCTGTGGTTTTCGACAGAGGATATAACGAGGGGAAGGAACAACTGGGAAGCAGCAGTGGCTGTGTACCTTATATCATCATTCACCCCACAAATGGCACGACCTTCTGCTTTCGGCCAGAGAGCGGGTTAAAGATAGGCCAAAGATTGCCGAAGCAGCCGATCATTATTGGGTGGGGAAGCCCCCATCGATCCTTCCATTCTTGCATCTAATAACGTGACTACTTGAGTACTCCGTGTTCTGTGTTGTCCCTAGCATCTTTTCCACAAACGCACTGTCAAATTGCTCCAGAAATACCGGCACTGGTATCGGTCCCATCCTTTTCGCTCTTAGCCAAAGTGACTTCTCCACCTATTATTCACAAACTTCTGATCTTTGCGCAATGGTAACCATTGTGATGAACCTGAGGTCTACAAAGACTCGGCACCAAGAATGAATTCACCAGAACAAGCTTTGCTTTCAGCATAGTTATGCCTGTACTGGGCTAGTCCCCAGTTGGGAATCGACAAGCTTGAGGCTGGATACCGAAGTAAAAGGAAGCAGGACTGTATTTACGAACTGAGAATGCCAACTCGAAATATACGAGATATACGAGATCTTCTGCAGGCGTAAGAATGAGCAAGTTAGGTAAGCACGCGATGTGAGTCAAGAGCGAACAGCTTGACGTAGGAACGTGGGAGCTTGAAAATTTTCGAAGATGAATCCACATCATGGGAAGAATTAAATATCGTTAAATTGGAGGTATCTTAAGCGATCAGCAGCCAGGCTGTTCCGCCGATGGTGAACAGAATAATGGCAGCAGTGATGGCGCCAGCACCAATCCTGTCGCCTGTAGTGATAGGCGTTAAATGAATTGCCTGACCATTTGAAGAGGATGTGCCACTCGTGCCGGTACCAGCATTAGGGTCGCTTTTACTGGTGCCACCAGAGACAGATGTATATGGCGGCTTCAACGACACAACATTCAACATGTTGGCCTGAATGACGCCTAATGCAGACATCTGCTCACCTACACCATAAGTACCGTCCCAGGTGGTGCTATTCCACCTCTTGCCGCAGGTGACACTGTCGGACCCGCCATCGCACTGACCAGCAGCGCCTTTAGCAGAGGGCGCCAGGAGACTGAAAATCTTGTCGTGATATTTAGGGACAAGCTGTGCAGTGACGGCCATCCACTGAGAGAGATGGGCTTTGAAAGAACGTTGATCGTTGTTGCAATTTCCGAGAGGTTCGCAAGTCGTCTCGATCATGATGTTGGGACCCATACTTGAAGGGAAGAAGAAGTTAGCTGTCGTGTTCAGCATGCCGTCGATGCGATTCAGCCAGGTTGCGTCTTCAGTNNCTGTGGGGTGAAAGGTTAGTTGGGTTTGCAAGAAGCCAGGTAAAAGACGACATACGTGGTTGTACATGTAGGAGAAACCAGCCAGGAAGACGCCGTATGTGTAAGACCACTGCTCCCTGCTGCCTTCGGAACAGTTGTTTGTTGTACTTGCACCATCGAGAATTGTGAAGTCTTTGGCATCCCAAAGGGCCGAGTCTTCATACCAGTCCCAGACTTTGTTGGCCCAGTCGATATATGTTTGGTTGCCGGTATAGCGACCGAGGCGAGCAGCGAGATGGAAAAGACCTCCGTTAGAAATAGAATTCTTGTAGTTGTAGCCGACGTTAAACGAGTAGATCTGCCAGCGGAGGCCACCACCGCAGGATGCCGTGTCCCATCGTTCTGTTTGTTCGTTGAAGACGGCTTGTGCTAATGAGAGCCACGAGGGAGAACCTGCCGGAGGGTCTTCGAATCCGACTTCAGCGGCTGTCATTGCAGCGAATGCCCAGAAGACCTGGTCGTCGTTTCCCTGGCTGGGTCAGCATGCTACTAGACAAGCTAGGTGTGTGTGTGTGTCTCCCTTACCAANGCTCTTTGTCTGATTGGCCGGCATGTAATCGTTGTTCTCGCCAACCTGGTGTATCAAGGCTTGCTTGACCTCGGTGTTGTATGTTGTGTCTCCAGTGTAGTACCAATATTCGACCATCTCTCCAAACATAGCGCCGGCCTCCCACCAGTAGTAGGGTGCAGGCAGATTTCCCGGTACGTCTCCAGTGTTGTTGCCCGTATAGTATTTCATCAACCCATGTGCGACTTGCGACGAGACTTGTCTAATCGAATCTGTGCAACGCCTTGGTCAGCCCTATGTATCCAAGGGACAGACAAGTCTTCTTCACTCACCTGCACTAGTTGTGTCCAGTGTCAGGGCACTGGTGTGTGTTGCGCAGAGACATAGCAAGACTGTCTGCAGCAACCGCTGCGGTAATGTCGAACGTGTCATGGCGACACTGCAAAAGAATGTATGGGGTAAGGTAGAAGAGAGAGAAGGAGAAGGCAGATCAGGAACCAGGGCGAGGTAGCGGCGCTACTGCATTACTATACTTACTTAGACTATTGAGATGGTGATTGACAAGCGCCATACGGCAAGCTTTGATACCAAGGGCTCGCCATCCCCCAAAGAGGGCGTAAGGCTGCATCACCTTGCAACAGGCGTTTCGCACCACACATGCCAAAACGGCGTGTTCCTGGTGTGTTTTCTGGTCCACGCGGCAGCCCCTTCCGACAAGAAATTGGGCAAGCTTTCGAGTCGTGGACTATTTCTTGTCGTGTAGCTTCGTCAGGGGAAAGCTTCACAAACGACTTTCCCCTGATCCTGATGCTGCGCCTGGCATGATCTGCTGGCTTGTCACACCAACACGTATCTATACGCATGGCAACCACATATCGACAGTCAGCTGTTGGACACTATTGGATGACGACGACTGAATGGTTGCCCAGGAATCGACTGCAGGAAGATGAAACGTGCTATCCGCGGGCACGGGCCGCAAAAACTCATCTCGGACGGTGCTAAAACCATTGCCGACTCCGCCTCAACGACTATCTTCTTCCCCGTATTCGACTATGCTCGAGAGCCACGTAATATGCAGGAGATTGCTTGATCTGACATGTGGTTGCAATTAAGAGACTCAATAGTTCCTGAAAGGAGTGTTCAGTCATCTCGCTCTTTTCATGTCCTTACAGACTCGTCTACTGAAGTACACACGGCTTCCTCCCACGACTAGACGATCGATTCCACCTGCCGACCGTACGACAATTACCGCAAGCATCTAGATGATCTCAATCGGTTCGAGCATTGGATTGTTGTCTAGCCTTTACTCTGTCGCCAATCGGTGTCTTTCGATGCTTCACTCAAGAACACATGGTATTCCGTTACTCAAAGCCAAGCTGATTGACCATGCTTACTTTGGCAACGGAATGGTCGCGAAAGTCGCCATGGCCTTCTTGTTGGCCTCTGGAGTCATGACCTTGCCATCACCAATGTACTTTGCCAAGAGCTTGAAGTAGTTGACGTAGAATGCCGGAGTGAAGGTATTGACAAACTTGGCCTGCTTGTCTGTTGGGTTGGAGAACGTGTGAGGCGCTCTTATGGGCACGACAACGTAATCACCGGCGTGCGCGTCAACTGTCTTGGTCGGTTCTGATGCCGTAGTCGTGTACCAAGTAAACCTGATAGTACCCTCGGTTANCTGGCGATTGTCAGCGATGATTACATTGCATATTGGCCGTGTTATACTCATACCCAGGAAAGTCTCATCGTGCATCTCATGCCAATGTGGTGGTGGACCCGAGGTGTTGGCAGGAACAGTTAGTTCGACTGTGCCAATTCTGTTGTCTGTNNCCAGATATATGTAAGTCCAAGTCAAGTTTGACTCTCGAAGCTACTCACCCGTCCTAGAACCATCTTCCATAATTCTGATGGTCAGTTGTCCCAAAGCAAAGGTCTCGCCCTCTGTTGCAGGGACAAAGTTGATCGGCACCTGAGGAATTTCGCCCGAGACATCAGGACCTTCTGCTTCAATGCTTGCCATGTTTTTGTTACTCTGGTAGAGAGGTGTAATCGAAGCCTTTGCAATTTCTGTATTCAAGAGACAATATGGGTCCGTTGGTTGTCAGCATTCGAGGTCGCGCAGCTCAACCAAAATGGAAGTGTTGGCATCATCTATGGACCCCGCATCCGACCACGAGCTCCACCATCAAGGCACCGACTTGGTAAGCACGACAGCGACGCGACTTCCATCCCTATCAGTATTCGATATACTCGCTTGCGTCGTGACTGCAATCTCAATGACTCAATCTAAGCTCATCGTGCGTTGAATCCTTTGTGGCCATCCTCAAACGGAGACACAATTGCTGAACATTGCGCCTGTCAATCCGCCAGACAACCGACCTTGCCTTTTCCTATGAACATTGGCAACACAGTCAAAGCTATCACGTTGTAGAATGTTGTCGGTTTGCTGATTGATATCCAACCTGAGTCTCGTTAAGGTTGATCACGATGCTCTGTAGCTACTGCTTCGGCATAGGCCAAACCCCGCACCTTCACCTGCTCCAACCATCACGAGGACTTCTTGATAAGCATCGTATTGACCGATAGCAGCCGTCTGTAGCCGATGATACTTGCCAATCTCATACAGATATCAAGATAACCCTTCCTCGACTGACTGCTCACAGATGTTTTGAACTCGTTACTCCTCACAAGAAACCATGAACGTTACTAGACACAGTCTGAAATCTCCCAAAATACCCCTNCTTCCGGGTCAGATCCATGCTATCTGGCAGACCTCACGACATCAATCGTCTCTGGTTTCTAGACACCCGAATGCCTCTTCTGTAGACGATCAAAAGCGTCAGCCATCCCAACTACATCGCATCTCAACTGTGAACCTCATCCGGAACATCGTCCTTGGGAAGGTATTCACATCGCCTTTTCTGTTCAAATATGGCGTGGCATGCCTGTCCAAGATAGCAAACTCGCGATCAGCAATCCTGGATCCAGACAAGAATGCCCTGTTACGTGCTCTGATCAAACCGATGATATACGATCACTTCTGTGCCGGCGCAAATAAGCTTGAGATAAAGAATACTCTGGCTTATCTCAAGAACATGGGCTTCAAGGGCGTCATTCTGATCTACTCAAAAGAAATACCCGCGATGCCAGTAGAAGAACTACATGAACTAGAACCACTAATTCAAGATGAAGATATTGATATATGGCGAGATGGAAACGTGAAGACATTGAATATGGTCGAGCCGGGCGATTATGTGGGCATNAAAGTGAGTTGGAAGATACCAATAGTTCCAGCATCTTACACTAACGAGTGTCCAAGATTTACAGGTGCAGGACCTCGAGTTGCACAAGCACTGGCACAGGATAGAGATCCACCACAGCAACTTCTCGATGCCATGTTTGCCATCTGCGAGCGTGCCGCTGCACAGGGTAGCCGGGTGTGGATTGATGCCGAACAGCAAGTCTTTCAATCCACAATCGACCGCTGGACTGTCGACATGATGCGACGCTACAACACAAATGGTGAAGCCCTTGTATCACTGACCCTACAAGCCTATCTCAAGTCTGCTAGGAGCACTCTCGGAAAGCTATTGAAACAAGCCCACGACGAGGACTGGACGCTGGGAATCAAGCTAGTCAGGTAAACCTCATCGATTCGTCCATCGTCTGTGTAACATACTCATTGAAACTCNAGAGGAGCGTATATCGGAAGCGAGACCCGGACCTTGATCCACGACACCAAGAAACAGACAGATGAATGCTACGACAGCATGGCCGCAGATCTGCTTTCAAAGTCCTTCCCTGGCTTTTCCAAGCAGGATCTTCCGAACGTCGAACTATTCCTTGCAGGTCACAACTCAGACTCCATACGCAAAGCATACGCCCTGTATCAAGGTCTTTTGCANAAAGGCGAAACACCTCCTCCCATCAAGTTTGGTCAACTGCTGGGCATGGCCGACGATATCAGTTGCGAACTGCTAGCCATGGGCGACAAAGAAGCAGCACAAGCCGCAAAGAACACTGCAGCTCCTATGGTGTACAAGTGCATGAATTGGGGTAGTGTAAGGGAATGCATGCACTACCTCGTGCGAAGAGCAACCGAGAATCAGAGTGCAGCCCAGAGGATGCAAAGCACTGTAGGCGTCATGCAAAAGGAACTGCGCAGACGTATGGGCTTTTAGGTTTTGCTTGTTTTCAATTATTCATGTTATAGAACAAGATATGATATCCACGAATCGTCCAGAGTTTTTGTCGTGATACATTCGAGAAGCAAATTCCCACTGCCGATACTTCCGTGCCTTGAGCTCCGACAAGAAAGGGACGCGCAATCAGTATTCATCACTGTTCGAGAGTTTGTGTGAAGATGCAAAACTGCGTATGGTACCCGTATACATTGAAGAAGAAAGTTTGCGTATGGTACCGTATACCCCATCTCCTCAACCACCACCACATCATGTTTCCATCTTTAGAAACCAGCAGAAAGAAACACTAATAGCCGTACGGTTCATCTGTTTAAATAGCCCTATAGAAGGAGCACATGCCTGCCTCATCTCAAAGCAACTCCTCCTGCAATCTCCTCGTTATATCGAAGATACGTTTTTCGTATACCCTTTGAATATCTCTACAGAATATACGCTCGATACGCAAAAAAAACAACGACACCATCTATACAACCTTCGTATCAGCCCCGGAGGATTCGCAAACACACTGATCTCTCAAGAGACGACAACAATGGCCCTCTCAGATACGACACTCATCTACCTCTCCCTCCGAGGACTCCAATCTCTCCTCAGCCTCGTCTCCCTCTCCCTCTACGCCTCTTCTCTCGCCAACTCCCCCCGAAAACGCTTCTACCTACATCTACGCTCTAGTCTGCTGCACTCTAACCCTTTTCACCCTTACCCTCTACTCCATCCCAAAAACTCCCACTAGAAACCTCTTCCTCTGGGATTTTTCTCTTGCGGTGCTCTGGGCAGCTCTATCCGGTGTCTTTGGAATGATTTATTTGGGTCGTGAAGACACAGACAAAAGTGCAAGGGATGATGAGACGAGTATGAAGGTTGCTGTGGCGTGTGATTTGATGGTCATGGTGTGTTGGATCATAACATCTCTTTGGGGTTGTGTGGGATATTGCAATGCTGTTCTGGAGAAGAGAAAAGCGAGAAGGGAGGAAAAGAGTATGCAAAAGATGTTGGAGGGTCAGGAGCAGGGGATTGTTGAGATGGATGAGGAGAGTGATGGTGATTGTGAGAAGGGGTTGATTGGAGAGAAGAGTGAAAAGGGATGGGTGGCAGGAAAGTGCGACAAAGCCTGAAGGAGCGAAATGACTATAAGATCAGAACGTACCAAATCACCCTCTCATAGTGTGCGCAAGATTCATGTCAAATTTTGTAGCTAGGATGCTCATATGCGACCCGTCATAGCAATGTTTTCCCAGTTTATCCGCCATAATCGTGTTCCATGCATATATGATTCCCATCCCTTCTCACCTCCGCCCTCTTTGCGAAACAACTCTCTTGTTGCCTCTCCCAGTCCAACGATTTAATCTAACACGAATCAACTTTATTGCTTTTAGAGGGCGAGTGTCGAGTGACGTACCACAGGCATCGCTGGTAAAAGGCTCGAGCAGGGCTTCCTTGGTGACGTTGAGGATATTCACGCCATCCGTGGTTTGCGACAGCAAAGCATCAGTGCCCTCCCAAACACTGACGCCGCCAAATCTCTCCTTGCCAACGCGGTCCTTGGTGTACTCGACCAGATCGCCAAAGTAATCGGGAGCGACAAAGCCACCGCCGTTGTTGTAGTTTTCAAAGCCGAGGGCACCAATGTAGAAGCGAGGGTAGCGGGGGCCAATGTTGGAGTCGACGCCGACGAGGAACTTGGACCAGGCGGTGACGGAGTTGTTGTAGCCCTTGCCGCCAGCTTTGCAGGCGTTTGCGTTGTAGAAGCGCGGCCAGATGAAGTTTGCATTCTTGTAAAAGTCGTAGGGCATGACGGTGTTGTTCACACAGAGCGGGGAGGCGCTGATGTAGCGGTCGGGGGTGGCCGTCTTGAACAGCGACTGCAGGGTGGCTGACAGGACATCGACGTAGGAAGTGTCGGCGTAGTTTTCATAGTCNNTGTCATGGTGTCAGTGGGGTGTTGGGTGTAAGAGAGCGTAAGGGCTACCAAAATCGAAGCCGTCGAGAGTGACATTGCCAAAGGGCCTGATGTTGGGTGTGTCGGTGCCGGCGCCAAAGACGTTCCAGAGGGTGGTGGCAGCCTGCTGGGCGTCCGTGGCATTGGCGAGGTCCAGGTCGCTGCTGGAGCCGCCCAAGCTGATCATGACCTTCTTGCCCAAGCTCTGGCAGCGTGTGATGTTGGCGGCCAGGGTCGGGCAGGTGATGCCGGTGAAGTTGGCGGCGGGCTGGTAGGGCGTCTTGCACGACGAGATGTCAAAGGTCGGCTGCTTGTTGTAGCCATTGAAGTTGCGGATGAAGCCCATGACAATCATGTCAATGTCGTCGATGCTGCAGAGGTCCCATAGCGACGGGTTCGAGTTGTACTGCGCCTTGCCATAGTAGACGGCGAGCGCGCTGTTTCCGAGCGGGTCGAACGAGGATGGGTATTGCGGCAGTGTCTGGCGAGGAAAGTAGTATTTCAGGTTGCTGTTGTATGTCGTCGTTGCTGAGGGAAGAGCGACCGCCAAGCTGATGCACGTCGCTGCGAGGACCGACACCCCGAACATCTTGTCTGTTTCCAATCAAAACTCTACGGCCGTGCCATACTAGTTATATACATGGCACCATCTCTCACGAACTCTACACACGAGCCCGTTGTGTTTCCTCGTCGATGACAAGAGACGTTCGCCCTGGGCGTCCTCTTCTGCCTTGATCGCCTCTGTCGCGCCTCTCAACACGCCGTTGCTATGAACACAACCGTTGGAAACATCATCCCGCTATTGCCTCAGCTATCCTCAACCCGACCAGATCAGCCCGTCTTGTCTCTTACTCGTCAACCCTGTCCTCGCTTCACCACTCGCTCACGAGAAGTTCAATTCCCACAGCTGAGCCAAGCCATTTTCAATTAAGCCATTGACAAACTTCTGATAGTCATGCTAATGTGGTATTATTGTGTTCATATCTCATAGAAAGGTCGTGACTTCGTACTCGGTGACAAAGGAAAATATGCCCTGAACCCTGCCCTCCTCACAGTCCTGCTGCGAGATGGCCTACAATCTTTTCTCGAGGGTCGACCTCGTCAATCTCGTTGACCTCCGACTCGCCTTCTCTGTCTTGACTTGCTATCGAGTTGGCCTTGGGCGTGACTGTCCCAATGGTCGATTCCTCGGCGATGATGGACATGATCGAGCCGTTGCGTGGTTTGAACTGGTCGAGAAGTCCTTCTTCAGTCCGAGCCTTTTCTGTCTCGGCCGCTTCGGCCACTGCAGCTGGTGCTGCACTTGTCGCGCCATGAGTCAGCCCCCATGCTTGCGAGCCCAGGTTCTTGACGACGATTGTAAAGACGGCAAGAGACATGATGGGCGCCATGACCTTGTTGATGCACAAGCCCAACAAGATCTTGTGTGCTCGCTGACGAAGCTGTTTGTTGGTCGCTGTATTGATCAGGAACCAGATTGTCGGTAGTTGCGAAACCACCAGTAGTGGGATGATGGACATCAGATTGAAGCTGTTGACAAGTCCGTAGATGAAGAGAGCCGTGTTGGCCACACGGTAGTATACCAGGCTGAGTCTGGTCACTTCGATGCACGCCCACAGTCGTGTGATCCAGATCATGTTCTCGCCGGCAAAATAGAAGTAGTTGTTGAAATATGCGTTGCTGCCCCAACGTCTTCGCTGACTGAGGTAGTGTTTGAGCGATTGTGGTGCCACAGTCTCACTGACTGCATCCGGCACAAACACTGTGTGCAAGTCTTTGCTTTGAGAAAGCATCGAGTATGTCAGTCTTCGGTCGGTTCCCAGATACTGAACCTGGTGCAAGAGAACCGGGTACGTAGTAATGGGAGCTGCGTATCTAGTCATGGCTCCTGCCATCTCTGGTCGCACTGCAACCATAGTGATGCATCCGGGAAGACATGTAACTTTTCCCCAGACACTCTCGGCCTGTCGACGAACAAATTGTCCAAAGTTGTACTATTGCAAAAGTCAGCACGAATCATCAATCTGCAAGCTGCTTCAACATACCTGAAATTGCTGGTACAGATTCCAATATGACCACTCTGCACCAGCTTCGAGCTCGACCAACACCAAGCCACAAGAAGCAATGGCCTTCGGATCGCGGACGAGAGCATTCGCCAGACCTGCTACAGCACCTTTGTGAATGACAGAGTCGGCGTCCGTGCAAAAGACCATATCGAAACCAGGGAAATCCTCGCCAACTAGTGTAGGCAGCACATTTCTCTCAATCTCCTTGCGTAGCAGCCGCGTGTACAGAGGCGCATCTTCACGCATCACATTGAACAGATCATGGCACAGAATGAGCGAGTCTTTCTTGCCTGCATTCTTGACCTTTTCAAAGACAATGACTGGCACATCTTCCATGAACCCGGCCGTGATGACTAGGTGATTTCGCTTGAATCTCGATGTGACATATTGACGCTTGAAAGTGGTCGTGATGCGCATATACTGCTTGACATCTCTGGGTTTGCCATCCAGAACGATGCACATGACTTGCTTGTGCGGTTGCGCATCGTTGTCTCGCAATGAAAAGACGCAGTTCTTGATCATCTCTTCCGACTCGGAGTATGCGGGGATCAGCGAGAGAATCCATTTGGATTCGACTGGTGGTGGTGGCTTGAAGTATTCCTTGATTGCCTTGTAGATCAAGTATGCGCAACTGACAAGCGAGGAAATACAATCCTTGGACTTGATGAAGACAATGAACGACAGCACCCAGCGTCCAGAGATTGCTTTAGGGGCCCAGAGCGCAAAGACCAGCATAGCAACATTGATAGCAAAGATGTTGCTACTGAACACAACGCGCTGTTTGATCAGATCATTGCGAGTCAAGTTGCGGCAAGGGTCGACCGGGTCTGCGATTTCCGGATATGTGGTAGTGATATAGGTTTCTTGTGTCGTGGGAACAACATGCTCCTGGTGCGTGCTTTTGAGCTCTTCCGTAATCGTCTGAGGTTCCACGACTGCCAGCTCTGGTTCTGTGGTCTTGTTATCCTTCTCTTGGTCAAGATCAGGATCCAGAGGCTTCACGCCTCCAATCAATAGTCCGCGGTCGTGTTCGACCAAGGGATCGATCTCTATTATAGGCTGAAACAACGACGGTTGTCGCAGTCTGGTAGTTGGGAGTGCGTCCAGCGTGGACAAGTCGGATTTCCTTCTGAATGGGTCCTCGGTGAGAGACCCTGAGCGAGAGCCTTGACGGGATCCTCGTCTCCATGATCCAGTATCGACAAGCGTCGCATCGGAGTCCAATCTCTGTAGTTTCGCGTGGGCAGGTTGGATTGGATTTATGTCCGGCCTCCAGTTGAAGGCACCCCATGATCCTCCACCAAGTTGAGGCGAGCTGGATCCCAGGCCAGGACTTGCTTTGAGAGGTGTTGTTGGACGACTGGTCGGAGGACTGACTGGCCCATTCGAACTTCCAGGTCGTGAGTTGGCTGAGCCGCGGCGTGAGGATCCAGGCCTTAGAGGACTTGATGGGAAGGAGTCATCGGGAACAACTTGCAGGCGAAATTTTCCCTCGTTCGTTCTCGATGGGCGGCGGGCAAAGTCGACCAGCGTAGACTGTGAGTCTTGTCGCAGATTCCTTCGGCTGAGGAACTCTCTGAAGTCGGGTCCAGCCCTTGAAGTTTTGCGTACATTACGCTGGGCATTATATTTCGCCGCAATATCAGTTGCAAAGTTGTCCAAGCCTAGTCCTTGAGGTACGTCCTTGGTGTGTGCCTCCGCCGGCACCTGGATCGTGGGTATCGCATTCTTTGTGCTGCCATACTTGGGATGGTCCTCCGAGTAAAGCGGATAGTTGTGATTAGTATCGATCTGGTCAGTCATTGGGTCATGACTGTGTTGAACAGGAGTAGAAGTCAGGAAGGGCAGGGACCGATCATGTCCGGTGGGATTCAGGGAGTATTGAACCTGGCTCCGGACAGTGTATAAGTCTGATAATCGGGCAGATGAGGATTGCCACGTCTAGACAGCCACTTACCACGGCTAGCGGGACAGTGGGCCGTTTTCTTGAAGCGGCCGGCGCTGAGGACTGGAACGTGATGGATTAGAGACGGCGAACCCGCGGATAGGCGAGAGCCCTACTCCAACCTCACGCGACTGCGTGAGTATCAGGGCAGGCCCATTCCTCTGCAATTGGTTCTGGGCAGCATGAGAAACAAGTAGGGCGTTGACGTTGAGAAACCGTTGGATATCCTGGAACAAGCGTGACTCCAGACGTAGAGTGCAGACGGGTAGGACACGAGTACGGCGATAAGGCTGAAAACAGTATGACGATGGTTTGGGGCTATCCAGACCTTCCCCTGGCAGAAGAGAGAAACACATGAAGTCCAGGGTCTTGTAAACCCTTGTGGAAGGAATCTGGCCATGCCGTCAATTGAATGCTTCCCCAATCAATATTGAGACCACTTGGGATGTAAACGTAGCCGTCGTGGTGGCTGACTGCTTTGCTGATACAGGTTGCTCTTGTATGCTACGCGCTCAAGAGCTTTCGTCCCCACAATGTGGTTCTTCTCGCAAATGGTGATTGCGTAGGGTAAGATGTACGCTGAGCAGTCAGTTGCTCCAGCATGTAATTCGGCTACCGAGTCAGTCAGAGTTTTCTCTCTGCCACGCCAACAGTCAGTTTGTCGAAGCCGTTGGGTGCATTTGAATGTCAAACGGTCGGGATATTGAAGCCTCCCATCCAGTCACCAAGGGAGACAAGCCTAATTTGCCAGTGCGACTGAATTCCTGACAGCAATCAGTCTTTACAGGCATCTCAAGCGTGTTTGACGCTGTGCGAGACTCGACCAGAAAGCGATGGAGAGAGGCGTTCATTGAAGTTGTCGCAAGGACAATGACGATACTCGAGGGCGGCTCTTTCTCAAAGAGGCGTGCGTTTGACGGGAAACGTCTCGCCGACACGTTTCCCAGCCAAGGAGCAATGCAATATTTTGAGTAACGCCTTTCTACTGATGAACTGGACCCATGGCGCCAGTGGCGCTGTGGATGGTAAGCCATTGACGGTATCTCTATGCGAGACAAACGAAACATGTAAGAGTCGAGAGGAACTGTTGGCAGTTGCAGAAGCGAAGAACGTGGCCGGAGCATGGCATGATGGCAAAAGTCTCGGCCAACTTTTCCCAAGTCCCGTGGTCTCGTCAATAATAGCCACTGTTCAAACTGTTCGAGCGACATCTCGCTTGTCACTGGCTAGACTTGAGGTCGAAGTTGCCAGATTCGAGCTTCCAGCTTCGATACAAAGGTTGCGCTTCAAGACGTTTGCGCGTCGAGCCTTAATGCCATCTTTGGTCACCACAATCTGTGGGCTTACAACCTTAACACAAATATCCTGTTATGCTTTGTAGCTTCCCCGTGCTTAATGAACCACAAGTTGCCGTGGAGTACATTACTGAATCGGCTTTGTCGAACAGGCAACGAAAGCAGGCATCTCCCACATCAATCTGGGGTGTAGGGCGAGACAAGTTCGAATTACATATTGATTCAAAAGCTAAAAGGGCACGGCACATATGCAATGGAAGCAATCTAATAATCATAATCATAACCTCATTTTCCAAATGCCAGACTCTTATGGATGCCAGGCTTCATATCTGCTCCAGGGCTGAGATGCATGCCGTGTTCAGTCGTAAAAGACGAGACATCTGACCTCGATGCTCTGTCTACCGGGAGCATCTGCCGGGGTCTGTGGGTCGACAAATGCAGTATGGGGCGTGCCATGAGCTAGACCGGGAGTGCTGTTGGGAGACCACTCACTTCTGCTATCGAAACACTTGAGAAGCATGAGCTCGTCGGGCGTCATGTCCTTCATGTAGTAAAACTTGTGCTTGTCGGAAGGAGCGACGGCATAGGTCTCGCCCTTTGGCTCATATCCTTGAGTAGAGGTCATTGAGCTGGCGTCGGGTAGGACCTCCTTTCCTCTGTCGTCGGCATCGTCGTCGGTACGTTTTGGGTACAGCAGGTCGACCTTGACAAAGTCCTTCTCGGTCGTGGTGCGCCAGTCAATGACAGCCAGAGGGAAATCACTAGCGTTGTGTCCGATTGGTCGCCAGACGTTGATAATCTGGTAGCGACCCTTGAGCAGCTCTTCTGCCTCGTCGGCGGGCAGGTGACGACGCACTCTAGTCTCTGCGGCACGCGGTGTCTGATCTACATGGACCTGCTGGACGGGCTGGCGAGGCGAGGCCTTCTCTCGACGGCGGATGGTGTGGTCGAAGATGACAACCTTCTTGATGCCAGAGATCTTCTCTCTCAAAGCTTGCTCCACCTCTTTGTAGTAGCCTTCGCGAACGGCGTTCTCGTCTGTGAAATCCTTCTCTTTTGACGGCGACTTGTAGACGGCGAATCCAGCTGTGTCGGTGTTGAAGTTGGCTTCTTGTCCACGAAGATTCTCGACTTGACGCTGGTGGTCAATCAATCTAAACGAGTATCCAGGACCGTCGACTTTGCCCCAGGGCTTCTTGAAGGCTTCGGTCGCGTTCGGGTCAAAGGACGTGGGGTCGATGTATTTGAAGGCGGCGGTGGTCATTGTGCTTTGAGGTCTGGTAGTAGTGGTACGTGTGACGGGTGACAGAATCGGGCGCAGGCTTTGTATTGTGCGTGGGATTCGAGACAAGCTCATGGGTGTGTAGGGTGATGATGTGAAAAAGGCTCTTTGATACTTATGGCTTGGGAGGGGCAATTCATTTATATACCGAGGCCTTGCTTGACGGCGGCGGCTGATCGCAAGGAAACCCAACTCGCCGTCCGACATGGAGATGACGCGATTCTGGATTATGTCAGCGCTGCTGAACAATCATCCATTTCTCATCAAACACAGCTCAAGTTCTCGCCCTTTCTACTCCGAAATCTCGGAGCTGTCAATTACTGGATCCTGAAGGCAGTCCTGTATGCTTGTCCTTTGTACAGTATGGTTGTTGTTCTATTCGTGAGATATGGACTTTACTTACCATCTCCAGTTGTTAATGCCGATATCCCCGTGGTATACTCAAAATTAGAGCCAACGCTCACCATAGCATTTCGTGTAGCAACTGTGACAGCCAAATTGATCAACCACCTGAAGCAAACTTGGAAGATGCTGAGAAAAGTCAGAGGCAGAAACTACAGGTTCAAAGGCTCAATTGGTTATGGTATCGTAAACTATAGGATAATGAATAGAGCTCAGGGTCGTAGCAACATCAAGAATCATCACAGACATCTACCTCGCTTAATGGTAGAAGGGGTTGGCAGGAGCGAATCCGACAAGTCTGTTGTCCTCATCGGGTCTGAGAGTGGGCTCCTTGTACCACATGTGAGCATCCTTGCTGAGCTTCTCGACCTCGGAGAAGTCGAACTTCTCGTTCTTGTAGGAAGTCATGTCGTACACAGCGCGAGCGTACTCAGGAGCGACGTTGTAAATCTGAGCGAGGAACTTCTTCTGGATGACGGGGTAATTGACGTGACTCATCATCTTCGCCGTGTTCGAGTGGAGGTTGGCACGAGCACCATCATCCATGACGCGCGTGTACAGCTCGCGGACCTGATCGTACTCGCTGACCTTGCACTCATGGTAGTAGTGGCTCTTGCGGCTCACAACGTTGTCCGAGACTGTGTATGCTGTCTCGGCTACGTCGGGACGGAACTTGTGGGCGAAGCTGTTGGGGTTATACTGCTTGTTGCCAGCATGGTTGGCGTCTACACGCATGGCACCATCAAAGTTGATGGACGACACCGAGCGTGCCATGAATGGACAGTTAGTGGGAACTTGGTGCAAGTTGATGCCGATGCGGTGATACTGAGCATCACGGTAGAAGAACATGCGGAATTGCAACAACGGATCGGGCGAGTCTTCAATACCGGGCACCATGGAGCCGGGCGAGAAGGCAGCCTGCTCGACATCGCGGTGGTAGTTCTCAGGGTTCTTGTTGAGAACCAAACGGCCGTACTCTTGCATGGGGAACTTGTCACGAGGCCAGACCTTGGTGACATCGAAGGGGTCGAAGCCCAGCTTTGAAGGGTCGGCATCCTCGGGCTGCATGATCTGAACATGAGCGGTCCATTCCTTCTCTTCACCACGCTCCATGGCCTCCCACAGCTCTTGCTTGGAGTAGTCAGGGTTCTCACCCGAGATGCGGATGGCTTCGGGCTGGGTGAATTGCTTCTGCCCGTGCTTGGCGAGGAAGTGGTACTTGATGTAGACGAATTTGCCTTGCTTGTTAACCCACTTGAAGGTGTGGCATCCGTAGCCGTGGTTGTTGGTCCAGCCCTGCGGTGTTCCNNACTTAAGGTGAAGGTACAATTAGCATGGTTCTTGTGTTTGAGCATGGAACAAATAGCAGTCCAAAACCCATCTGATGGGTTCTGGTTCATGCTATCTGTACCTTCGCTTTACGTACTGGTCACTGAAGAACATGACACCAGCGTGAATGGACTCAGGGGTGTTGCCGAGCAAATCGAATGTAGCATCGTAGTCGAGTAGGAAGTTGCGAGGGTTGCGGGCTTGCGAGCGGATGACATCGGGGCCTTGGATAGGATCGCGGCAGAAGAAGACGGGGAAGTTCAGGCCAACAATGTCGTAGTTGCCCTCCTTGGTGTAGAACTTGATGGCGAAACCACGGGGATTGCGGGCCTCGTCAGGGAACTCACGACCGAGAGTGACGGTGGAGAAACGAACAAAGACAGGGGTCTTCTCGCCAACGGTGGACAAGAAGTCGGCTTTGGTCAAGTCTGAAACATCCTTGGTCACCTCGAAGTGACCAAAGGCACCACTACCGCAAGGGTGCACCATTCCTACTTATGTCAGACATAGCCTTTGGCTAGCTGAGGGCTCAACTCACTNCTCGAGGTTCTTGGATCGGTTGAAGTGTTGCTGTTTCTGCAAAAGGTGGATATCGCTGACAAGAGGGATACCGCCAATATTCTTGCTGTGGGCAGGATCGGGCAAAGGGTGCCCTTCATTGTTCGTGAAGTACGNCTAGTTTTGGAGTCAGTCTGGAGCTCTGAGAAGATGTGGAGATGGCATGGGATCGAACAAGTGGTAGGTAGTGTTCTGGTGAAGCCTCCCACCAAGCTTACCACCGACGAAACCACCCCTTTCTGACCCATTGAGATCCAATTACTTACGTCCATCATCTTCACGCTTTCCACCCTGAGTGTGTCCGGATACTTTGGCAATGATGTCGGCGGGACCTTCGTTGGTGGACATGTTGTGAGCGAGTCTTGGGGCACGAGCCTCGCCGGAGGTAGCTCCCTGAATGCCAGAAGCAATTGCTTCCAGCGGGTGCTGAAGAGGGTTCATCTGATTGCTGTTGGAAGACATGACTGAGAGTTTGGAGGTGAGAGAGGAAGGAATGTCCATTTCGAAAGCAATGTCTAGGGATGCAGCAAGTAGTCACTTAAACTCACAGCTCAAGCTCAACCCCCTCCTCTCGAGCGGACATGACGTTGACATTTTGTCGGCGGCTGCTTCCTTCAAAGGTGAACTAGAGTAGCCCCGTGTCATCCACACGTCAAACGCGCTTCAGGACAGGTGAGGAGAAACATTGGCGCGCATTTGTGCAATGTCATGACGATTCTACAGCTCATGAACCGGTGGAGGAGTGGATGAGGCTCCATCGGTAGCCCAATCGGAGCATTCCCAGATTGGCTGATCGGCCGAGTGGGTCCAAACTAAGCTCTTCGCAGCGATTGAAGAGCCTCAAGATCTCGCGATGGCATGTAAGAGTCCCATGTTGGAAAGTGCATGTGTTCCAAAAAAGATGGGTGGGCGATTCAGTCGGTGTGCCCGCTTTGTTGATTGAGTCTTGGTTGCTGAAGTCTGCGCGTCTTCACGGCAATCGCCTTGCAATGCTTGCAGGCACCTTGGTGGACAGTGGACCGTATCATTGCCGAGAGCTTGCACGTCCCTCGAGGCGGAGAAACCCTCCATGCCATGTAGCCACGTAGCCTGTCACACCTCCGTGGTGTTTCTTCCATGCAGAGCACGTGGCAGAGCAGCAGCAGATTAATCTTCGTATGTATCAGGCCAGCGTCCGTAGAAAGTCGGTATCTTGACAGCTCACGTCAATCATCTCTAGTCGCAAAAGAGCCGGGCTTCTTTGTGGCTAAGACATCGATTTACTCGTCTCCGCGACACGAGAGATGTGTGCGTAAACACTCGCACCGACGTGACACGCCCATTCATCATATAATTAAAGCGCACAATATCGAAATAGATGGGCTCAAAACAAGGGCCGCGCATTCAGGCTCACCCACCTACCATTCGGCAATCGTACTCGGCTACATTGTGTTGCTTGAACAAGCATATGCAATCACTTGAGGGGCGGCTTTTACCGTATGACCGTGTCTTGACGAGAACTTCCACGTTTCAGTCAGTCAATCAGGAATTCAAGAAACCAATTTGGTTTCTCGGATCAAGCCAAGACTGGTTGCGAAAGGTGCCGATGGATGTGACTGTGAGCAGGACCAATAATCGCCGACTGAGCGTCGACGACAACCTCTTGCAGCCAACTTTCGTCACGACAGTTCCTGCGAACTCCTGAACAATACATTGCCTGGTTCCTGATTGAGCACTCTCACTCTCTGCACATGATAGAGTGCTCGTTCTGCAATATCAACACGCAAGAAAGTTCCTACCTCCAGGTCTCCCAAGGGTTTCTTAGATCCCAGTTTGCACGCGCTGCCATACCCCGTGTGTCCCTGACAACCTGCAATGGTGGCCTCCTTTGATCAACTATAGTAACATCTGGCTTATATGACTAGGGACAGGAACAAGGACAGGGCTTCTTTCTTGCGTACGGAGTGTGTAGGTTTGTCGGACCTCGCCCGTACCCTCTTGCTGCAGGGTGACAGCTTCCAGTCGGAGTTCAAGCATATGCTAAGCTCTTTTAGCTTTTGATCTAGAGTACCTGGTTTTCTCGTTAAGGCATTGTTTGTTTGTGACCACTACAAGTCCGATAATCGAGAACCACCTGTCGTTGTATGTTGCAGGAGCAGGGGCATCGGCCTTCGTGCAGGAAAATCGAGGCACAAGAAATCTCCGGAGAGACAGACGATATTTTCGGTAATTGAGTGTTGCCTACATGTTGTGTAAGTCTCGTCTTGGTGTGGCTGACCCTGAAGGCATATAGACATGTGACGGTTCGGACAAAACAGTATTCATGTATCCTAGGCTTCGCATGGAATGCAGAACCGCTCAGTTCTTCTACCGCCATTACTACGCATGGAGCGAAGAACCTGTATGAGTGGCCACAACTCCGAACATCTCAAGCCGGCTTCTCAGAAGGGACACACAGCTTTTTGCATACAAGCTGATAGATCGCGTGACTGCACAAGGCTCCAGACTAGAGAAGTCTAGACAACAACAAAACCATCATAGACTAATATTGCTCGATCAATGGCGGACTATACCGGTATCTAACAGTAGGGCTTACGGATGGCTGCAGCTTGCGTTCCACGACATACAAGCACGTACAACGGCTGCTCTCAGAGCCTCATGTTTCCAATCGGATACTCACGTTCGATCATTATCCTGTTGCCTTGCCCGGGTGTGGCCTTAAACAACCCTGAGACGATAACTTTGGATTTACTTCACTTAATGACAGACGGGCGGGAAGTCTCTTAATCGCAGCAATATCCGAACCAAAACTCGGTCTTCCATGAGGATGCGGTTTCCGGCATGAAAATGTGCCGAATACCGCTTTGGCTACACACGCGGTCAGCACTACAAGCCGATGACCAACAAAATTCAAGGAATGAAAAAGTCAAAGAAGTCCGATGGAGACGATTACTGGAATTCAGAGTACAAATGAAAAGTTGTCGGTGAAGACTGACTGAGACCGCTCGAACTTATGCCAGACAACAGCTCAGACATGGCCCGAAGATGCATTTAGACCTCAACTTTTGTGATACCAGTTCGAACGTGGCCTTCTGAATTTATGCCTCTACCTATCACCTCGTCGGGACGATGCTCGCCAACCATGCACGTGGCCCTTGCATAGTGCTTGGTCGTCTACTCAGGCTTATAATCACGAGAATAAGTTTCTTCACCGGAAAGTGGTCTGTATGAGATCGCAGTATGCATATAAAGCAAGACCGCCCTTGTAACAAGTGTACGCAGTATTCGATCAAGAACTCAAACTTTACTATCGTTGAAAGAGGAACAACATGTTTGGCAAAGCTATCGGTCTGTTGGCACTCACAGCTCTCGCAGAAGCTTCCGGCAAGTGTCCTGCCATCTGGTCGACCATCGCTTCAGATCTCTCACAGTCCTTCATCGGTCCCAATGGATGTACCGACCTTGCACGAGGTGCCATCCGTTTTGCTTTCCATGACGCTGGTATGAACACCGGAATCATCAACAATATCAACACACACTGACTTCTTTTNGCAGGATCATACTCATCAAAGACACCAGTCTATCCGCCTGCGACTGGTGGTGCCGATGGATCCCTTCTCCTGAGCTCCGTAGAAATCTCACGAGACGAGAATGCTGGCCTCCAGCAATATTACAACTTTTTGCATGGCAAATACGACCAGTACAAGTCTCAGGTCGGTGCTGCAGACTTGGTTCAGTTTGCTGCAAGTGTGGCGATTGTCAGCTGTCCTGGTGGTCCGAAAGTTCAGACTGTATGTCAATCAAAACTTCTCAGTATGAATTGGACTAATGCAATCTACAGNGTAGTCGGTCGCAAGGATACCAGCACCCCAGCACCTGATAACCTCTTGCCGAAAGCCTTCGGACCAGGATCTGCTCAGCAGGTACTGATCCAGCTCTTCGAGGACAAAGGGATCAGTCAGCCTGAGCTTGCTGCTTTGATTGGTGCACACACTGCATCCAAAGCCACTGCTCAGGAGCAATACGGTGTTCCTTACAATGGTGAGTATAGGCATCGTCGTGAAACAAAGTTGATAGACTAACCGCCCTGAGAACANGGACCTCAAGACTCTACACCAGGCCAATGGGATGTGGCATACTACTCTCAGACAGACAGCCACCCAAAAGGTGTCTACAGTCTTGAGTCTGATGTCAACTTGTCTAATCCCAATTCAACGGTTGGTCAGGTATTCCAGAGCTTTGTCAACAGCCAGAGTAAGTTCATTGCCACGTTCGAATAAGCCTTTTCAAAACTAACATTGGATAGGNNCAAATGGAATGTAGCTTTCGCACCCGCAATGGCTCACCTCAGCATCCTCGGTATCTCTCAATCAGATCAAGCAAAATTTATCGATTGCACAAGCGCATTGCCCTCTGGATCCAATGCAAGACTCATCCGTGCAGCTCCTATCAATGATAGAATCAGATAAAGACCTCAGTATATGGAGATAGCACTTTATTCTGATTCATGCAGATAGATGGCTTGACTTTTCTTGCTGTTTCTTTTGATTTGAAAGCATTTGCGATTGCTGCATCTTGTGGGGTTGTTTGTATTGTTGGTGGAAGCAAGTGCGGCCTGATTGCTGCATGTGCTGACTGTACTGATGGGTCAGTCGTCATCTTTTCATCATCTCATCTCAATTCATCCCTGATTGTACTCATGTCAATTCCTTTGTCCATCAAGATGACCTTTTCTCTGCGCAAAAAAGCATGTCACGGCAATCTAAACAAGAACAATACTTGTAGTCTCCAAGACTTGTGTCCAAGACAAAGTGGTAAGAGCGGTCAGTCTGACTGGCGGACTCGCTACTTCCCATTTCATTATGTATGCCCACAGCTTGGATACTTTCGATTCCCTTTCCGCACAAACTGAGAGCAATGAACAGTGCATAACTTTACACGGTAGTTTTTAAAACAAACATTCGTCGAGTGAGATTTAATCAAGCCGCTTGAGAACATAACTGTTTGTATTACTTCCGTCATTTCCTCTCTTCTTCCATAATTGCACTGTTTTTTCTGGTCGACTCTCTCTAGAAGCCGCTCCAACTTGAATGCGATTGTGCATTCTTACAGCCCGAGTATCGTTGACCTCGACTTCTGGAACAGCCCTCATCTGCAGATCTAGGTAAGCTGTGAGTGATATGGTACATGGCTTGAGATTTCATGCCGTCAAACGACTGGTAGAAGCATGTCGCACCAGATTACCAAGTTCTTACACATTTCTTCTGGATCGCAAGTCCCAGAAGGCCTACTGTGCAGTAAGGATGTACTTCTGAGGCGCAAGAAATCATCAACTTGGCGGCCGTCATTGCTGAGCCGGGAAGTGGCAGCTGTGTTATGATGGATAGTGATTGCTTCATGCATGATATTTGCATCGGTCAGCATCAATGTTCGATGCTTCTTGACGTTGTTTAATATGAAACCCCTCGGAAACAAAATCATTCTATAAAAAATTGCAAGTCTCTCGCAATACATGAACTTGTAAGAAAAACGTGGATGATCGGCACCTTATCTCTTCGAGCTCGTTGTGGTTGGCTTCTTGGTGCTTGTTGACGATGGCTTATTCGACGTAGTCGCAGGTTTCTTCGTGCTTGTGACAGTGGGCTTCTGCGTGCTTGTCGATGTAACCTTTTTGATGCTCGTCGTGGTTGGCTTCTTGGTGCTTGTTGTAGTCGGCTTCTTAGTGCTTGTTGTAGTTGGTTTCTTGGTGCTGATCGAAGTTGGCTTCTTGGTGCTGGTCGTAACTGGCTTCTGGACTGTCGTAGGTTTGGTTGTTGTCGAAACCTTTTTGCTGGTCGTAACAATCTTCTGAGCAGTCGTTGTAACCTTCTTTGACGTGGTAGTGACCTTCTTAGAAGTTGTAGTCGCCTTTTTGCTAGTTGTAGAAGCAGGCTTGGTAATCGCGCATTTGCACAGACTGGTCAAAGCGGATGCAGTATACTTTTGAATGGCGATGTGGTTCTCGGGCTGCATAGGTTGTCAGTACGGCTCGATTTTCCGACAGGGTGACCTTACTAGGAGGTGAAGAAAGTACAGAAGCGCCACGGCTGTGTGAACTGTGTGCTGACTTCGGCACTACAAGAAGATGCTGATCGAGTCGTGGCAGCATCGGCTCTCTCTTCAATGTTCGATCGCTTGCGCCTGCGCTTGCATTTGGGTCCTGTCGTTACCGGCGAGATGCACTTGCAGAGAGCATCAACCTGAGTGGGGCTAAACTCCATAAAGGGAGACGCAGTGCGCGGACTTCGCAGACGTCAGCTTTTTGAGTCCGGCATGACCATGGTAGTGGCTCTTACGCTTGCTGCCACCATTGACAAAAGTAAACCGAGTCCGGAGTTGTGCGCTTCACTGTTGCGATGTCCTTTGCAGAACATGTTGCAGCTGCACGTTCAACAAGTGGAGAGGACGACACGCTCACAAGTTGTGCAACGAAACAAAGGAGAAAGGGTATGAGTAGGTGGATATACATCTTGGCGGCGGTGGAGTGGAAAGGACAACCTCGAGAATTCTGCGCTGCACCTACCGTTTATATCTTCTGACGAGATTTTACCAAGGGAGAAGCGGCGTCTTGCCCATGCCACACTCATATGATGAGACATGCAGGCCGGTTGGGAAAGAAGACAGCCTAGAGTACTCGTTCCTGAACAGGTTCCAATGTACATCAACGGCTCTCAGCAGCAATTCCACGTGCTTGGCCTGACGATCCAGCGTTTCCAGCTGTACATGACCTATGATTGCTTGACTCTAACCTCGCGACAGGAGGGCCAAGAACAGATCTGGATTACCGACATGAGACTCAGCTAGCCACTGTTAGCGTTCATGCGAGTGTTATAGGCAATGATAGCTGCAGCGGCATAACGGTATGAATCCCTTCCAACGGCGGTGGAAATATGTCTCGGAAACGTCTTGGAGAGGTGGGATGGATGAGTCTCGCAATTACAATTTCTCTGACACAAATGCGATTTGATCAAAGCATGTTCTCTCGCCTCCCGTCGCTGTTGCTGCAAAGAAACAGGAGAAGCAGAGAGCAGAGGTTGAGAATGGAAGAGGGGAAGATCCCGAACTTCTTCTTGGCGGCCAAGGCATGGGCGTCCATAGTCGTCAATAAGGTCACCTCCGTCCCTTATCGATCAAACAACTCCAATTTGACACCTCGCGTTGTCGCCACAGTGGTTGCAAGATGCACAAATGACTAAACCCAGATGTTTGTCTTGTCGAACACGACATACCAAGTGTACTATCAGCCAGGATCAAGATGTGTGTTTGCGATGTCAACAGCTGGGTAGGTCGCGTTGCATCTTTGAATCGGTATGGAGGATCAAACTATGCAAAAACGCTACTATAGCTGGCCAGCGTACCAATTTTCTGTATCGCCCTTCGCAGCCATGGGTATCAACGAGCACGAAGCTGGTATTCGTCCTCGAAAACGGCGACGGCCGGGAGAACATTGTCGGGATAGCGCATGATGGATCAGTCGTTGGTACAGAAGGCGAAATATGCACCAGCAACCAACTCTCAAAAGATCAAGATGATAGAAATGGTGCTCGATCTGACCCAGAAAAGTCGATGAACACGACGCCAGACGGTACTTGGGCGCACCCTCTACATACCGCTATAGAGCTTCTCACTCGCCAGGATGATGAATCGCCAAAATCACACAACCAACCTGAGCAGAAGAACGCTCCTGATACGCGGACATCGCTATGCCACATCCTATCACCACCTTTGACCTCGGCCAGCAAGCCTTCCACCGCTTGCTCGTATACACATTCGCCTGACAGTCCTGATGCACCTTCCCATAGTCCTCGCTTCATGAATCTCTCAACTCATCCGGTCACTTCTCTTACATATCGCGAAGTACTTCTCATGCAACACTTCATCCGCGTTGTATCGCCATGGGTAAGGCAGGTAACAATATCCACGAAAGAACGGTACACTAATGGTGTGACCAGNCTTGACGTTCTGCAAGATGTACCACGGTTTGCTCAAGAAGCGCCCCTTCGGGCGACCAAGTCTCCAATGCTGCTTTTTGCAATCCTAGCGACATCATCTCGACATCAGGCTCTCGGAGACAAAGATTGGCAAGAGGCTTCAAACTATCTTAATGAATGCTTGGAGCTGGTCATACACGCCCTCTCACGGCAGGAACATTGCCACGATGAGGATTTGCTTGTGACTATTGTCTGCTTGAGACTCTACGAACTGTTCGGTCATGAAACCTTCAGCTCTCTTCATCTTGATGGGCTCGCCGGCCTGTCGAGTGCTATACCTAATTTTCTAAATNNTCAGGGGGGTCTGGCAGAGGCGGCTGCCTGGGTGGCTCTTCGACATGACCTCTTCATTGCGATGATGAGCAAACAAGCGCCCAGGTTTAAGCTGGAAGATTACGAGCGCTCGAGCGTTTTCCGGAGACGTACAGACCCCAGCGCTACGGCCTATGCAATTATTCTGATATGGGCAAAGATCTTGCGGCATCTGTACTCGACAGAGCGGGACAATCTTTCTACCACCTGGTTGGGTCTTGAAGATGCTGTCAAAAATTGGTACAACGACAAAGGCTTTCAGCCTGTCTTTCAACAAGATGCGAATGTGGATCTCGACCAGCCGTTTCCAATCATTGGCATGATTAGTGCACCACAAGGTACAAGTTTTTCGTGATCATTCGAGAAGAACCGTAAAGCTGATTGTCGGTGANNAGTTATTGCTCTCCAGTATTTCTACACCTGTCAAGCATACCTCTACTTGTACAATCCGCTCGACCCCCAGCAAGCTATCCCTGAAGCAGTAAATGATGACCGATATCAAGCGGCAATCAGCTCAATATGCTCCATCATTGGCCTCGCGCGATCAAACGCCTGGGTGGACGATGCAAACTTTCCCGCTTGCCATAATTTGATCACATGTAAGAGAAAAATATCAAACGAGTCAAGTTGGTCAAACGAGATGCTAACACGAGCAAGGNNCGGACATCTTATCGCTGATCCATTGCAGCGTGACCATGCTCTCCAGTTCTTGGGATACATCAACAAACACTTCGGATATCGCATCGATAGGACTGCAAATCTATTGAAATATAAATGGGCAGAGTCCGATGCCCTCAAGAAGGACTGAAACGGACAAGACCTATCGTTTCACCGTATAGGCGACCACGAAACAGTACTCTGTTCAAGACTCGACGCGACGGACAGGAACGCGTGTAAACCATGCCAACCCCAAGCCGTCAATCTCGCCTTCCACCCACGACTCACGAACAACCTAGTCCTAGCCAGAAACAAACGACACTCCGTGCTCAAACACCAAGCTTTGAGCCAATTTGGTCGTAAAGCCACCACTCCATCAGTATGCAACGTCTGAACAACAGCTTCGAGTGCAGCCATAGACTCAAACCCACCATCCCAACACTCCCGAATGATCACCCCTATCTCATCATCACCTGTTTCAGGGTATTCGTGCCTACACCACTTCTCGTCCATCTCATCTTCGTCCTTACCAGACCACGGCTTGTACCCAAAATGGATGTTATAGATGATTGACCCGACAGCAAGAACCTCACTCTCGACACCAGCCAATGGCGTCTGAAAGTCATCGTTGAACTTGCNAAAGGGCGAGCTCGCGGCGATCAATTTGTCTCCACAGTTGACCGCACAATCAAAATCGATCAGTTTGAGATTCGCAGACTTGTCCAAAAGTATGTTATTCGGACGAAGGTCGTCGTGCGCCAGACTCAGACCGTCCAGCCATGCAACCGCAGCCACGAGTTACTGTATCCAGCGAGCCTCGAGTTGAGGGCCAATTGGCAGAGCAGGTTGTACAAGGCGTTGATACAAAGTCATCTCCAGATGCTCCATGAAGATGCCTTGCTGCTGTATCAAGATGGTGTGTACGACGTTTGGATGAGGCTTTTGCTGCAAGATCCGAGTGACCTTTTTCTCGTTCTCGATGCTTTTGATGCCCTCATTCATCAATACTTCCTGGCTTGGCGCAGGATTGTCGACAAGCATGGGAGCTTTGAACACAACATTTTTGCTGAGTTCTAATATCTGACCCGCAGCACCAAACGCTATGAGTGGCAGATACGTCTGGAATGGTCGTCTGAGAGTCGCTGCCATCATATCTTCAATTGAGCGATGGTAGTGCACTTTTATTTCTGTAATGGAAAGCAGAGAGAAAGGATTGAATCCAGGTAGTGGCTTGTTTACGCATTTCCATTCTTGGCGAACGCGTGCCCCTGCATCGACATGCATCGACAGAGGTACATATGTGAAACAATACTATCGCTTTATTAATTCAAGTTGGCTGAGATACCAAGTTCTTGTAATGAACCAGGAAACAAAAAACAACAGAATGTAAGAATGCACCTTCACATTTCAAGGAGTATCGTTTGTTATGTCATTCTTTGTCGACAAAGATCATTATGAGTATGGGGGCAAATAAGAAAGAGCTAGAAAAGCCATATGATCTCTCGCTTTTCTCTCAAAAGACTGGATCAATCATCACAGAAGAGAAGGAGGTAACCAAAGCCAAAAAAAAAAAAAAAAACACTCCGGCAGGATTGCAGCAAAAGCAACATCATCCTTCCCTTATCCTCAACTCTCTTCTGTACTTCTTTCTCCCTGGCCCCGGTTCGTCATCCTCATCCTGGCTTTGATGGTTGTCACTTCAATACTTCCGCCAAACTCCTCAATAACCCTCAATCAGCAAACCTCCAGTCTCTGATCTTGTCTCCAGGCATCTTGACTACGAATCTGCGTCTCGTAATCTCATGTACTTCTTCGACGAGGACATCCATCAGTTCGATGTCCTTACTGCTGCCTCCGAGGGCTCTTGACTTACCACTCGTCTTGCTGTGGTGCGAGCTCTTGCTCTTGTGGCTGGTATGCGATGCGGGATATCTCTGGGCAACCAGCTTTGAGGCTCCCGAGGCAATAGATCTTGCAGGAGGAGGTGGAGGAGGCATCTTGACCAAAGCAGTCTCCTTGTTCTCTCCCATGCCGAACTCGGGGATCTTGGGCATTGGAGGCATGTCAACAAAATCGGGCATCTGAGAGAAACCTGGCGGTGGTGGGATGCCAGCGGGGATATGGTAGATGTCTTGACGTTCATGACGGCTACGGTGTGAGTGGTGGGTGCCATGAGACTTTGGAGCTTTTGCGGAGGACGCCTTCTTCGAGCCGTGTTTGCTCGAACCGTGGGCGATTGAGGGAGCCTTTGGTGGTAAATTTTCATCTTCACCACCCTCTTCGATCACCGTAACTACCAAAACTTCTCGTTCGTGCCTTGATGCTTCGGTGGTTCCTCCACGCTTCGAACCCGCCTTGGAGGCTACCTTTGAGGGAGTCTGGGATCGAGCCACAGAGGCGGGTTTGGCAGGGGGCCTTGCACTGTGGTGTGCTGTGGGGACCGAAGTCACTGACTTGACAACATGCTGAGTATGTTTCTCAGAGCCGACAATATGCTCGTGCAAGCGTAGGTTCTCAACACTGAGATCGTGAGATCCTGGCATTGTTGATCGGCTTCAAGGTATGAACCAGTTGTTTGTAAGATAGCTGCTCGCTTACAAGTCTGTTGATATTGTCGTGCCTCACTATGATAGATGCTGGATCGTAAGCCAAGGCCAAGAATGGTTGTGGATGAAGATTGTGGAGTTCTGGAAGATCGGATAGCTGTATATTCTGGTGGACGAAGCACAATCGGAAGATCGGGCGTCTACGCAGATGTTGTGTACCCTGAATGCTGTAAACTACCCAAGGGTATCAGGAGTAAGCTTGTGCTGCCGCAAGGTATGGATTCTCTGATTGAGAACTGGCTGTGCCAGATGGTAGGAGATAGTCGTGTATGCTTATACACGACGATAGAAGTCGAGATTCTCTGAGTGGTGGAAGAGCTCGTGATCAATCACATGCCCAGTTCAGACTGAGCCTCTTACCAGTGCGTGTAAGCAAGCACCCGGTGATGAGAAAAGTGAAGGACTTGTGAAGCGAAGAAAGGAGGAATGACAGAGACGAGTATGTGTCTCAAGGTCAAAAGTGAGAGAATTTGACCTTTTGAGATAGATGAAAAAATCGCTACAGACGGCAGATAAAGTTAAGTGTGTAAGCCGATGCAAGAGAATCAGGTTCGGAAGAGGGTCGACGATTGAGTGGTTAAAAAGCTAAGAATTGATGCCCAAGATTGAAGAAGGTCTTATAGTGCAAGCCGATGCATGTGCTGTCAAGCGCTCCTGCTTATAGCACTAACACGACCCAAACAGGCGGTACTGCATAAAAACGTCATATTGCGTCTCAGATTGTAACTTCCAAGTAGGACGTAAGGGACAGTGAAAAGGAAAGAGCCAAAGAAACAACTCACAATCAACGTCAGAATCTGACTGGACGCGAAATCTCCGCCTTGGTGGCAGTCGTTGATTAGCTGTCCTCGTCACACATTCATACCACTTTACGTGCGGTACAGATGGGCCAATTCCTGTTGTAGGAACTTCAAAAAATGAAACATCTTGATACACAAACAAATAACCTATAAACAATGAATGATGCTCAAGAAGTAACGAAAAAGTCTATCCCAAGGGCCATACACCATGACAACACAAGACATTACACTACCTTCTTTCTACGAGCAAGAAATGCATTGCCACGTATCCAAACACCAAGAATACACCGCAGAAGACTGCAAGACCAACGGCATCGCTCCAAAGCGCCAGGACGTTGAAGCCGAAAGAGCTGAGAATGGCCGAGCCAGGTACCTCAATGTCCAGACCGTACTTGTGGTCGATGAGTGAGAGGTAACGCACTTCGTTAACAATCAGACCTTCGAAACCATAGTGGAAGATCGAAATNNCTGTGCAAGGGTCAGTGAGGTCATGGGACTCGGGATGGAAACAAAGACTTACGGATTGCAACCAACGAAGACCTCTGGGGATGGTCTCGTGATTGAGCAAAAAGCCGCCAAAGAGCAAGCTGAAAAGCATGACAAGAACACCAACCAGGTTTGCAACACCCTGGTTCTTGATAACTATGCCAATGCACAAGCAGACCGTCGCGGCAGCAAGGTTGAAGAGAACAACGAACAACATGAACTTCCAGAATTCAGCAGCCGTAGGTAGAAGACCGGTCATGGGATATACGATGACGGCCATGATTATAGGAGGAATGAGTCTGAGAGGAACGATATCAAAGACAACCTTGGACGCATAGTAAGCCAGGGGAGAGTAGTATCCCTTGGCACGCTCTCTGACGAACAAAAGACGTTCTGGAGCAAAGACGGTCAAGGAGGTGAGAGTGCTGAAAGCAAAGAGAGCAAGCAGGAAGAAGAAGAAACCAAGACGGTTCTGGAAGCCCTTGAGGTCGTCGGTCAAACCGTAGAAGAGGAATCCGAGGAAGACAGCGAGCAAGATTGCAATGGCATAGTGGGTTAGCATCAACAGAGGGTTTCTGTAGAGGTTGCGCCAGGTACGCTTGGACAGGATGACAAACTGGCCGAGAATGCCAGTCTTGCGGTAACCCTTGACTGTAGGCTGAGCAGAGCCGCCGTTAGCCGCACCATTAGCATGACCGTTCGACTGAGCTGCCTCAGAGACAGCATTGTGAATATCGTCTCGAAGGGAAGCAGCGACGTCAGACTCGGCGAAAGCTTGAACGAGGTTGTCAAGATCTGTGTTTGTGACTCCTTCAGCGTTGGGAGGGAGACCGTTGGGGTCATCGTGTGCTTGTTGTACTCCTCTCATCTTGAGCCATTGTTGAGTGTTCTCGAAGCTGTTCTCCAGAGAGGAAGCGTCAGAGCGAATGGTGCTTGCAGTTGCAGGCGGCTCTCGTGATGACTGCTTCCTCGTGAAGAGTGCTCTGTCTTGCTGCTGCTTGATCGAAGCAGTACGGCTGTTCTTGGGTCTCAGAGGAGAATCGGATGTGATGGAACCTCCTTGCTCGATGCTGAAGTTGGAGACACTTGGGACAGACTTAACAGCGATCGCGCTGCTTGCACGAGTACTGCGTCCAATGGGTTGGCGGAAGATAGAGCTGTCCTCAGGAATTTGGGGATGAGCGGTGCTAGCGTGCATTGTCAAGTCAACAAGGTAGTCTGCAATATTGAAGCCAGGNNGAGGACAAGAGTAGCCGATGTTGTCAAAGTAGGCCTGGCAGTTGCCGAAGGGGCCAGAGTAGACGGTCCTGCCTTTAGCAAGAAGGACTAGCTGGTCGAAGAGTGCAACAATGTTAGAGCGAGGTTGATGGATGGTGAAGACGACGGTTCTGTTGTATGTCTTGACGAGGTGAACAAGACATTCGACGACATTGAAGGCGTTGAAAGCGTCTAGACCGCTCGTGGGCTCATCGAGGAAGAGGATGCTCGGGCTGGTCACAAGCTCACAGGCGATACCGACTCTACGCTTCTCACCACCCGAGATACCGCGTCCATTGCCTTCTTCTGAGCCGATGAGCTGATCACGGATGTGGTAGATGCCGAGTTGCCTTTCAACGTCTTCGACCTTTTGCAACTTGGAGGCGTAGCTCATCTCCTTGGGCAGACGAAGCATGGCGCTGTCAAGAATGGTTTCGTGGACAGTCAAGGTAGGGAGCATGGTATCATCCTGGTCCACAAAGCCGATGACGCTTCTGAACTCGTTGTCGGGGATTTTCTCTCCATTGATCAAGAAGTTACCGATAACAGTGCCACGCTTGTTCTTTCTTGCCAGAATATCCAGGAAGGTGGTTTTGCCAGCGCCAGAGGCGCCCATGATGGCCATGAGCTGACCGGGGTGAACGGCACCTTGGATATCTGTGAGGATCTGCTTGCCCTTGAGGGCATACGAGACGTTTTCGAAATAGAGACTGGCGGGTTTGTGGTCGGCAAGAAGAGCGGCATTCAAATCGTCCTCGTCCTCGGAGAGGTGGATAGGGCCGTACTTTGCCTTTCTGCGCGAGAGGAACCAGACGATAAGGATGACAGCGACGACGAACAGAGCACAACCAGCAATGACGCCGGCAATGAGTGGTGTATTAATCTTCTTGACGGGTCGTTCGTAGCCAGGAACATCGGTGACATACAGACACTCTCCAGAATGGCACTTGAGAGTGATGCTGTCGTCTCCAAAGACGTTGGAAATGAGGTCGTTCATGGCGGGCTCCTGGAACTTGCTGCCATCTGAAGCGCCGCCGCCATCGGTCGAGACAGACGAGAAAGTAGCGGGGCCCTTGATGTCCTCTTCCAAGAAGTCTCCAATGTCGATCGAGTCGGCCTCGCCACAGAGCATTCGTCCCGGTATGCATCGGCACTTGATGTTCTCGCAGTGGTACGACGTCGAGTTGCGGTTGGGTTCGGCTTTGGACGACCAGGTGCAGGTATCGAGGGCGCAGTAGAAGGATTCTACCTGGTCAACCCAGACTAGACTTTGTCAGTGGAAGCTACGGCGAGTGTGTGGCATTAGAGACATACACTGAAAGTTGCACTCTGCGCGATCGGCGTTGCAGGAAAAGGTGGCTTGGGGCTTCTTCTCCTTGAGGGTATCGAGAATCTTGCGGTTGGTGATGTCGCACATTTGGTAGTTCTCATTGACAACCAGACCCTCGCGATAACAGACACCGCCTTCGCCCTCAGGCATCATGGCATTGCAGGCGTCGTTGGTCTTGCAGACGTTGCAGTTTATGCCTTCCCAACCCTCCTTGCACTCGCAATCGTGGCCCTGACGGGGCAGTCTGTTGTGGCCATCGGGCAGCGAACCACAGAGCGGCTGTGAGCAGTCCTCGCCACCAAAGCCTGAGGGACAGGCGCATTTGCCGCTCGATTTTGTGCAGTTGGCGTACTGGTGGCACTGGAAGTTGTCCAAGTTGCAATTGAAGCATGGTGGGCAGTCGTCTGGTCGGTCACGGTAGATCGAGAAGGGCGTCGACGAAGATAGCGAGTTGGAGAAGTCAGAGTGGTACTGGTTGGTCTTGTATGCTGTCGCTGAAGACAGCAGGCCAGCGGCGGCCAGCCATAACACCTTCATGGTAGGAGCAGGCACGAGTGGCACGCGAGTCGTCGGTGATTGAGTGGGATTTCGTGTCGAGACGCGCCACTAGGAATTCGAGCGGCTCGGTGCAGGTAGCTGCGCGTGACGTAGGCAGGTATTTCGTCGCTTCCCTTCAACAACGACACTTGCAACACAACGAGGAAGGAGTGACTGGACTGTTGGAGTGCCTGCCTCTTGGAACTACCTATCTTCAGGCTCGCCGCCGCTCTCTCGTGACTCCAAGCCGTGCCCGTCCCGTTTCAAGAGCTCGAACCCTGCCCCACACCCAATCTAGCCGAGGTCGATCGCGTCAAGACCTTCCTATCCTGGACGCTCCGCGTTTACTGCGCCTGCTTGCTAGATAGACACTCCATGCAACCTCGACCACATCAACATAGCACCCATCACCACATAATACCCTCATACTCAGTCCATCACATCAACTGCGTTGTCTTGCTCCTTTTAGTGCTTCAGCAAAGGTTCAACGCTCGACCAAGTTCGCCAACATGTCCACTCGCTACCCCAACTGCTCTCCACGCAATGATACCATCGGGTCGGACCAGCAAAGCCTCATCTTCTTGCAGCTTCCAGGCCTCTTTGGCTGACTTCTCGCTCTCGCGATAAGGGCCCGACGATGCGTTGACGGCATACGCATCCACCGGTACTGCTTGCTGTCCAGCAGCCTCGATCCATGCTGACCCGGCCTCTACCGTAAACAACACAAAGTTTCTCTTGACAAGATCCAGGCTCGACAGTCTTTTGCCATTTTCGCCGGTCAGCCATATATGAGGGAGCCTGCAACCTGCAACCACCGAGGGCTCGTGTGGATCCTCGTAACTGTTCTCCACGCCCTTCTCTTCCTGGCCATATCGGTATCCCAACTCGCAAACAAGATCGGGCAGCTCCTTCACACATTCCGGTTTCCTGTCGCGGAACACTCTATTGACAAGTCGAGAGAATGCCTGGTGCATGCTGAAGTCGCCGGCCGGCTGGCGCTCTGAGTCGTAGGTATCGAGCAAGCCTTTAGACGCTTTACCAGTCAAGACGTACGCCATTTTCCATGCTAGGTTGTAGGCATNCCTAGACATCGTCAGCTTGGCACCTGCATGTTTTGTTCCATGACTCACTGCAACGCCCGTATTGCCGCCCATACCACCTGTGATTGGTGTCGTTAGCAACCATCCATCATCTCGTCAGAACAGATACTAACCAGCAGGTGGCATTGTGTGTGCTGCATCACCCATGAGAAAAACTCTCCCAGCCTCACTGGTGTACTTTTCTGCGTTGTAAGCAGCGACTGTCCAATAAGAAATGAAGTCGACCTCGAATCCGCACTCATCAGCGTCGATTCCGGAACAAGCTTCAAAGAATTGGCGTGCTTCCTTAGCGGACACCGAGTCGGGCTTGAATCCGGTTTCCCTATCTTTGGCTTTGGAGACTATCAAGAAACCACCTTTGCCGCCGGCATCGAGTCGGAATCCTCCCGTAAATTGGGCGTTCATGATGTATGTCACGCCATGGACTGCTCTGGTGCCCAGGTAAGGAACCAGGTTTGCTTTGAAGTTGATGGAGATGCTGTTGGCAAGATGGCCTGGGCCATGCCATTCAATACCTTCACGCTGTCTTGTGGCGCTCCTATTTCCGTCAGCAGCGATGAGATATTCGGTCTTGTATTTCTTCAACGCGCCAGTCTCCACGTCTCGGACGACAACGATGACTCCATCTGCACGTTCCTCGTAGTGCATCACCACCTGGCCAAATCTTTGCTCCGCATCATATTTGGCAGCATTTCGACGAAGGAGTGGCTCAAACATATCTTGTGTAAGCCAGAGACGTTTGCATGGTGTCAATTTGGCGACTTCAGTAGGGTCGCTTTCCTGATGAGCCGCAATGATCTTGCCCTGGTAAAGTTTCTCCACAACAAGCATTCCAGCGTCTAGGTCAAAGTTCTTTTCGCTCTCTGCCACGAACAAGTCTTCAAGTCCAAGTTGACGTAGCACTTCGACCGTACGGAGCAGAAACAAAGCTGCCCGAGGATGAATTGCCGTAGAGGGATGACGATCAAAAGATATTGAGTGAANTGCTAAAATCTGAACATTAAATCAAAGCCACTAGAGGAGAGAAGGGGCAACAAACCCATGGTATCCGAGTAACAGCCCCATAAACATACCCACCATACTGCTTCCAATGATAACAACAGGTATCTCTTCTTTCTCCAGTGGAATCTCGGAATGATCAAATGGTCCGAATTCGAAAATCGTCCGTTTCGATCCCGGCAGCGGAATCGTGTCATCGATTTGTTTTGCTTGCTCCATGGCTTTCTATGTCGATAATAGTGGGAATAAATCGATTGGGTTGTTACATTCTTGCAAGGCGGACAGAGGCCATTTATATTAAACGACTATCGGGAAATGGAGAGGGATCGACAGCGGAGTTTCCATGGAGCCGTCCTGTTTGTTCTTAAAGCAAACAGGACCTCGTATCTTGGTGCAATGCCTGCCCCTGCAATCGGCCTCTCTCCTACATCGACATATAATGTTATTGTGTGGCATAAAGATGCACGGTTGCTTACACACTCCCTCTTCTCTATATATCATTGCGAGGACTGGTAGGATGCTCCGGGCGCGGGACGGCTGACACCTCACCGGTCCGGTATATCCCACAATATCTTAGTTGGACAGTCGTCCCTAGCGACCGATAGAAGTTCACCACGAATCTATCTAATACTCAAGACCTCGGAGCTCCTTTCTATTTGATGCAATCACCAGACTTGAGGGGAGATATCTACGGAGAAAGAGAAGTGAATGAGTGCCGGAGATGCCTTTTGACATGGACTTTGAGACTCGCCCACAATCCATATTTCGACAAAGTGTACGTTGACAGAATAAAAGTAACTGTTGCAAAGAAAAAAAGTTCTATTGTATGATCTTGTTCTGAAAAGTGGCTGTGAGTTTCTCTATGCATATGCTCATGTTTAGAGAAAGCCAGTTGACTTACAAGTGGCCGCCAAATTACAATGCCACAAGCGTAGAGAGCAACGATCCCATGACCGACCATCCCATCGCCAAACTCGACCACCCACCCAACTCCAGCCTCAACCCCGAGTTCTCTATTGTTTCATTGGTCTTGGTTCCCGCGTCCTCCGTCGTCGCATTCTCCGTCGTATTCATCGTCTTGTCAGGTGTATCACACGTCCACTGATGCACAGCATGCAAAGCATCTGCACACTTTCCAAACTCCTCGGGCGTCTTGTCGCCCAAATGGCAATGCACAGCCGCACGAGTGTAATTGTCGTTTTTGTATTCAGGGCTGTCGGTTGCATAGGGCCATGGCGTTATTTCGAGAGGGGTGACCCCGTCGCAGCAGTGGTCCATGATGTTTGTGTTGTTGCCGCAGAGGGTCATTGTGCAGCTGGGTCCAGGGATGGACATTTGGCCAGACCACCATACATGGCCTCCGACTTCGCACATGGGCGGGATGGGTCTTGTAAAGTTCCAGAGTGCGGTGTCGTTCATCTTGACTATGTGCTGTGTGGGTTCAAGGTTGGAACTGTATGAGAATGGGATTGTGAAGAGACTCGGGTTGTAGTAAGAAGAAGAAAAGTGGTGTAAGACCTGCAGGAATAAAGGTGCACGAGTAGCAAGTTTATATATCCCTTTCGTGATGGAATTGACACCGAACTCCAAGGTGCTTTGGCTCTTAATATACCGAGTCAATGGTGCCCATCCATCTCAATATCTTTGGTTCGGCCCTGAACATGGCCTGAATTTGATCCTTCGACGTGCACGTACTCGTCGAGACTACGTGCTTGTTATGATGAATCTCTTCCCATGCTTGGCTCTCCACTGTCAAGGTTCCAGAGTCCCATGGGCATGGTCTATACTGTGAAGGATGGTCTTGCTGCAGCCTAAACTCTCCATCACAGCCACAAAGGGGACATCCTTGGAGTGGACGGAGAGTGGAGTGACAAATGTTTGATATGGGGATGTTCCGCCAAGTTGGGTCAGACTTTAGCAAAACACGGCCGAGTCCGGTGCAAGTACAGAGAAGGATTTCCTCACACACACACAACTGTGGAACGCCGCGGATAGGTATGGCAACCAATGGCTTCGCGCGGTGGTACTCTGCCGAGTCAGTCCAAATCACACACCTAGTACGGAGGATTCATCGAGTCAGTGGTATTGCAGGGAAGAGATGTGGCTCGGAGGTTTTGCTTGGCACCTCATTGCGCGGATGAACTTCGGAAGCACTCTTGTGTACTATACCACCCTGACCATCTATATAAAACTCAATGTATACACCCACAACGCCAGCATCAATGAGAATAGGCTTTGAGGATACCGCTGAAATTTACAGCATCGTTCTCACACGGCCTTGCTCCAATCAACGGTTGCTATGCATGGATCTTCCTGAGAACCAAAGGGATCTGGAAATGATTGCGACGATCTTGTAGCGGTAACGACAGACGTGACAAAACACTTAATTAGAACTTTGGCCAAGAAGCGACAGGAAATCTGGAAGGCACGACATAAATGGGGTGTCGAGCATCAAATGCACAATCACATTGGAAAACAATTGTGGATGATGACTTTGCATAGGAAAATTGTGAACATTGAACATTTTTGGCTTTTGAGAATCTCTAGCTCGAGATAACACCCTCTAGATGTTAGAGAAGAAGAAAGTGGGGTTACTGGATCACAATTGTTAGCAGGTGAACTTTTCAAAAGAAAATCCAGGAAGATGGACTTACGCAGGAACAGCGTTCTCAGCCTGGGGCGGCAGCTCGGGCATCTCAGTACCCTTGGCAGCAGCGGCCTCACCCAAGCTGGCGACAACCTTGCCGGTCTTGCCACCTTGCTCGACCGAGATGACTTCGACGCAGACACATCTTTGCACTGTGCTCATCAAGCCAGGAACCATCTGTGCGAGCACATCGACTTCGTTGTAAGCGAGCTTGCGCTCGAAAACAGTGTTTGAGTCGATGCCACCCTCTAGGCTCTTCTTGAGGGTTTGGATGAAGGGCATAGCCTTCTTGCTGTCGGCCTTGTCGACCTTCTTGCTGATTGCCTTCATGTCGATGGTCAGGCCGTCGAAAGCGTCACGGACCAAGTCGATGACCTTGGACTGCCAGCTNNAGGGTATTCGGTTGCCATGAAGATGGTCAACTTCTTAGGCTGCTTGGGGTCGTAGTTTGTGGCCTTGCCCTTGGTCATACGCTTCAANCTGAGCACCCTCTGCAGAAGTGATGTTACCGCTGGTTTGGCGCACGTACTCACGAGCGGCGGTAAGCTCAGGCTTAGTGGCAGGAACTTGAGGGAAGAGCTCGTTCTGGACGGTGCTAGGCTTTCCAAGAACCTCGAGCCAAATGTACTCTGCCCAATGGGGTGCAACGACAGTGATCATCAAGGCTTGCAACTCGACGTACTTGCGGACAAGGTCCTGGTGCATGCCGATACCGGAAGACTTGGTAATCTCACGGTAGAAGTCACGGGCACTGGTGAAGTCATAGAAGCCAGACTTGAGAGCGGACTTGTAGTTGGTGGCGGCGTAGTGCTCTCTTGTCTCGCTAACCAAGCCATTGAGCTCGTTCTCGAAGATGTCGTCCCAGAAGGATCTCTCGCCGGTACGCTGAACGCAGTCGTTGTTCTTGAGACGCTCGGTCTTGTTGACCTCGACGTAGTTCTCGCCTTCCTTGAGAAGACGAGCGCCCTGGATGGTCTCCTCGCACCATTTTCTCAACTCAAAGAGCTTGAGGATGATGGCGTTGGCGACGGTCTCCTCGAAGTTGGCGTCTTCGATCGAGTCTCCAGCATCGGCGAGGGACACACGGGTGGCATCAGCACCGAACTTCTTGGTTGCATCGTACAAGGTAAGGAAGTTACCAGTGCTCTTGCTCATCTTCTCACCATTCAAGAGCAGATGGCCGTTAGCACGGATACCACGAGGCCAGTATTCGCGAGGGAAGAGGGCGACGTGGATGTAGAGGAAGAAGGTCAAGTGGTTCTGGATGAGATCCTTGCCAGAAACACGAACGTCCAGGGGGTACCAGTATTCGAACTCTCTGCGCATGGTCTGGAGAGTCTCCTTGGGGATGTCACTCTCGACGTCTTCACGACGGGTGAAGATGTAATCCCAGACCTCATCAGTCATTTGCTCAGCAGAGATCTTGCCAAGACCTTGTGTGTCTCCGTAGATATCAGAGTGCAAGTAGTGAGCAATTGTGTAGTAACTGGGGTAGACGGTAGAATCGGAGAGGGATTCTACGAGGAACTTCTGATCCCATGGAAGCTTCGAGCCAAGACCATAAGAACGAGCGCAAGCCCATTGACCCAGCCAGTCGAGAGTCTGTTGGAAGGCGTTCTTGGCCTCGGTGGAGAATGTGTTGAGCTCGCCGTTGACGTGTCCAAGGACCTCCTGTTGCCAGGCCTCATCACCGTTCTTGCCGTAGTTGAGGTACCACTGATCTAGATGTCCAGCGACACACGAATCACCAGAACGGGACATGACCTCACCATCGGGCTCGGCGTAGTTGAAAGCGTTGCCGGCGTCGATGAGAGTCTGTCTGACAAGCGGCTTGGCCTCCTCGACGGACTTGCCCTTGTGCTCACCGTAGCACATGGTACCCTTGTAGAAGCCTTCCTTGTAAGCAAGGTCCTTGGCCTCAGCAAGCTGCTTGGTGTCCTTGGGCGAGGCAATCTTCATGTCCTCACAGAGCTTCTTGGCAGTCAGGTTTCCGTAGGTGGGGGTCTCGATGATGGGAAGAGGCTCGAGGTCGGCCCACTCCTTCTTAATCTTGTAGTAGTCGGCCTTCTTGACCAAGTCCTGGATGGTGATGTAGTCGTCAGGAGAGTCCGAGGGAACACAAGTAACGACGCCGGTACCCTTGGAAGCCTTGACGGTCTCCATAGGCAGAATGCGGACGTTCTCGTAGACGGAGAGAGGAGCGTTGATGAGAGTGCCGACAACGTCTGAGCCTTGCAAGTCGGCGACCTTGGGGAAGACACCCCACTCGGGGAAGATGCCCTGGAACGCCATGTTGCGAGCGGCTCTTTCTGACACGAAGTAGTATTCGGTCTCGGAGACCTTGTAGATTCCGTAGCCGATCTTAGGTCCGACAAAGCAGCAAGTTTGACCGTACATGGTTTCTGGACGGAGAGTGGCGGGGACGAAATAGACGTTGGCGTTCTCGGGGAGCTTGCCAGCAAGGATCTTTTGTGCGGGCTCGGCCCATTCTTGAACCTTGAGCTTCAAGGCAGTGTATTCTTGAACACCGACACCCTCACCCGAGCTTCTGTCGTGGTCCATGCATGCTTGTCCATCCTTGGGAGAGTAAACAGTGTAACGCTTGCCGAACTTGATCTTGCCCAGTTCCTTCAGACGGTTCATTTGCCAGCGGACGAAAGCATCGTAGTAAGGGTTTCTGTCGGTGGTGACCATACTTCTTCTGAAATCGACTCTTGCACCGATGTTGGTGAGGTCGCGCTCGCAGAGAGCAGGAAAGTAGTTGAGCCAGTGGTCCGAATCGGCGAATTTGTGAATGTCCTCCTTTTGAATTCCAAGAGCACCCATAATCTGGAACTGGTACTTCATCGAGACAGCCTTGGCTGCGGCCTTGCTCTTCTTCGCGCTGAACTTTGTAATGTCGGCCTTTGTGGTTTCCTGGGTGGGAGCGGGCACGGCATCCTCCTCGGCGTCGTCCTCCTTGTAGTTTTCAAAGTTCTTGCCAAACATTTCCATCTCACGGGCCAGCTTGTCGGCGCAAGACTTGATGGGCATACCGGTGCAGTGGTATCCTTGGGGGAAGAGGGCTCTCTTGCCCTCCATGCGGGCCCATCCGGTAGCGAATTCGACCTTTGAAACTGTGAATGCGTGGCCTGCGTGCAAAATGCCGTTNNCTGCAAAGATTCAGTTAGCATGTTTCGTGCAGTAGACAACCACAGGCTTCAGGACCATGTACGGATACGCAAGAGTGCTAAACCTGCGTATGTATTAGCACGATGAACGCAGAGAGAAGTCCTCAAGAATGTACTGTTTGGGTTGTTGCTCGCGAAGCTCGGCGGGGCTGACTGAGTGGAAGGGAACATCTTGGAGCGAGGGAGCGTCGGACTGGAAGATGGCGTCTTGCTTCCACTGCTGCTGGTACTTCTTCTCGGTGGCAATGAGGGTGTCACGCTTGTCGGTCTGCGCATAACTTGATCAGTATAGGTAGAGGCTTCAGCACAGCTCGTGACTCACGTTCTCAATCTTGAGAGTACCCTGAGTATCCTGGGGAGCGGCCATGGTGAAAGAGCGGTATCGAAGAGGCCTCGATCGCAATACCCGCAGATTGCGCAAAGAAAGACTAAACAACGACGTGGTGGGCAAAGGAGGTTGCTTTGCTCGGTCGAAGAGAGAGGGTTGCTGCGATTGCGGCGCTGGCGCTGGCGCTGCCCAAAAGTTTCCCCAGACGACTTTTGTTTCTGACGCCCGCCAGTTTGTCTTGTTTGACACGACATACCGCGCTCTGAATCTATCCACGAGGGTGCTCCTTCCAATTCTATAGCATAATCACCATGTTCTTTCCAAGTCTGTTACGGCGGGCGAACGCTTTGCCCAAGTTTGATTTTGCGAGGAACCCTTACAAATCGAAACGCACATGGCCGCCGGACTTTACCAAACTCTCGCAAAAGCATCAGTTTCGTCTCGAACGCCGCTACCGTAGGAGGGCAAAGCTGAAGTGGGCAAGACCGACATGGACAAAGTTCGTCAAGCTGTCCACCTGGGCCACTATCTCGTGTATGTATAGTTTCGATTTATGCGACAAGGATGTACTGACTCTGTGCTTAGTCGTCGTTGTCTATGGTCTACTGTTCATGGACATTGAAGAAGGCACCGTCTTTGGCACTGTACGTNNCGACTTTCTCACATGTCATAGCGACTTGCACTGACACACCCAGATCCGCGACTACTACGCAAGAGCAACCAACGACATGTTCGGCACAGCCAGACGAGCTCCTCCTATCAAGCAACGTGCTACCACCGAAGACGATCAGTCCGTGTCATGAGCTATCGAGAAATACTGTAACACAACATGAACTGTCAAATATCCTGCTGTGACCACCTACCGACCACTGTAGGCAGCCAGCTTGGGCCGGGCACACAACAGAGTGGTAGTGACAAGAGATGAGCACAAGCCGTGTGAACCACTGCACTCTGTTTGCACATGGTCGTCCCAAAGATTCGGTTGGTGACTCGAGTCCCTGCGACAGACGCGCGCGATGAAAGACCGAGGACGAGCACAAGTTTGGATTACTTGAGATCAATGCTCCTAGACGATGAAGTAGTAGCTACATGAGCCCTTGGATCAACCAAGAGGATTAATTAGTGTATACATGCCGCCAAGCTGGACATACTATATACGAAGATTTAGCAATTTACCGGAGTGCAGACCGCATCTCTTCTTACGGTGCGTTGCTGCAGAGAACCATCTTGAAACATTCTCGACCAAAAGTGGCGGTTTCAGTCATGCTCTGGAATGCATTCCATGCCTTTTGCATCCATGTGGCTGGCGAGGAGACACGCAAAAGATGCTTGGCAAGCTTGCAAAGGTTTCGAGGTGCATGCCTTTGTGAGAAGGAACCTCATCTGCCCGCCCAGATACCAGGTCCGAGGCCACCAGTACGGCTGCCCTCATTCACCGGCCGTTTAGCAACCTTTCCTTGCGCCTTGACTCCTTGTACCACTCTGTAAAACATTAGAAACGAGCACAGAAGACCACATCTAAACACATACTTATCCAATCCTGTCTCGATCACTACGCCACCAACGATCATCTCGCCCAGCACAGCATGTAGCGTTTCAAAGTTGAAGATGAGATCGAGTTCGCAAACGTTCTCGAAGAGCCTATCCAGTGATTCGACAAAGACTTGAATCAGGTCGAGCAAGGCTAGAGGGGACTCGGTGCTAGTGCTGATGACGATGAAGTAGAGAGTCGCATAGTGGCGGTAAGTGACCAGAGAGGGTACGTCGTTGTGGGAATCTGATACAGCGCCCGCGGACTGAGCAGGAGCGAGAAGAGGTGGTAGTGGTAGGAAATTGCATGATGATGAAGGTCGGGCGGAGACTAGAGTAAAAATTTCGGAGATCAGGCGTTGCTGGACAGCAGTATNCCTAGAAGAAGCGTTCAGAAAGATGTTTCGATGGCTTTGTCCTTCTCATCGTACCAGCTGTGTGTAGAACTTGGTCAGACGCGGTTGGCCATTGTTATTGAAAACCAGGACGGCGTTGATCATTGCTGCTGCGTGACACTGTTGTGCTTTGAAAATGAGGGGGATTGCGACAATCTATGTGCTCGACTGGAGCGAAGGTTAGAATTTCGACCTTTTGTATGTGCAGCACGTGGTTGTATGGTTCTCAGGAACAAGCATCGATGCGAGGCGGTCATCGAGCTTCACAGGGCCCACCTCCACATGGGCCAAAAGTTTGTCACTTTGGCTCTACTCAATCTTAGGTTCAAACATGCATGAGTTGTCAGAACACAACACATTTTCGTAGGTAATGTTACATACACAATTAGTACTCTGGTCAGCTATATCTTCTTGAGTCCACATATGACTTGAGCTTCTGTGTGTTTCCACAACTTGTCAAGTGACAGAATCGAGGTAGGAGATTATATGGGCCCAGGCCCCCGCATTCGTCATTGTCTGGAGCTCGGTCGGTCTGTCGCAAACAACTTCATCTCGTCCATCACACCTCAGGGCATTGTCCATTGACCACTACAATCACTTTGGCAACATCATCATCCATCGGTACTCGTCACTTCACACTTGCAAGTCCAACCATGTCTGCCCCTAGATCGGTCCGCTGCTTGCGCCAGGCAGTTCGCAGTCTCTCGACCCGTCCTGTAGCTCCCAGATACCTGTCCAGACAAGCTCCCGTCGCATCACACGTCGCTACTCGCTACTTGTCCTACACTTCGCGCAGCTACAAAGGCATCTTGCCCGACACCGAGGAGCCTACACTCAAGGAGAGAGAGCCTCTGCACGAGGTCAACGAGCCCACACCCATCGAGGTTGAGGAATACCACGAGAGAGCAGACCAATACCTCGAGGAGCTCGTCACCAGGGCCGAGGAGCTGGCAGAGGAGAAGGAAGGTGTCGACGTCGAGTATTCTGTAAGCATTCTCATACCTGCAACTCTTGCATCTGCTGACCATTCATCCAGNGCCGGCGTGCTCAACATCGTCTACCCTCCCAACGGCACCTACGTTATCAACAAGCAGCCTCCGACCAAGCAAATCTGGCTGAGCTCTCCCATCAGCGGCCCCAAGCGATTCGACTGGGTCATGCTGGGCGAGTCGCAGCAACAGAAGGAGGGCGCTGCATTCGGCGACTGGATCTATCTGAGAGACAAGACCAGCCTGACCACTTTGTTGAGAAAGGAGTTGGGCCTGACTGTTGGCGAAGAGTCCAACCGTCCTTGATCCCATCAGCTAGCCTTGAAACACAACCGTCCAAATGCACAGTCATCCTAGACAGACACTGCATTGTGAGAAAGCCCGTTCACCTCTCCTTGCCAGCATACACCAGCTCCTGAACAGGACTGTGCATTTCTACACCTTCGATCCTATTGCCGTGTTTGTGGGAGATGAAGAGCATTGGTGCATACAACAGTCGCGGATGTCTTCCGTAGAGTCACACTAAGCATTCGCATATCATCCAGATTCGACCTCGATGCAAGGGCAATCCCCGACAAGATACGGTATCAATGTAAGGACTTGTTTGCCCTCAAACGTACCTACAGTGGGGAAATCACCTTTATTCGCCGTTGCCACGTCGCTACTGTTTTGACCACTGCTCCGTCTCCAGTCACCGCTCATCCGCCAGCGACCCATGTTTGTTTGCTCTGCAAACGGTAATGAAACCGGTTCAGACACTGTCACAGGTTTCAGCGGCCAAGCATCCCTTGCCGGACGTTCGTTCTGTACATCCACATTTGCACTATCAGAATTACCCCATTGACAGGTAACCCACCCTGTTAACGAGTGATAGCGTTGTATCACCCTGCACTCCACACTTTGCCCTCGTATCCACCTTCCTCCTCACTTGCCCGCACCTGCAGCAACAACGCACCATGTTATTAGGTTGCTCCCTTTCGATCACCCGTTTCTCACGGGGATATTAGCAATGTACCCCCCCAAGAGTCAGCTATACAAAAGAACGACAAGGCTTGTATCGTATGCATGCAGGTTAGGCAATTACGGAAGCTCAAGGTGTGGTGAGGCTTGAAAGGCTGTTGCGGGGGAGTCGCTCAACTGCAATGACCTCGGAGGTTCGCCAACGGTCTCACATCCCATCGCCTCATCGCTGCAAACAATCAACAACTACTCGTCGACTGAGACATCTCATCCTCAGAACGGCGTTACGAGGTGATGGCCAAGTCATACATATGCCAACTTTACCCATGTGACCCTTCTTGTATTGGCTCAACCATTCCAAAACATGAGATGCTCACCGCAGCCCAGCCACCAGGCCATGAAGATCCCCTTCCTCCCTCACCACCCCTCGGTGTCTTGTTGTTTTCTTGCCACAGATCTACCTGCATGTCATCTAAAGGTATACTGTACCTCATCTCGCGAGCCGGTGGCGGAGGTAAGCAACACAGGCGCCACCATGCCATCACATCACTGATCAGTACGAACGTTCATATCATGCGGCCGTTTTAACGTTGGTGGCAGATCAAGAACGAGCTCACTAACCATCATGCTTGGGGTGCCGGCTAGCCGAAACGTCTCTGATTCAACTGCTCAGGAACAGAGACACCAAGAAAATGAAATGATGCAACGAATGAATAATCGGAGTGGCCCGAGGAAACCAAATCGTATGTTTTGCGGTGGCTGTGACTGCGACTCATGATAGGCATCAACCGCGGAGGGTCTGGTATGCAACAGATAGGCTTTTGTCATGATGCGTCGATCATTGCCGATGGCACGGATGCTGCTGCTTTCGGTCAAGCCGTGTATAGCATGCAAACCTTAGTCGTCTTTACCTCGAGCTCCGCCTTGCGGACGAGATGCTTGATGGCTGGATTTGAGTTGTAGATGCTGCACGTGAGGACTTCCATCTCGCTAGCTCCTCACAACAAATCTTGACACCAGCACCAAAGTCATCCATGATCCATGGTATGCAGGCTGGGAACTCGAGAGTCGTCGTGTTCGAGTGGGGCGCTGGGACGTCGTTCCCTTGCCGGCCTTGGCGGTAGATCCTCCCTCAACCCTACATGGGTCCATCGATTCTCATCGGCTTCATCGAGCACATCGTTGCCAGGTGATATCTGGCTCAGCAAGCAAGGAGCCATAATCTCCCATATTGTACAACGATTGTCCTGCAGAAAGAAATTTCCAAACAATGCCTCGACCAGCAGCTGAGAAGCTGTTGAACCTTTGCGAGCGAACGTCTTGCTAATACCAGCAGGGCTGACTGGCCTTAATTCGCGCGTGGGGGAGGCGCTATGGGTGCGTGCCACTTTGTGGAGAGAATACTTTTCTCAGTCAGACCCCGCTCCATGCATCAATCACATCTCGATGGCCTGCAAAAGGGTGATCCATTAGCGAATGTGTAGGATGGCTGGGCAGAGTGAGCGCGGGACATGCTATGCGAGCATACGCATGCAGTGGTCATGGAAAATTGTCAGGATGGTTGGAGGAGCTGCCAGAGAGGTTGCTAGGGTTTCTATTTCGGTCATTGACTTGACTTTCCAAGAAAAGATTTACGTCCGGAGTTACAATAGAGATCGTCACCAACCTTTTCGACGAGAGTTTGCGAGTCTGTTTGGTCAAAAGGCCGGACATCGAGACGTCACCGCGAGATGGCTGAATGCAGCATGATTCTTCGGTGCTTCTCTCGCAANGTGAGGGTCCGNCATGTGCTTGANGGGTTGCTGATGAGACGACTGGAAACAAAGACATGCATGGGTGCTGCGGCTCGCCTGCGGGTGATTGGGTGCGCCTGCATGCTTCCCGCCTGTCCCTCCCCGCCACGGCTGAGTAGATCCTGGGTTCGTCACGCAGTACGACCACTAAGAGCCGCAATGCTTGGTGGTCGCTGTTTGGGGGTTGTAGGNTTTGAGCAATTGGCCGGTTTCGTCGTTCATCTCCAGATCATTGGTACGACNATGAGCCGCCGAGCCGGTTTCCTTGCCCAGAGCCTGCTCGCAAGNCCCGCTAACCTCTCAAAGCACGTCCGTTTCTAACCTCTGCCCGTTGATCGCAAGCGGCCAACGGTAGGTACGTAAGCGCAGAGCGCTACAGCCCGTGTTCACCCAAGCCAAGCGATGGAACCATATTCCGGTGGACGAGACTAACGCCGCCTGGCCCAACCACCCCTCTCCCTGGCATTCCACAGGATAATGAGCTTGGGATATAAGAAGGTGGAACATTCCTCCCATTGTTGCTGTTCTGTTTACACATCAACTCGCCTCGCCAACCTTAAGAAGTCACTTCAAAGTCCGACCATCGCACTTTCCTCCGGTCACAGAACTCACTTTCGCTCTTCATCCATCACATCTGTCACCCACACCTGTCGTTAACACAGCCATCCATTCTTCTCTGCACATAATAATCTCTGCATCAACAACTACTCCATCACCAACATCATCACCATTATCAATATGAAGTCCTTCGCCATTGCTGCCGCCTTTGCTGGTGCCGCTGTCGCCATGCCCCAGGGTGTTACTCAGTCTATCTCTCCCAAGACTGGTCCTCCCCAAGGCTGCTCCAACAACTTCGATGGCCAGTTCAGCATCTCAATTGCTAACGTCACCACCACCGCCAAGCGTGACCTCGAGACTCGCCAGGACAAAGTCCTGACCATCACTCTTAAGGATGGTACCTTGACTGATGACCAGGGCCGCACTGGTTACATTGCCGCCAACAACCAGTTCCAGTTCGACAAGCCCGCCCAGACCGGTGCCATCTACACCTCTGGCTTCTCCGTCTGCAGCAACGGCACCCTTGCCATTGGCAACTCCGCCATCTTCTACCAGTGCTTGAGCGGCGACTTCTACAACCTCTACGACCAGTCCACCGGTGCCCAGTGCTCTCCCATCTACATCAACATCCTCAAGGCTGGCGGTGTTGCCTCCAGCGGTGCTGCCACTCAGATTGGCGACGGTCAACTCCAGGCTGCCACCTCCACCAAGGCTGTCACTCAAATCTCTGATGGTCAGATCCAGGCCTCCACTGCCGCCGCTCCCGTTACTCAGATCTCGGACGGCCAGATCCAGGCATCTACTGGCAAGCCTGTCACTCAGATCTCCGATGGCCAGATCCAGGCCCCTACCTCGACCGCTGCCCCCGTCACTCAGATCTCTGACGGTCAGATCCAGGCTCCCACTGCCACCACCGCTAAGCCCGTCACCCAGATCTCTGACGGCCAGATCCAAGCCCCTACCTCTGCTGGCAAGCCCGTCACCCAGATCTCCGACGGTCAGATTCAGGCCCCTACTGGCGGTGCCACTCGCCCTTCTAACGGTACTGTCGTTGCTGGCGCTGCCACTGCCTCGAGCCCCGTTGCTTACACTGGTGCTGCTGCCATGCCCACCTTCGCTGGTGAGATGCTCATTGCCGCTGGTGCCTTCGCTGTCGCCTTCCTGTAAGCAACTCGCTTGCATGGATACTTTCTTTTACACAACCACTCCCACGACCTATCCGCTTCCGCCATGATATTCATGTTGATAATGGGCACATTGGGCTCGTCGGGAGGGGCTTGTTTGTGCCGACGTCCCTCGTCGATAAGACAAGGGTCAATACGAGCTTGAGGTCTGGGCAACAGGACTATGCCTACTAATGTTTGATCAAGGTGGAATGAGATGCTTCCTCAAGGAAGGTAATAAAGACGTCTGCCGTCTTGGAAAACTGTTTCCATTTTCTTATTTTGCATTTTCTGGTTGGCATGATACCTTCTTGCATCCCGGAGCCTGCTTCTTTCTGTCTTTCTTTGTGCATATAGCCTTTACTTCTTTTTCTTTCGGGCAGACACTTTGTCTGTCAATGAACCAATTCTTCCACAACTACTTACTTCTCGTTCCCACTTGTGACTCTTACTATCGTCGACATGCTCGAGTTGGAGACTGACCTTGACGCTGGACAGGCTAAAGACAAAGTGACCTTCCCTTCCGGGACGCGTCACCACCCACCTCGGATGGAACGTGATAGTGCAAAGCCTCACCAAGCCTTTGGATATTCGGAAGCAAGTCCATCCCGTCTCTCGCTCGTGCACCCGCGCAACCGTTGATCCTCATTCAATGAACACGCTGCGTGGGCTGCCCCGATGCCACACTCTCGTTGCGATCTCGGAGTTTCTTGGTCTACAAAGATGCCACTCTCTCAACAAACCCAACCGAGATATTCTTTTCTTAAATTCAGCAATTGAGTTTCGCAGCGGACGCAAGTTGCTCATTATGCAGGAACCCTTGTCTGTGGTTCCAAAAACGTGCGAGTCGCTGTATCTATTCTTTCCCAAGCATCTTTGAGCCTTGGCAAGCGACGTCTGGCTGTGTTTTCCTTTTCGGTGTCAGTCATCTTCCAAACCCCGGAAAATCTGTTGGGAAAAGAAAGGCTTGCGGCGTTCCCGCTGTCGTTCTTTTTTTTCTCGTTTGCTGGGGTAATGGTGCGACGGACGGGGGTGTGGAGGTACCCGTATTGCGTGATATGATGGGAGTATTTTCGGAGCGATGAGGACGAGGATGAGTGGAAGCTGGAGTGTGGAAATGGACAAAAGAGCCGAGGGGTCTAATGGGAGAGAGGGTTAAGGACTTGAGATGGATTTGGTGTCTCGATGTCTGAAGTCTGGTGGTTGGGCTGGCTTGCAGTGAATATGATAGACACGCAAAATACACAATATGAACTGTCTTATCTTGGGAGTAAACTTGTAAAGCGAAGTGGAAACTGGAATTGTAGATACGCATAACATTGTTTTCTTGTAGTCAAAGAGATGCAATTCAAAGAGATGCAATGCTGGAGTATAGACCAGGGTGTCCCGGATAACATGTAATTTGAACTTCTTCATGATGACACAATGTAGGAGCATTGCAAGAGAAACACCTGTGACATTCTAGCCTTTTGAATTCTCTCCAAGCTTTGTATTTTGCATTTTAGCTGATGTTGGGTATATGGAGAGATGCGCACTTGAATAGGAGCGAATCAAGAACTCGTCCAACAAATGGTCTACAGCATTGGTAGCAGGTGACATCCTACGAGCGTCAATAAGAAACATGTAGATGATTATCAAATGTTGTTTGGTTCATTTGTTGACAATGCTCGTGCATGGCTTGTGATATCTGCATGGAAGGAAATTGGAAAACATGCAGGGTTGTAAAGAGCTGGAATCTGGAAATGAGGTCGCTGCAAGACAAGCTTAGAGGCGGAGATCATGCTGCAGGTGCGTTATCTCTGGATCTGCCCGGCAGGAAGAGGAATCCTTAGAGATCCCTCTCTTGCACACCCGGTTCGTTGGATTATAACTGTAGCTACGACTGATTGACATGTGATCTCAGGGTGCAAGCTTCACACATGGGAGACAACCGTTAAAGCTTCTCATACGATGTCTGGACAAGATAAGACGTGATTAAAATATTGTTTGATTAAAGATTAAGATTAGGTAGAGGGCTTGAAAATGTTGATCTGTGTCTTTGAGATGGTCAGTAAAAGATTCGTGTGAAGCTGTCAAGACCAAAGTGAGAGATGTGGAAAAAGAATCAGACATCCAAGGAAGATGTTGCGCTCAACGACCGTCTAAGATAGGTTCTAGGCGACGGCTAGCGTGAAAACTGCGAATGTGGTATGGGTTTCATCATAAAGAAGGGGTTGTGTTGTGTAGAGGGCAAGTAAGAGCGCGAAGCGACTGACCATAGCTGTTGATGGGTGTCGATGCTGTTCAACAGTCGTTCGACACCCCGAGTGTGTTCCAATGACTCCTTCTCTTGATCATGTTCGAGCCGAGATGCGAATCCTATGCTTCAGCGCTTGTTAGCACGATGTTCCACCAAAGTGTGATGCAAAACGAGGTGGGTTTGAGTGTGGTGTCAGACAAAAATATACTGGCAAGTATACAGGCTGCCAGCGACGGCTGCCCGAACAGATGGTCTTCGTCAAGGTCGAATCTGTTGGGAAAAGAAGACATAATTGTAAAAGTTGTCATCATTCGGATGATGGTGGGAAGAGCGTGTGCAGTGCGCGAAGAAAGAAGAGATACTCACAGATACTACACGGGCCGTCGAATATCGCGCAGACAGGCATAACAGATGCGCGAGAGTCTGACAGCGACAAGCGACGGCGTGTTTTGGTGATGAAAAGATTTGCTGCTTGGAAGAAAGATTCGGCTTGATCACAAATAAATACTGGCGTCAATCGACGCGCACGGCAAATCTTCGGGAACGCCAAGCAAATCTCGTCCAAGCGTTTGGTATCGTCGTGTCGGCCTGTCCATATCGTCGCTGAGGGACATTCAAACAGTGCTCTGTCAGACCAACACATTCCACGAGCAGATGTACCGTCGGATGTTCGTCGATGGGACAATGGTCAGCTTCGAGCGCTGATGTTGTTGATGCAAGCGCATACGGACGAGAAGGTAGTTAGGTTGACTACGAGCTTGGCAGGTGCTGGATAGCAAGCGCAAGGCGCTCATTAGTCACGCACGAGCCCTGTCAGCGGACAAATCACAACGAGTGACTGATGTGAGCGTCGAGTGAGACGAGAGACCGTCGACTGGCAAGGCACCTTGTGACAGGCTCGAGTCTGCATTCGCATACCATCGTGCAACTCTGAATCCGTGTGCGCAGACTTTCTTTGCAGAGTCCAGCAAGCGGTGCACGAACCAGTGACCATTTTCTGGTGAGAAGTCGCAACTGCTGGAGCCAACGTTGGAACTTGGCCGGCGACAAGCGCGATAATTCGAGACTCGGCCGCTGCGAAGCTCGTAGATCCGGACGGAGAGGAACGCGCCGTCCACTGTCGCTCGCTCTCCCAGTGCCTGCCCTGCCCCAAGCGGACCCCGGTTCCCTTGACCAAAGTAACCACCTCGATCCTGGTACTTGTCCTTCGCTCGCGTCTTTTTGGCCTCTACACCCTTCGTCACGGCCTCGACGACCCTTGACGCCCACGCACACGGCACTGCCCTGTACAGTCCGCTGTCGCTTGCTCAGGCTTCCAAGGCGCGTCCGCCATCCATCACCATCGACCACCTCTGCGCATCCAGAGCGACAGCAGCCTCGGTCGATCTCGTGTCCATACATGCATCTGCGTGCACCCTCTGTCGCGCTCTCTCCAATCCACACCAACCATCGCGCGTCGTCGACCTGACCACCCTCCGTCTCTGTCGTCGTCGTCGTCGTCTAGTCTGATTCTACGCGTTCGCTTGCTCACTTCCAACCACTATGATGCAAGGCATGTCCTTTCCTCCGCACCCGACGGGCATGCAACCAGGCGTGCCCCACGGTCATCCAGGAATGCCTCCCAATGCTCAGCACATGGGCCAGCCGATGCAGATGCCTGGTGTCTCGGGTCCTGGTGCTCCTCACATGGGTCAACCAGCCATGATGGGCATGCAACCCGGCCAGCAGAATATGCCTCCCGGCATGGGTCCCGGCCCGGGTGGTGGCATGATGCCGCAGCAGTCCATGGGCGGTCCCGGTGCAAACGCCATGGCAATGAGCCATCTCAACCCTCAAACCCACATGATGCAACAGCACCATCAGATGCAGCAAGCAAGTACGTTTTACTCTCAAGTATCCACTCGTGTCAATCACATACTTACCATTCCTGTCACAGTGGCCAACAACCCCCAATTGATGATGCAGCAGCAACACATGGCGCGTCAACGGCAGATGATGGCAGCGCAACAAGCTCAGCAACAACAACAGCAGCAACAGCAACAGCAGCAGCAACAGCAGCAGCAGCAGATGAACGGTATGGGAATGGGAATGGGCATGAACGGCCATCCGGGCATGAGCCCTCAGCAATTCGCTCAGATGCAGGCAAATCCCGCCTTCCAGAATGCTCAAATGGCCAATCTGCCGCCTCAACACATCATGCAGATCCAACAGATGCGACAGATTCAAGCCGCCCAAGCTGCTCAGCAACACGCGGCGCAACAACAACAGCAGCAGCAGCAACAGCAGACGCCACACCCTCAGGGTCCCCAGGCCCCTGCGACACCTCAGATGCAGCAACAGTCAATGGCTCAACACATGGCCATGCAGCACGCTTCATCTCAGGCTTCGCACCAGAGTGCTCCCCCGAACAACCAGCCTCCACCCCAGCAGCCGCCGCCAGCTCAGATGAGAAGCCAGTCGCAGATCCCTTCTGGTCCTGANAGGTCAAGGCCAAGCATCGCAGCATGTTCAGTCTCAGCCTCAACAGCCCCAGCAAGCCCAAGGGCAACCTCAGCCCCAACAGCAGCAACAACAGCAGGCGCAACAACAACAACAGCCTCCCCAGCCCCCAAGTGCTCACCCTACACCACAGATGCAGGCACAACCACTACCTCCACAACCCCCTCCTCGCAGCCTCAGCAGCCCAACCAGCAGACTCCTCAGCAACCAGGTTCTGCCCAATCTCAGAACCAGCCTCAAAATGCCCAACAGCAACAGCAGGCGCAGCAGCAAGCCCAGGTCCAACAGCAGCAGATGCAAAACGCTCAGCAGCAACAGCAACGCCAGCAGATGATGAACATGAACAACATGAATATGATGCGTCAACAGCAGGCTATGGCTGCTCAACAACAACAGCAGCAGCAGCAGCAACAGCAGCCGAGTCGCGCGACCAACGGGCAATTCATCCTCAAGCTGATCCAATTCTCTGACCACCTCAGTGCGTTCAACGCAAGCGTAAGTGCATCCCAGGATCAATCTCAGGATACACAACTGACCAGTGAGATANNGTCGCGTGAGTCGAATTCATCAGAGCATTGGCACAATTTCGTGAACCAGTTCTGGACACCGGACGGCCGGCTCGTACAACATGTCCTTGACAACACAAATTCGTCGACCAAACAGTTCATGATCAGTGCCTCTTCACTAGCACGGTACTATTGGACATGGTTCGACAGCGGTGTGCAAAACATACAACTGCAGCTAGAGGGCGTGAGAGAAATCCCTGCNCCCAACAATGCTCACTGGGTGACGTGTACCCGTGCTCGCTACATCTTCTGGTTTGCAAACAACACTCAAGTAGATCCTCTCCCTCAATCCTGCATCGACATGGACTAATTATCTTGTAGNTTGATCTGGCAAGGCAAGCTGACAGCCTCGTTCCCTGCTGGCTTGGACAAGTTCGAATCGCTCGAGTTCGAAGTGTCCAAGACGGAGGAATTCATCCCACGCTCCGAACTCGCGCGTGTCGTCGCCCAGGGCTCGCCCCTGATGAACAAAAGTCCCAAGATGAGCAGAACACCGGCTAAGAAGGCAATGCAAAAGGCACAAGGCGGTCTTCAGCTCGAAGATTTCCCATCCGCCCCTGTCAATGAATACGCCGTCACCCCCGCTGTTATGCAATACCTTGAGGTAGATGTGCTTGTTCCAGAGTTCCAGCTATACGATCACCTGAACTGACCAGGGCCANNGGTAGCGGAAACCATCTTCTTCATGAAGGACCTGATGGAGTACTCTCAGAAAAACGAGCTCCGGCCTCACGACGCCATGAACCAGATGGTCGCCCAAATCGAGGAGGGCCAACAATTCGGCCAGCCTCAAAACATGGTTCCGAACCCCATGCAACCCAACCACGCTCAGATGGCTCTGCAAAGAAACGGCATTGTTCAACCCCTGCCCCAGGGTGCCGGCACTCCCAACCAGGCCCACATGCAGTTGCCTGGCCAATATTCCTCGCCGTCAGTCCCCCACATGAATTTGCCCATGCAGCACCTGAACGGGCAACAGATGATGGCTATGAATGGCTCACCTCACATTGCGCACCCGGGCTTGCCCGGTGGCTCNTTGATGGCTCCCAACCACATGATGGGACAGATGCACCACTCGCCAAGCCCGCACATGGGCCCACCGATGATGGTGCCGCAACACTCACAGCAAGGCAACAACCCAACCGGTGCGCACCAGTCCGCATCGACAAGCCCGAACCTGAGCAGTAAGCGTCGGCGTTCACAAGTCAAGCTTGAAGGTGACGACGGACTAGAAGGACCGCCTTCACAACGCATGAAACCTAGTCCAGGCCTCAAGAAGAAGTGAACACGACCATCTACCGCTCAGTCAAGGTCTGACTGACGTGCGCATTTCATCCTTGATAACCTTCTTTTTAGTTTGCTGCTCTTGCGAGAAGTCACGACCAGAGGAACTGGAGGAACGAGGGGTTCTACGGCGTTCAAGTTTTTCTCAATCTCATCACATCTATTCTGCGACACAAAACTGGGGGAAGTGGTTGGCTCGCGAGACCACGAGGGGAGGCGTTCACATGCTTCTTCTCTCTTTCTTTTCCATCATCCTCTGTGCATTTTCCCCTTCACCCTCTATATCGTCTAACTCTCTACCTTTTTTCTCTTGTCATTTATTTTGCGTTTCTTTACCAAATACGAGAGAGCTACGGCGTAGCAGGGCGTACATGCTTACTTTCTCGTCTCGACTGGGCGGTTTTGTGCTTATTCCTTGGGGATCATTTCAACGAGAAAAGACGTCAACGCATGGGGATTTGCAATATGTTTATGTATGTGCTGTCGTTTTGAGACATGTGAAATGTACATTATTTGGCCTACCAATGTTTATCAATTCTCGCAACGTTATCGTTTTCCCCAAGTGTATCTGATCAGGGTTGGGGACTTGTTGAAGTACAGAGAATCTTTGTATGTGCCTGCCCGGCTGGCGAGAGTGTTCAAATTGTGCTATTTCTGCAAGAACGGATCCACTCACATCTGACTGTGAGGCCAGATGCTGGAAAAGACAGATCTGACTAAGTTAGGGCTTCGCTGATTTGTTCTTCTTACTGCCCGTATCTCCTACCGCTCTGGAGCAAACGGGTACCATAAGGCCAGCTATGTTACAGCAATGTAGCGCACCGAGCGCACTGGAAGCAACGCTATAGTTTCTCTACCTCTTTTGCTCCTCTACTGGCTAGTCTGCTAGCAACACCAATGGGGGAAGTGTCGAACAACAAGAATCCTTCTTGATTACTTGAGCGATGATGCCGTAAGGACGAATCTAGAAACAAAGGAGTACAAGACAAATGATGTTGGTCAAGAGAGGTAGGTCAGAGAAAAGTCAAAGGAGCCAGAGGATGTTATGGGGAGCGAGTCGCGGCTGCATACAAACTCGAGATGTGAGCAACAAGGTCAATGCGATACAGAGTACAGGTCGGCGGGAGCGAGAGAGATGTCAGGATAACTCATTCGTGTCTCGGTGACGACAACCCGATGAATGATACAGCAGTCTCTTATGGGAGAAACAAAAGCCATGTATTGTAAGAGATGCTCCCATCATTGATATTACCATTTTCTACCGTAGTTCGTTCTCGTTATCGTAAAAACAAAATGGCAGGTACTACCACCTCTGTGGCGACTCCAACCGTCGGCTCCGTCTCTCCTTCTTGCCGTCCTTCTGCCTAGCCTCCCATTTTTCCTTTGCTTCCCTCTGCTCTTCTTTCATTTCATCCCGGTAGATCCTCACTCTGTTTTCTAGGATGTTGGCGCCGATGCCACCGATAATAGCCCCTAGAGCTGTACCGCGCGTTTGATGGCGGTCGCTGGTTTCGCGACCGATATAACCGCCAATCAATGCGCCTGCGATGCCGGCTCCTAAGCCTAGAGTACTCCTGTCCAGGGCCATCAAGGGGCTGTCGTGGAAATCGCGGTTGGAGGAGCGGGAGCGAGAGCGTGAAGACGAGGAATAAGAGCGACGGCGTTGTCGTCGTGAGCGGGAGCGTGAGAATGAACGGTCTTGTGGTCTCGAATATCTGGCCATCTCGTTGCGGGGAGGACCTCGAGTTGAGGATGCGGGCGTGTAGTCACCGCGGGACGATGGGCGTGGTGAATTGTCGTAGTGTTGGGAGTTGAGTGGCGCACCGTCCCTTGGCCGTAGACCTGCAGATTGGTATGGGATATACTGATTTGAGTCTGTGGCTCGAGGATGGTAGCTTTGTCCTGGAGGAGAGAGTCTGCGTGGTCGCTCGTCTTCGCGGTCGTCACGTTGTCGCGGTTTCCTGTCGTCGCGATCATCTCGCGGGTCTTGTCTGCGTCTCGGCCGCTGTTCGTAGCTGTCGTCTGAGCCACTGTCGTGGCCGCGATCACGTCCACGTGCCTCACTCATGTTGTTCTGGCTGCCACTGTCTTCGCGATCGCCTCTACGGATATGCTTGTGTACTTTGTCGTATCCTTTGTCGAAATACTTATCGGCAGTCTTGTCGAAGCCCTCCAGTCCAAGTTCCTTTATTCCGGACAGCGTCAGAGCGATAGGTTCGCAGGGAGGGTATCAGCTACCCAGTATGAATGTGCAACTGAGCAGTGGGAAAGGAAAATGATGACAGAAGGAACGACGCAAGAGACCTACCACAAAGTCGGCCATGATGGATGCCTGGTTAGAGCAGGGTAATACCAGCAAGCCTCAGCAAATGCGCCTCTACGTAATGAGTTCCTTGGCTGAATACCGGAATATTTTTAAGCTCTTGTGTAAGTGACAAGGATGGTCAAATGGTTGCAACGAACGCCGATCGAAAGTCAAGAACATGACAAGAAGACGGGAAGAGAAAACATATATAAGGGCGGCACAGGCACATCCCTCAGCTAATCTCAGTTCACTGCACGCATGACGCAGTTTGGCGGAGGAGGCTGGTTGAATTGCCAGCAGTGGGATGCGGGTCGCCAGAGTGCTCAATGTTGGTGGGAGTTGAGCGAGGAATCTTGTGACGTCTTGGGCGGCATGCAGGGATCTTTCGGCACGCGGAAGCGGTTTGGCCGGCGAACTTGCCCTTGATTCTCTTGATCCCACGCCAGCAGCTGCAGTCATGCATAGGTATTGCACGTAGTAGTTGTGATATACTTTCACAGGTCGTACACAGCGCGGTGATATAGGTTGCCTGGAAAGTGGATCTGATGATGCAAGGTGCTTGTAAGCGCATAGTCGAGAGCTTCTCGAGACGGGTTTTGGGCTCATCCTGTTCAACAAACGGATTGAACAGAGTGATCCCGCTTGTACATCATTTCTTCGACCCAGCTGGGCATTTCTCACTGAAGATTCTCAGTAAAGAATGAGCGGGGGTTAGCATGTCTACCTGCCACTGCCTCTTACGGCATATCGTGACAATCAGAGCGTGAGGACGCTACTCTTTCACAGATGGGTCAGTGTCCAATATAGATGGACCAAGCACGTTCAGTCAGGCTTGTCAGAGTCCCCAGGGATAGCGATAGTTATATGTCCAGCAGGTGCGTGTGAGAATGCAGAGCACGTGAAGAGTGGTGTTGAGATATTGCCCGAGTAGGAAAGAACGACTGGCCGCAGGTCGGTGCACGGGCCACGCCAGACTCATTCGCTAAACTTTTCGACAGCGACGCAGCAGCAAGGCGCGACGACGAGACGGCAACCACCCATACCACCACCCACACATCCGCAATCATGTCAAACGAACCAGGACGCACCGACTGGGCCGAGGACGACGAGCCCGATCTCGCCACCGCCCTCCCCCCCGCAGCAAATCTCAAAGAACAANNGGACGGCAGCGAGACCATCGTCACCATTTCCCTCAACGAGGACGGCAAGAAGGTCAAGCGCACACAACGCATCCGCAAGGTCACCAAGCGCACATATGAGAAGGCCGGTGTTGCCGAGCGCCGCGCCTGGCCCAAGATGGGTCTCGAGGCAGGCCGCCCTGCTGGCCCCCAACCCGACACGACCACTCTCGGAGAGAACATCATCTTCCGCCCCCAGGTCGGCTTCAAGTCTGGCGCCGCCGAGCAACCCACCGCCGAGGAGGACCAGAAGCAGCAGCAGCTCAAGCAGATGAAGATCAAGTGTCGTATTTGTTCCGGCGAGCATTTCACCACAAAGTGTCCCTTCAAGAACACCATGGCTCCCGAGGGTGAGGCCGGTGCCGGTCTTGCCGACCTCGACGGTGATGTCGGTGCTGCCACTCTCCAGAACCTGGCTGCAGGCGGCCCCGCGCAAGGCGCCTCCGGTCCTGGTGGCTCATCCTACGTGCCCCCACATCTCCGCAAGGGCGGTGCTGCCACTGGCGAGAGAATGGGCGGCAAGTTCGAGAGAGACGACCTGGCCACTCTGCGTGTCACCAACGTGAGTTCCTGCACATCTGCCTCCTATCCTACACAACTCTCTAACACATCTGATCACAGNGTCTCCGAATTCGCCGAAGAAGACGAGCTCCGCGCACTGTTCGAGCGCTTCGGTCGCGTCACCCGTGTCTTCCTCGCGAAGGACAGAGAAACAGGCAAGGCCAAGGGCTTTGCTTTCGTCAGTTTCGTCGACCGATCAGACGCCGCCATTGCATGCGAGAAGATGGACGGTTACGGTTACGGACATCTTATCCTGCGCGTCGAGTTCGCCAAGAAGGCCACCTAAAGAACTGAATCGCAGTTGGGTAGATGAACGAGCAGACAAAAGACGGCCAAAGAAGGGAGGGCCAAAAAACAAAAGTCCACAATTTGTTTGTACAATTGCACGACCCTCTTTTTCACTTTTTCCAGAACTACACTTTTTGGCGCTTTTTATGGGACATGATGGTTTCTTATATTTACGTATGCTTTTTTTGCTTTTCTTCTCTTTGCGATTGCATACCGGAAAGAGAGTGGGCAAAAAGGGAGAGGGAGATGAAGAACGAAGAGTTGGAGAGGTCGGGAGAGATGATGAGAAATACACCTTGTTATATACCCCCTTGAGTCTCTGGTTTTGTGTGTCTTTGTATGGGTTCCAATCACTGCTGTCTATATGCGACGACAGCAGCCACGCGTTGCCCGCGCCCATCCCACAGTCTGTAGCATGGAACGATGGTAGGCTGTCTCTCCTTCACCCAGCTCTCTGGTAAGATCTGCGTAGTATACACGGTACAGATCCGTGATGCCGGTAGACTCACCTTGTTCAAATCGTCAACATTGGCAACTGCGATCCAACCAGCCAAATCCACTTCCTCGAGCCCAGACTTGATGTTCAGAGTGTGTCTTGTGCACGCATCTTCCTTTGTTTNCTGCAACTCTTGGTTAGCAACAGTATCAAGACCATAGAAGAAGAAGGGCAAACAATACTCACCTTTGGTCTCCACAGTACCGTCAAAAGTCTTGACACCAACACTCGCCCACTCGATAGGGGCATCCCTAGGCAAACTCTCCACCTCGGCCACAAAACACGGTGGAGCAGATGCGTTAACGATATCCTTGCGTTTAGTAGATGTCGTGGAAGCTCCCGTATTGCCAAACTGACGTTGATCCCACACGTCAAAGTGTTCGTCTTGATCGTCTTCTGCTGCCTCCGTGACAGGGGGTTGAAAAGCTAACTTCCAACTTTGCAATGCAGTGGTGACTCGAGACTGTACAGATGTGCTGGCAGTAGAGGCGATGAACGCGACAGCACCGAGGAAGTGTGAAGTCTGCATGATTTGGGCTATGCGCCATAGATGTTGCAGTGCCAGAAGAGCGTGGGTTGCAAAGTGTGCTTCTAAACTCAAGTCACCTTGTGGCGGGAACTCCATTGTAGGTGGTTGAAGAGGAATTTGTCCGGCAATGTGGATGAGTTGGGGCAAGGTGGAAGTCGAAGAAGGTGTGATGATGGCTTGGGAATAGGGGCCTATGTTTGCTGGAGCCCAGTAGGAGCGGGATTGCACGTGGAGACCTTGCTTCTGTGCTGCGATGTCATCGTTCAGTATCATAACTGACAGGGAGACATGAGTGTTGGCTGGGAGTGTACTGCCACATGCGATGGTGACTCTCGCTGGCGGGTTTGGTGTACTGAACTGAGATCCGTATGCCAGGTTCACTGCACCAAATTCAGACATGTTTCGTAGAAGGATGGTGGTGAAAGCGATCGAAGAGGGCTTGACGTTGTGGTCCTTGGTCAAGTGGTTCATGATATTGGTCATTTGCTCTCCTGCCGAACTTCCTTCTGCCATTGCGTTTGAGATGATCGTGCAAGTGTTTGTTGTTTGGATCGACCACCCAGAGGTTGGGCTTAGAGCTTCTGTCTTCTCTGCTGCTTCATCAGACGTCTCTGAGTCCTTTCCGAGAATATCGTCCATCCGTGATTCTAGTGCTGCGAACTTGTCGTCCAGTGTCGTCGGTTTCCGCAATTGCTCATATGAAAAGTCCGAGGATGGCTCCTTTGGCACCAGACGCGCAGTCTTGATCTTCAGAGACGCAGCTCCTGCTTCTCCCGCCACGATCATTCTATCCTCATCGTCAACCTGAATAGAATTCTTCCATAAAGGCCATGGTCCATCTACCGCGAGCGTCTCAAACTCTCCTCCTTCGCCAAGCGCAGCACCGTCACCGATGATACCAAACCTCTCCATCGCTCGAACAAGTCTAGCCTTGGTACGGTAGTTGGCCACATTTTCCCACAAGAAGCCATCATCAAGTCCTCCAGAGGCGACCTTGATGATACGAGCATCCTGTCCAGCAGCAGCCATATCATCCAACAGCGAAGTCTCGTTGTAAGGCGGCAAGAAAGGGTACTGCCAGAGATAAGACAAAGGCACCAGACCCAGCCTGATAGCCACAGATTCTACCCTCGTGCGTTGATAATCCGAGAGAATGGCTCCAGTGCTAACGGCATTGACCTCCGGGTGTGCGGCCATGACTCTACGCAGCAAAGGTATCAGACTCTCCGTCTCGTCCTGTCCACTCTGCTGAGAGGCGGCGGGAGAAGCATAGCTCTTGTTGCTGTCTACAACCCCACCCAAGATTTCTTGTCTGTAGAGCGGGAGACCCAGCGCTTGTTCGTAGAGAGGAATGACGCTGTGTCCTATGGTCTGATACATGTAGCTGTCGATATCCTCAGATCGCTCGCCATCTTGAGTGGCCGGGTGCAGGTTCGCGAGAGCGACGACCTCGTGTCCGTTTGCATGGCAGTGGAGGATAGAGAAAACTGAGTCTTTGCCCCCTGATATCAAGGCGACGACTTTGAGTCCAGGCATGTTCTTTGTATGCTGCAAAGTCAAATATTGATATCGAGGGTTGACGAGAAGATTTTGTTGCTCAGAAAATTGTCGTGAGAAAAGCTGGACACAGGGCAAACGCACTTCACAGTCTTGGTCGAGAAGAGAGGGTCGCAGAAGAGATGATTGACTCTTAAGAGCATTTACATAGCGATAGTTATGAGACCTCCCAAAGCAGGATGCTTGCGCTTCTTGCAGACTCATATTCCTGCACGTCCAAGATGCCCCCGCCAGACGCAGTCCACATAATTGAACTTTCGTCCTCGCAGACAGATTGACACGCAAGAGCAACTCGTGAGCCTCGCAGCACACCAGAATACTCAAATACAGTCCACGTCGCAAGTCACAAGTTTACAAATTCAAGGAAAGAGATGTCCAGCCATCAGCACACCAACAGAGCCAATTAAATAGTAGGCTCCGTCGGAAGTGGCTGAATGAGACTAGGTATGCAATATTTTTGATCTGTGTCCACGGGTTGACGCCAGCCTCTCATGTAAAATCAACAGTAAAGTTTGAAAGACCAGCAACAGGGGAAACTGTATAATACCCGGACGCCGCACGAATCGAAAAAGAGAGGGTGCAAGGGAATGCGCCGCTTATATAGAGGAGGAATTTCCTCGCGTGGGACGCGTGTGCCAGAATGCTTGGCTGCGTGCAGTCATGAGTTTTGACCGGCTTTGACACGCAGACAGTGTTTTCTTGAAGCTGGGAGAGATTTTTCTTGTCTTTCTTTTTTCTCTTATGGCCGTTGATGAACGATGCTCAGGCATCTTTATTATAATAGGAAGAGAATGATCCACGCTGTGGACTTGATCTCAACATGACACATTTCTGAGGCCAGTCACCAAACAAGCATTTCTGTTGTCTTGCTCGGAATCGAGAGCGCAAAGTTCTGGGAGGGCACATCTTCGATATCACCAGTTGATATGCCCTGATCCACTCTTTGATTCTCTGGAGGTTGCTAGGGTTGGATAAGAAAGATGCAGTGAATGATGTGTATATATGATGTGGACGTTATATGCTCTCAAATTCTAAATATCATCTTTCTTCGAGCCTTCCATCAGGAAACCGAAGCTTATACAAACAACAATTCAACAGGCTCGCTGAATACTACCCGGCATTACATGCTGTCTTCCTTCCATCTACTTCTGACTTTAGCAAAGTCATCCTTTTCCTTCTTTCCACCCTTGCTCTCGAGACCCATACCACGTTCCACCCACATCTGCGAGCCCATCTCAGACAGACGCGACAGTGCACGGGCAAACGCAAAGGCTTCCTCATCGCCAGAGAAGAAGTTGCTCTTCTTCAGCATGTTCATGTTCATGCCGAGATCATCCATCATCTGCCGCATCACGTCGTCGACGTCTGCGCCATCATGCAAAGCGGCCTTTGCAGTGTTGTCGCCCTTGGCTGCTGCTTGCTTCATCGCTGCATCGACTTCCTCGCGAGAGAGGAAGAGTTCGGTCAACGGTACGGCAGAGGTGAGGACGAGTTTAGCATGTGATTCATAGACAGCATCAATGAATGTGATAAAACGGCGTGCTCGGTCGCGGCTGCGGTGGTCCATCTGTGGAACATTGCTGACGATGAAGGCGTCGTAATTACGCATAAGTTCAATGTAGTCGGCAGCACCGGTGGCACGGCCGATCAATTCGTCAAAGTCGAAGTGTGCGGCTTTCCCACTTGCTTGCGGCACCTGGATAGGTCGTCCCCAGACATAATGTTCGGCTGGGTGAGGAGGATCCTTCTCAAAATCGCCCAGGTACTTGAACCAATGCGTGATGTGCGTACCCGCCGCCTTGTTCAGCGGGAAATGGTATACACCAGATGGGGGACGAGGAATCTTGCGGTAGTCGGTTGGTGAATCGAGATTCAAGACTCGCAGTTGGCGCTGAAGAAGGTTGATGCAGGGGACAAAGGACTCGCGCTGGACACCGTTCTTGTAAAGCTCCGTGGGATGACGGTTACTAGTAGTCACAATGACAGTGCCATGATGCATCAAGGACTCGACCAGTCTTCGCAGAATCATAGCGTCTGCCACATCGGTACACTGAAACTCATCGAAGCATAGTACGCTGCTGCGTTTGGCGATATGAGCGGCCACAAAGGGAATAGCATCGATGTCCTGGCCGTACTGCATCTTGACTTTGTGCAGATCACGATGCACCTCCTGCATGAAGTTGTGAAAGTGGATGCGCGTCGCTCTTTTGATGCTCTCAGGCAATGTATCGTAGAAAAGGTCCATCATCATGGTCTTGCCGCTGCCGACGTCGCCATACATGTACAAGCCTTTAGGCAAGTCAGATGGCAATTCCAGGCTGGACTGCATCTTTTGGCCGCCGCCAAAGATTGCCGAAAGAAAGCCTTTCTTCTTAGGTTGCAAGGATTCTATGGTTGGCTCCTGGACTGTCGGTGGGTCGTAGTTGGCAAGCATGTCATGCAGATCTTGCAGCGATTCGATGATNNGGCTTACTGGATTAGCTTGGGCCTTCCTGTGCTAATACTGACTTCCATGGAACTTACTACGCTGATGCTGGTCGTCTCTGAGAACGCCAGATTTGACACGGCGATCGTATTCGGCGACGGGGCCATATTCNNACCTTGAAGACGAGGGCTGTTACTGACTGCGGTTGGTTGTATCCAGGGCTCCCTCAATTCACCTACTCTTTCTGTAATCGGCCATGGAGATGGTCGAGTTTGAAGTGGCATAGTTTCGCTTCTTCATGTGCTGGGCTCCCCACTGGCCTCTGATCCGGCGGTCGCTCCAGGATCCCATACATGGTTGTGATTGTGTCTGAAACCTGGCTCGGTTTGCGTATTGTGCTTCGGCCGTCCACGAACGGAGAGAGGGCTTTGCAGCGTTGCGAGTAACTCTGGTCAGCCCCCTCAGGCCATTGGCGCACACTTGCCCACTCATGGTGTCCTCTACCAATAGCGGGGGACGAGGTGATGGTTCCCAAGCTGCCTAGGTTCGATGGAGGTTGATGCGAGATGGTGTTGTTCTGTGTCCACGTAGTTTGTCGTCACGGAAGAGGCATCCAGACGTTCCAAAGGTGTTCCAAGTTGGAGAGTTGGAACCTGGAAGTACAATACCTTGCCCAGTCACGATTGCAGGCCGGTGACGCCGCTCTTGATTGCCGCGCCGCCGAAATGCGGGCACCTCGGCTTTCGTTCGGCCAGCCCATTGCATTTGTACATCGAGCACAAGTTCAACACAGCGTGCAAGACGAAGAACGTTCCAATCAGGTTAATTATCTGGTATTCGTGGGTAGCCTAATTTAAACAATATCGTAACTCGTTGTTGATGGTGGGTGTTTTGAAAAATAACAGCATGCCTCTCGCTCTCCTAACCCTTATCTTATCCCTTTGCGATCCATCCAGACCAGACGAAGAAGTCGAATAATTTTCCCGCCTTGGTCGTGTCAATCCTACAAATCTCCTTGACATTTTTTCTTTTCAGACATCCGTTCGATCGGAGCGCCTCTTTCAGCACGGCGTCCTTCATGACCAAATACGCCTTGGGCTGCACACGCACTACCCTGCATATTTCTTGCTCATTCTCAGTCAAGAGATGTGTGTCTTGACTGTTGTTGCCATACAAGTCCATCTTCGATACACCTGTTATGGCTTGTAACGGGAACCTTGGCGGAGGGTTGGTATTGCTAGTGCTAGGTGATGTTGATTCGGGCGGAGTTTGCAATCCGGTAGTGTTGGGTTTTGGTGGCAGCTCTGGTCCGATCAAGGCTGACGCTGCCGATGGTGGCTCTTGAGCACTGGGCTTATGCGGTCTACCAGGCAACGAAAAGCGGTCCGCTGTTGCTGCAGCTCGGGCCTGTCGGGCAGCTTTCTCAACTTCGTACTTTTCTCCAGTCTTTAGATCGCTGATCTGCATGCGACGCCAGTCTTGCAGTTGCTTGATAGCTTGTCGTATGCTGTGTTCATATTCAATTCCTGTCGTAAAGGCTTCAAAGTCGGAGTGATTCATCATGCGCGCAAACGGCTTCATCTTGTTGCTCAAATCGCGCTCGTCTTTGGTCCTCTTCTTGTCGACTGCCGTGTTTTTGCGGTACTCGAGCAGATTGTGCTCGAAGAGTACCTTCTTCCTCTCCACACGAGCCGTTAGACGGTGGTTGTATATGTCCATGACGGTGATCTTGAGATCCATTTCAGGTTCGAGTTCACCAGTGGTGGGGTTGATGCCATCGCCAGGCTCGAACTGCATATGTTGGACTGCTTCTTCAGCTTCGTTGAAGTATTCAGTCTCAAACTCGAGACGACCAGGCATGAAGCCTTGAACCTCGTGACATGACGGAACACTGGAAGTAGGCTTTTGCTTGGAGTCGATGATAGCTTGGTTCTTGGCTGCCTCTTTCCGCTCTTCTATCCTCCGTTTCTTGCGAGCCTGGAACTCATCTCTGGGTACGGAGTCGGAAAGGCTGGTGTCCTTGGGACTGGCGCGTTCTGGCAGGGGGAACTTTGAGCTGTTTATGTATGTTTCGATGTAGTGCTCGCGCACTTCGTCTTTGGTTCGATAGCCACCAATGTGGTCTGCAATGTCGGCCCAAGATCCCAGACCATAGGTTTCGGCACCCTCGAGCAAAAGCAGCTCCTCATCGGCACCCCATTCTTCGACATAGATGGGAATGGAATGTTGTTCTATAACTTGAAAAGCATGTGTGGCTGGGTCGTGTTTGCCAGAAGATTTGCCCTCTCCAAAGCAGGGAACGCATAGGTCATAGTTCGAGCAGTCGTCGTCGGCGCATCTGATGCGGACCTAGAGCAGCCTTGTCAGTATACGGCGCACAGACCAGGCAAGAGTGATAGGCATGCATGGCCAGGAACATACAGTGGCAGTGATGTCGGCCGAACAGATGTCGCAAATATATTTGATGCCGCCCTCAGTAGTCCTAACAGCCGTCTTCTTCTTGATGAGGCCCATGGTGGGTCATGCGCGGGCGCGGGCCCGAGGTGTTGTGTGAAGTCGTGCGCGTCGAAAGTAGTCGAGAGTGGGTTAGAGTAGTGTCAATGTGGTCGCATAGGACAGGCGATTAGGTTGTCGCGATGAGTGAAGTGGATGCTGATGAGATGGGGCGAGTAGTGGTGGTTGGTTGATGACTCGACGCGCAACAGAGGGGAGGTGCAGTAGCAGGTCGGTATACGGCATACGAGCCCCGTCAACGCCGACGCCATCTCCAGACAGCGCCAAGCCACTGTCTATTGCTTCTAAACTTAACATCATCCATCAAAACAATCCCACCACTCCATTTTCTTCACTAGCTACCAGACTGAATTGCGGGCTGATCAAAGGGAGAGACATCTGGTCACGCACAATCTACTCGGCGTGTTTCAAGGTCTTGTTAGGGGCCTTTGGCTGTGGTCTGGGGTCTTCGTTTCCTCTCCTTTTCTGGCGGGCCGTTACAAGCATCCCCACTCTGTCTGTACTTCAGCCTTATCGACTGCCAGCAGCCAACTCTATTCTCTACTGTCAAGACTCGACAAGCACATCCACATCCCACCACGCACGCTTGTCCTCTCGCCATGTCGTGGAAGCTCACAAAGAGTGCGTTACTCGCCCGAACACCTCTCTCCTGATGACGACCCTCGCTGACCGCCTCAGAACTCAAGGAGACGCATCTGGCGCCCTTGGCCAACACTTTCAGCCGTTCGTCTTCCACCTCGACCATCACTCCTTCTGAGTCTACTCCCAAGCCGCCAAACAGTCCGCTGGCCTCGTCCACTGCCGTCAACGACCCCAATGGCATCGGTATAACATCTCCGCTGCCCGCTTCCGCGACATTGCCGCTGACACTGCACNNAGCCGCTTCCGAAGCCAATTCCTCGCCTCCTGCCCCACCTCTCAAGCCTGGTATCCTGATCCTCACCTTCCACGAAGGCCGCGGTTTCTCTCTCCCCGCCGGCGCCGAGCAGATCTTCCAGCCTCGCCACGGTGCATCTCTGTCCAGCGGTAGCGGCTTCTCTGTAGCCGGTGCACGCCCTGGCTCGGCCAGCAACTCTGGCTATGGCTCGTATGCTCCTGGACGTCCCCAATCGTCACAAGGAGGCATCAACGCCGCCCCCTCGGTCCACGGCCGTTACTCTTCCAAGTACCTCCCTTACGCCCTCGTCGATTTCGACAAGCAACAAGTCTTTGTGAACTCCGTCTCAGGTACACCAGAGAAGCCTGTCTGGGCTGGCGAGAACACACAATACAAGTTCGATGTGTCTCGTGTTTGCGAACTTAACCTCTCCATCTACATCAGAAACCCCAACGCTCCTCCCAATGCCGGTAGAAACGACGACATCTTCCTGGGAACGTGCAGAATCAACCCTCGTTTCGAAGAAGTTCACCCCTATGAGGAAGACCCCAAGTTGGGCAGAAAAGACAGAGAGAAGGCCGCTTTCGCCCACGCCGAGAAGGCAAAGACTCAAGGCCAGTCTGGCACCGAGTGGGTGGACCTTCAGTACGGAACCGGATCAATCAGATGTGGTGTCAAATTCGTCGAAAACCGACAAAGGTCGCTTAAGATTGAGGATTTCGAACTGCTTAAGGTTGTAGGCAAGGGCAGTTTCGGAAAGGTCATGCAAGTGCAGTGCGTATTTGTCTACCATCGTCTTGTCGCGGACATGGACTAACGCTCCCATCTAGANAAGCGCGACACCCGCCGAATCTACGCCCTCAAGACGATCAGAAAAGCTCACATCATCTCACGCTCAGAAGTCGCTCACACCCTTGCCGAGCGTTCGGTGCTGGCTCAGATCAACAATCCGTTCATCGTTCCCATGAAATTCTCGTTCCAATCTCCAGAGAAGCTGTACATTGTGCTGGCCTTTGTCAATGGTGGCGAGCTTTTCCACCATCTACAAAAAGAGCAGCGCTTCGACATCAACCGATCTCGTTTTTACGCTGCCGAACTCCTGTGCGCGCTTGAGTGTCTACACGGATTCAACGTCATTTACAGAGACTTGAAGCCCGAAAACATCTTGCTTGACTACACTGGCCACATTGCTCTGTGCGATTTCGGTCTGTGCAAACTCGACATGAAGGATGAGGACAAGACAAACAGTATGTCATACATGTACAGGTTCAGGCGCCTTCATACTAATAAAGATTGTAGCNNGTTCTGCGGCACACCAGAATATCTCGCACCCGAGCTGCTTCACGGCACTGGATACACCAAGACAGTCGATTGGTGGACACTGGGTGTCCTTCTCTACGAGATGTTGACAGGACTGCCGCCCTTCTACGACGAGAACACCAACGACATGTACCGCAAGATCTTGGCAGAGCCTCTACACTTCCCTGGCCCTGAGATTGTGCCNCCTGCCGCACGCGATCTGTTGCAGAAGCTGCTCGACAGAGATCCGACAAAGAGATTGGGTGTCAACGGTGCAGCAGAGATCAAGGCACACCCCTTCTTCCACAGCATTGACTGGAGAAAGCTCTTGGATCGCAAGTACGAGCCCAGCTTCAAGCCTAATGTGGTGAGTAATGTAAACGCTCTGTGATAGCCAAGCAGACACGCTGACATGATCTTTAGNCTCGATGACAGAGACACGGCCAACTTTGATCGCGAATTCACATCAGAAGCACCTACAGACTCGTACGTCGAGGGACCAATGCTCTCATCAACGATGCAACAGCAATTCGCCGGATGGTCGTACAACCGCCCAGTCGAAGGATTGGGCGATGCAGGAGGCAGTATCAAGGATCCATCTTTCATGACTCACTGATGGGATTTACAATAGAAGGGCCGGGCTGGTCGTGTACATTTGCTCGACGCAGCGGGACTGCAACAAAGAATGACAGCAACCTGGCTAGGTAGATTTTGGACTGGACGATATGGGTTCAACAGTATCAGAAACAGCAGTCACACACACAAATACGAGGATTCGTCTAGGCGTACAAGTTTCACAGCAGGAGATACGGGTTGAGAGAAGACGAATTGACATGGCAATCAGGCGTGGCAGATTTGATTTGGACCGAAGAAGAAGCAGCCCGATCGGCTTTTGTGCTGCTTTGTGCACGTTCCTCGTGTGCCAGAGTGATGATGCCCCGCCTGAGTTCGTCATACGTTGTATTCACCCGGAGCTCGTCGGCCAGCTCGTCCCCCATCGGCATCTTCAAATTGTGACTTGACCATCTTTATCTCTTTTTCACTTTCATACACCTCGCCCTCCACTCCACCTCTCCGTTCTCGTACGTGCCCTTTCAATTCCAGTCTTTCACCCCTCAACTCTCTTGCTGACCTTACTCCTCCCACGTGCAGTACACGCATCACTCCACCCCACCTTTTCCCAACAAACATCAAGATGCCTGGTTTCGCCCAAGCAAGCGATCTGTCGGCATGGAAGTCGCTTATGAAGCACCACCAAGAGCTGGGTCGCTCCATTGTCCTCAAGGATGCCTTTGCCGAGGACCCTAAGCGTTTCGAGAAGTTCTCGCGCACCTTCACCAACGACGTCGACAAGTCCGAGACCATCTTCGATTTCTCAAAGAACTTCATCACCGATGAGACCCTCCAGCTTCTGTGCCAGCTCGCCCGCGAGGCAAAGGTCGAGGAGCTCCGTGACGACATGTTCAAAGGTGAGAAGATCAACTTCACCGAGAAGCGCGCCGTCTACCACGTCGCTCTCCGCAACACCGAGAACTGGCCCATGCAGGTCGACGGCAAGAGCGTTGTCGAGGAGGTCAACTCTGTCCTCGAGCACATGAAGGAGTTCTCCGAGGAGGTCCGCAGCGGCAAGTGGGTCGGTTACACCGGCAAGGCCATCAACACCATCGTCAACATCGGTATCGGCGGTTCTGATCTGTGAGTATTCCTCGTGCTTCCCCATGTATGCAGTCCGTCATTCTAACCCTTGTACAGCGGCCCTGTCATGGTCTCCNNCGAGGCCCTCAAGCCCTACGGCAAGCGCGACATGAAGCTCCACTTCGTCTCCAACATTGACGGCACCCACATGGCCGAGGCCCTCCGCGACTCTGACCCCGAGACCACTCTCTTCCTTGTCGCCTCCAAGACCTTCACCACCGCCGAGACCACCACCAACGCCAACACCGCAAAGAAGTGGTTCCTCGAACACTCAAAGGACGACTCGGCCATTGCCAAGCACTTCGTTGCTCTCTCGACCAACGAGTCCGAGGTTACCAAGTTCGGAATTGACAAGAAGAACATGTTCGGCTTCGCTGACTGGGTCGGTGGCCGTTACTCCGTCTGGAGCGCCATTGGTCTTTCGGTCTGCTTGTACATTGGTTACGACAACTTCCACGACTTCCTTGCTGGTGGTCACGCCATGGACAAGCACTTCAAGGAGACNCCTCTCGAGCAGAACATTCCCATTCTTGGTGGTCTTTTGAGCGTCTGGTACTCGGACTTCTTTGGCGCCCAGACTCACCTCGTCTCTCCCTTCGACCAGTACTTGCACCGCTTCCCGGCCTACCTCCAGCAGCTTTCCATGGAGTCCAACGGAAAGGCCATTACTCGCAGCGGCGACTACGTCAAGTACACCACTGGTGCTATCCTCTTCGGCGAGCCCGCTACCAACGCCCAGCACTCCTTCTACCAGCTCCTCCACCAGGGTACCAAGCTCATCCCCACCGACTTCATCCTGGCCGCTGAGTCGCACAACCCCATCGAGGACAACAAGCACCAAAAGATGCTTGCCTCCAACTACTTTGCTCAGGCTGAGGCTCTCATGATCGGCAAGACNCCTGAGGAGGTTCGCGCAGAGGGCGCCGCCGACGAGCTCGTTCCCCACAAGACTTTCTTGGGCAACCGTCCCACCACCTCCATCCTGGCTCAGAAGATCACCCCTGCTACCCTGGGTGCTCTGATCGCCTACTACGAGCACATGACCTTCACCGAGGGTGCCATCTGGAACATCAACTCCTTCGACCAGTGGGGTGTCGAGCTCGGCAAGTCTTTGGCCAAGAAGATCCAGTCCGAGCTCGAGACCTCGGGCGAGGTTTCCGGCCACGATGCCAGCACATCCGGTCTCATCAACGCCTTCAAGAAGAAGGCTGGTATCAACTGAATCCATGACAGTGATGCCAAAGATAGAGAGAAGAGTCGGCTATGAGACATCTTCGAAAGCATATCTAATCGAATGATGGCCAGCGTGTGATATTTGTTTGGATTTTGTAATTACCCCAAGATGACGAAACGCAATGAGAACCAAAAGATTTTATTCTTATACTCGCTGATGCAAACTACGTGATCAGGTTGTGAACATGGCCAGTGACGATGTCGGACCACGACTCTACTAGGGAGCAATATAGCCTCTTCCATAATCAATCTCAGCTTCAGCAACGGTCTATCACCGCCACATTTCATCCAGTAGATGCCGTCTTTGGACTTGGCATTCGTCTAGGGAGGAAGGCACGACCGGACGCTCAGGCTAAAACCAGGAGACGGATACAACTGCTTGTTCCCCGGCTAAACAAGTCACCGTACAATATTGTTCTCGTATACCAACGACCAGACATCGCAGCTACTTCAAAACGGCGTGTGGCTTATCGAAGACGTGTGCTGGAGCGACTAAGAATCGAGTTATGGGAAGGCTCTCCGTAATGCTTGCCATGCTGCAATTGACCGTAGGGAAGGAAGGTGCGTCCCCGGACTTCCTTCCTAGTCGACAATCTGCAACTGGTAAAGTCCTTTGTTTACTCAAACTTCTTGAAGCAGTCCTCATCAATCTCGTCGCTTCTGATTCCTTCGTCATCTTGAATCCAGATACAATTGATATTATTCATACACAATGATGTCCTTCCCGTTCTCATTGCCATTTCCTTCACATAGAGCAACTGCATCACTAACCGCCGCCGTCCGTTCCCTATATTGCCAAGTACATCGACGTAATATCCTCCATCATAACACGCCTCGGCCAACAAATTCCATCCAGCAGTCGACGACTTTACAACGAGTATCAAAGGGCCAACCTGGGTAGGGAGATGGTCCAGCTTGCCTTTCTGAAGCATCGAACAATCCTGCTGCGGCCACGTCATTGATGTCAGTGTCTGTATCTGAGGAGACCGCGCTTTACACCCGCAGAATCCAGTGAAGCAGCAGACCTCCTGTACGCATTGCCGATAACTGCAGCAGCTTGCTTGAGCCTTCCGAGCTCGCTGGCCACGCAAGAACCTCAGTCCCATTACGATCAACTCGCGTTGTCAGGCCGTCAAAGGCCAGCTCATACATCGCTACACCATCTGAGACCTATCCTCTTCTAACTCCTTCGGAAAAGATTGTCGTACGAACGTGAAAAACATGATACACCAAGCGACGGACACACTTGCTAGATGCTATGGGTACAACTAGAATGTTGGCTAGAAGAAACCCAAACGCCAAAAGCGACACTCAGCAAGTTCAGCATCGCTCTGTCTCTCTTGTTTCCTCTCGATCATGAGTAGAGCAACGACACTCCCTACACAACCCACCTTATTCGTTACATACCAAAGTCACGAAATGTGGTCTGACTCCAGAAAGGCTTCCAACTTTGCTCGGACAATCGAAAAAAAAAGAAAACAGAAACAGCTTCGGCCACTCCATATCGACGGCTGTACCATATAAGGTCTTATGACATACTTACCGCTATACTTCAGCAAGACAATCCAAGCAAAAACATGATGCGATTGTTTGTCAAAAGACAAAACATACAGCAGCAGGGATTCCCACGTGGTCACCCACCGTAGTACTAATCTGCCGTTCAACTGCTTATGTATGCCAGAGCGGACGGGATGCCCAGTTTTCAGCTGACTGTGGCCGTATGTGCCAGAATGATGAATTTTGCACTATATATCCTGCAAACAACGTTCCTACTCAGAGGCAAGCTGCTAACATCAATGCACTTCTCTATAACCCCCAGTCGAATTGAAGTCTGNNGGAAAGCAAGCTATGGGGCTGGATCCCTCTGTTTGCTGTTAGGACCTTAGCCGAAACAAGGACCGATCCTTCGCTAGTGCACGTTACGCAACGCCAGCCCCATGCGCATGCAGACGAGCCAGCCGGTCGATGGCGACCACTCCATCCCAGACACTAAAGCGCAATGCCCAATATATACGCGCAGAGGTATCGCAAAACCAATCTCGCCTGGCGACGCTACACTACGAAAGGGAAAGATGGGACATAAAGAAGCTGCGGTCGGTCGCTGTGGTCCGTGAGGATTAATATGCATGCAGCGTGGGACCTAACAGATCAGCCTTGTGCAATCCTTGCAACTCGGCGAGCGTAGATAAAAATGTGTCCATCCGCTAATCGTAGAGACTGGCATGCGTACACATTTGCTCAAACAATTCAATGGCATCGTCAAGCTTAGATTTTGGTCGTTCGCAGACGAGCGCGCTAGATGACAGTAGCAAGACCCGCGACCATAGGAGACTGACCATCTCGCCAGCCGATGACCCGACTGAGAAAACATCCGTAAGACACGGAGAGGCAGTGCCATTCCTTGGAAGAGAAGAGAACGTTAAGAGTGCGGCCGAGTATAATGTCGTCTTCCTGAAAGACGCCTTGTCGATGCCATCTCAGGACTCGAATTGGCTACCCATGACTTTACGGCTTCCTTACTTGGTATTCTTGATCATACTGTCACTTGCACTAGGATCCATTGTCTGTGTGCTTACAGCTCTATCTGCTCGAAACGATGGCCTGGGTAACGACAAAGATTCCTCTGCGCTCTTCTTCGGCTGGCGTTTCTCTCCAACTCTAATAGCCACAATCTACGCGCTTCTGGTCGGCTCTATGCTCAACGATGTTCGAAGGACCGAGATATTCGCTCGCTTGTCGAGACCTGGCGGTGCTAAAGCCACTCACACTCTTTGTTTCCCAGCGAGGGCCTGGTGGAATGACCCTTTCGATGCCTTGAGCAAGACTAAGAACAACGGCATACGCAGTCTGGCTTTATTNTTTGCTTCTTTGGTCAACATAGTTGTCTTGCTGGTCGTCTCACCACTGTCTGCCGGTCTTTTGTCTCCAGTCAACGTTTTAGTATCGAGAGATACGCATTTTCAGAGTGCAGCCTTGACCCCAGGCTTGCAGTGGCAGACAGATACGTTTGACTCTGTCGTGTTCCGTACTGTTGCAGGCTCAATCCTGAACAAGTCTACGTCTGCTTGGATAAACCCCGATCACGCAATGCTTCCTTTTTGGCTCCCTGATACGAGCAGGCCTGTTGGATCGAATCTTGTCACCGAATTTGGTCCACAGCAGTGGCAATCTTCGACCACCGTCTTCACGTCAGAGTTTGATTGCGTGGACCTGAATGTGGCCAACATCTTTACGTCTCTGGTGGAGGATATAGGAGGAGGCATGACGACCACTATGAGAACAACACAGTTCAACTCATCAGACGGGTGCAGTATCACAGTAACGGAGGGTTCCAATTCCATAGAGGGGTATCATGGCGGTTGGCTACCACGCAATCCGCAAGATTCCGAGTCTTTTCTCAGTGAAGGTGGATCATGGGAAAGCTCTGGAGGGTGTGGCAACCGATCCTCGATAATCGTCAAAACCATAGACGACAAGTCTATGGCATACGTGGGTAGCCTCTGTGAGGCAAAGCTCTACTCGGCCACAGTAAACGCAACTGTCGACATCGATGAAGCTTCGACTACAATCAACTTCAATGAAGAAGAATACATGGATAACCGCAAACTGATGGATCCTGTTCAATACAACTTACCTGTTTTGGAGGACACCTTCCTAAGCTCCAACTGGTCAAATAAGTTTTTCACCAAGATCATCCATGTGGTACCTGAATATGCAGGCCCTATGTTGGCCATCGCTGCGAGCCCAGATTACAACAACGACGCGGAAGCTCTCATCAATAGTCCAATCCTATGGGACAGGACAAGAAGACTACATCAACAGTTCTTCGGAGAAATGTTGCTTTTGGCGCTAGATTCGGCTCCTAGCGCGCTCAAACATGCTTCTGGCACTGTAACCATCCAGGAAAGACGCATCATCGTGGTATCAAGCATCGGTATAACTCTCGCAGTACTGTTATTCCTGGCCTGTATCTGTGTTGTGGTAGTTGCATATACAACGCGTCTAGGTCAGCGTGCGCTTCATCTCTCTCATGACCCAGGAAGCATCACTGCTGCCGCTTCTATGATAGCCTTGGACCGTAATGCTAGGTTGGAGTTTGAAGGCACAGACAGGCTATCAAACATTGAGTTGAAGGCCTTGTTGGCAGACCGCCAATTCGCGATTGAAAACGGCGCCTTGTTGGCCACTAGCGACGCAAGTCCTAAGGGTAAGATGAATTCGAAAGCCTGCATTAGAAGGCCTGTGCTAAAGTTTCATAGGAAANNCTCTTCTTCGAAAGACTCAACCCTGGCAGAGACAGAATCGAGCGATCCACGACCAGGCTTTATTCGCATCTGGATGGGTTGTCTAATATTGTTAGTGCTACTAGCTCTGATTGCAGTTCTGGTGGTGCTGTACAAGATTTCTCGCGCTGGAGGCCTCCACCAGACCGCTCTTCTCGATCAATTGAATGTCAACATTCTCGAGCTGTCCACCACACTTACTCCATACTCGATCATACCAACGTTGTTGGCCGTCGGGATCAAGCTGTGGTTCCGAGCCATAGCGGAGACTTTCAAAAGATTGCAACCTTTTGTGGTGATCGCCAAGTCTCCCGAGACACCTACCGACTCCATCTCAGCAGAGTATGCCAATACTCCCATCGCTTTGGTTTCTATCAAGGCTCTCAAATACTCACATTGGCTGCTTGCTCTGATCGGAGCTAGCGCCTTTGTGACTGAAGCGTGTAAGTGTTTCAAACATCTACGATTGTCGAGCCACTAACGAAGCATTACAGTCACTGTAGGTATGTCAGCTCTTTGGGACCGTGAATCGCGAGAAACCACGATTCCATTCATCGTATCTCGTCAACTTGAGCTACGTAGTTCGCCCCAGCTCTTTCACCATTCAAGAATGCACACATCTCTATCCAGCAAAGAGCAAGTGCTGACCTCAGTGTTCAACGCTTCTCTCCAAAATTGGTTGTATGGTGCTACGATCGAGATCACACAATCTGCCTCGACTCCACCTTGGAGTAAAGATACCTGGAGCTTTGTGCCGTTGGACAATCGTGTTATTCAAGAAGCGTCATCTTTCTTGAACAATACTGCGCGGAATATAACTGTACAGACGCCAGCACTACGTGCTCGATTAGACTGTACGCCTGTGGACTATGCGTCTGACCCGTCCACATGGCTTTCCCAAGCTGATTTCCGAAACACGACACAATGGAACGCGACCAACGTTCCTCCTGGTCTTAGTCAAGGCTACTATCTGAACGGGCTGGCTGCACAAGGTCCGGGATTGAGGTCGATAGCATGTTGCGCAAACAACACGAAAGATAGTCTAGGAGACGCGGTCGTCGGCTATTGGACAGACAATTCGACGATTCACAGTTCCCTATCGATGCAGATCAAGTGGATTCATGGATCACCCTTGGACGGTACATTCAACCCGAATTATCCCTTGACTCCAAAATACATCTGGCCAGAAGCACCTCGAATTGCAGCAATCAACTGTGCGCCAGTCGTCGAACAGGCCAATGCTTCTATCATTGTCGATTTCGAAACGGGAATTGTCAATAGCTATACGATCATGGACTCACCTCATAATGCTACCGATGCTTGGTCTGATCCTTACTTATACCACGACACCGACGAGAGCTTCGCAGCGCACTGGCAAGAGAACATTACAACCAGGTAAGTCTTGCTTGCCTGATTGCACGCCGGTCCCTCGCTAACAGTAGCNAGTTATGGCTTTATCTTCTGGGATTCGCTGCTGGAAGCTGCCCATGCTGGAGATCTGAATAACATGAAGCTGCTACTGGCTTCTCCTGAAGACCTGTCGGACGGGATCTTCAATTTCCGCGAGCCTGGGCTGAATACCGACTTCATGTCTTACTCGATGTTGGCGATGGCCAACAACAGCAAAGAAGCCCTCTTGGACCCCGCTACCTTGATCGATTATGCCAACAAGACCTTCGGTGTCTTCTTCAAACATTTTGCTTCAGAGGAAGTCAGCAGCACTACAGGGGGTAGAGCGTATCAACCGATCGGTGAAAAGCTGCCTGAAAACTTAGGTCCAACCACGCCGGGCCAAGCTGACCTTGGTCAAGGAGCTCTCGCAACACAGAACGATAGGATACCAATAACCAGAGAAACTCAAGCCAAGCTGATCATACCGGTGGAGCAACTGATCATGTCGCCAGTTGCCGTCTTTCTCTCCATATCGCTACTAGCGTTCCTGGTTCTGACCACGATCGTCATGTACACGGTGAATCGCGCGCACTACAAACTGCTGCCTCGAGATGTAGATACACTGGCCAGTATGTTGGCTTTTGTTCATGGCAGCGAAAAGCTACTTGACTGGTCGCAGAGCTCAACCCATACTGGTGCTTGGTATCGATCATGGAGCTCAAAGGATCATCCATCTGAAGACGCTCACGTCAAAGCCCAGATGGGCACTTTTCATGACAAAGGTGGCAACGAGAGATGGGGTATTGAGCTCGTTGGGATGCTACACAGAGATGGACAAGAGCAGAAGCACGTCGAAGGGGAAGGTGTCGAAATGCACGACATCGCTGCGGAAGTGCATACGGCATTACTGAAGAGAACAAGCAATGTCTTACAAGACTAATTCTCTTGAGGTCTCTAGCAAATGTCTCATGAATTCGTCTCCACTAGCAGTTTTGGTGAACACGAAAGTACTTGTGCATCGCTAAGAAACGTATGAACATTAAACACATAAGGGCATTGATGTTTAATAACCATGAATTGTCGATCAGTTGTATTGTCTCCACTGAGTCTCCGAAAACACCTTCCTCAAGCAAACATAATGAGTGATGCGCGACATAGAGCCTTGGTTCCTGGTGTGGAAGCAGCAATGAACGACGCGGACGCGCTTTCCAATGCCTAGCCATAGAAGCAACACGACCCATCTCTTTTCTTCTCAACGTACGGCCTTTAGTTTCCTCATCGAAGCAGCATTTCTCTTACGTCTCTAATGATCTGCAAGCCAAGAGTCTGTGTCATGGTTGTTCAAGAAGAGAGCTTGCAACAAGAAGGTTCAGTTGGACCCCTTGAACGCGTGTTCGGGGGCACTGGTTTCCCCGCAGATCTGGATGCTTGTTTCACATGTTTTCCAGGAGGCACCAGAAGATCTGAAGTCGGATCCAACACTCCAAAACTTTCAGCACCCCTTGATGCAGCATCCCATCTTTCTGACGCGTTCGCTATGCGGGCCCTGTCTCGTATTCTCATTGGCGGACTGATATTGGTGACGCTGGTATGGCTCAAAGGCCAATTCGTTAAGCTCCATCAGTCCATTCTTGAGCTCGACAGGCTGTCGCAGGACGGTGGACTTCTAAGCCATACAAATACAACAGACGGCACACATGGATCGAACTCGACAGCAGAGGATCCGCTGAGGGCGGTCATGAACGCCATCTCCAATTCGTTCCTCAACGGCACCATCGAGAAACTTGCGACGCCCAAGTCTGGTCTCCGAGACACGAGAAGCAAGGTTGTAGTCGTTGCCAAAACTGCAAAGGAGAAGACGCAATGGATCTCAAGCATGCTANNCCCAAGTGAGTCCGAACATGATCCAAAAGCCCGAGCAGTCCTGACCTCTTAATCTAGCTGGAAGCATGCGATTTACGTGACCGACGATCGTACCGCACCACTACATACAGCGAAGAACAAAGGACGAGAGGCAAACGCCTATCTCACGTACATAATCGAGAACTACGATGAGCTGCCCGAAACTATTGCATTCATACACAGCCACCTCAGTTCTTGGCACAACGACCAAAATGCTGCGAAAGCGCTGCAGTTGCTCAACATCGATTTCGTGCAGAAGAACGGATACGCCAACTTGAGATGTCATACCACGCCAGGCTGCTATCCTGCAGAGATACAGCCATTTCGCAACAAGAAAGAGCAAGCTGGTATAGACAAACACGAAGCAGCGACCGAGAGGGCCTTTGCCAAGGCATGGACTGAGATTTTCAACTCGACTGCCGTCCCAGAACAGATTGGAGTGGCATGCTGTGCACAGTTCGCCGTGTCTCGGGACCAGGTCCTGCAAAGACCGCTTGCGCACTATGTCTGGTTCTACGGCTGGCTGATGGAGACGTCTCTGAGCGACGCGACTGCGGGAAGAGTGATGGAGTATCTGTGGCACATCATCTTCGGCATGGAGCCAGTTTACTGCCCCAAAGTCTATCAGTGCTTCAGAAATGTTTATGATATCTGGGACATCCTCTCGTAGTAACACGTTCGCGGCCTGCGGGTGTTGAGACTACGAAGGAATGCCGCTACTGTATAGATAATTAACTGCGCCGCAGTCTCGAATTCAGCCGCCGGTTCGCTTTCACTTCGAGACCAGGCATTCTGCTCTGCCACATCGCGTAGCCGGATAATTATTGCTCCTAGATGAACCCAACAGTATTGAGCTGAGGGGAGCCGTACAGTTCGAAATTGTTGTCTCTGGATGATGAAGCCGACTCTTGAAATCCGAGGCCGGGCCCACGGATGGTGGACCAAGCTCGCGATAGCCGTCCAGAACCCAGGAAGAACGGAGCTCTTTCGGTAGTCGTCCCTCAAATGTACATGCCCTGCATAAAGTATGCACAACTTCCACCATATATCATGCTCTCGCAGACAAAGTTTTGGTTCCTTGCAAGCCAAACAGCGTTCGTGGATTTCCAATTGACACCGTTGTGCTGTGCAGCGTGACCTCCTGACGTATGCCAAATAGTTGAGCCTCTTGGATCTAGCCAAAGTCAAGCGAAATGGATAGCCGGCGAGCGAGAGGAAGAAAGCTCCCCTCGTCCGTGCCTACTCCCCGCACCTGCTGCTGCTTGGCCCTATGAGCATTAGCCAGAGCCAGAGAATATATAGGTGGGGGTAGGGAATGAAATGAGCTCGCACAAAACCTCCGAATTCCCCTGTTTCTGCTCTCGTACGACTTTGTCTTTGCGATCCGGATATCCTATTCATCTGTAGCAGCTTCAGACAACTTTCGCGCGCTACAACGAAGGCCAACAGGTGTTTACCACGGTTTCAAGCAAGACGCCAATCCCAGAGCTGCCCATTACCGGCTCGAGCCTCGGAAAACCGTTTCAACTCGAGTGGCATATAATCCCTTTGTGCTCGAGCATCTGCGACCACACTTTTCGGTCCTCTCCCTCTTTGTCATTCTTACTCACATCTTTCTACACAATGTCTGACGGAGACGTTCAACCACCAAAGCCCTCGGCCTCGGTCGTTCCTGAGGCACACGAGGTAGACACTTTCCACGTGCCGAAAGCCTTCTTCGAGTGAGTTGCGAGTCTCAATGTCCTTGGCGTTGCGCGCCTCTAACAAATTCTTGCAGCNAAGCACCCCGACAGCAAGCCTCATTTGGATGGCCTTGACCACTACAGAGAGCTCTGGAAGGAGTCAATTGAGAAGCCAGACCAGTTCTGGGGGCGCATGGCCCGCGAGCTGCTCACATGGGAGAGAGATTTCCAGACTGTGCACAGTGGCTCCCTTGCCAACGGCGACAATGCGTGGTTCGTCGAGGGTCGCTTGAACGCATCCTACAACTGTGTGGATCGCCACGCCTTCAAGAACCCCGACAAGACAGCCATCATCTACGAGGCTGACGAGGTCAACGAGGGCCGCAAGATCTCGTACGGCGAGCTCTTGCGCGAGGTCTGCAAGTTGGCCTACACTCTCAAGCAGATGGGCGTCAAGAAGGGCGACACTGTTGCTCTGTACATGCCCATGATTCCTGAAGCTGTCATTGCCTTCCTTGCTTGCACTCGTATTGGTGCTGTCCACTCTGTCGTTTTCGCCGGATTCTCGTCCGACTCGCTGAAGGACCGCATCATTGACGCAGACTCCAAGGTCGTCATTACCACTGATGAGGGCAGACGTGGTGGCAAGCTCATTGGCACCAAGAAGATCGTCGACGATGCACTCAGCAAGTGCCCTGGCATCAAGCACTGTTTGGTGTACAAGCGCACTGGTGCAGATGTGCCCATGACTGAGGGCCGTGATCTGTGGTGGCACGAGGAGGTCGAGAAGTACCCCAACTACATCGCTCCCGAGCCCATGAACTCCGAGGACCCCCTCTTCCTCCTCTACACATCTGGCTCGACCGGCAAGCCCAAGGGTGTCATGCACACCACCGGTGGTTACCTCCTGGGTGCCGCTGCTACTGGCAAGTACGTCTTCGACATTCACGACAACGACATCTTCTTCTGCGGCGGTGACGTTGGTTGGATTACTGGTCACACATACGTCGTTTACGCACCTTTGCTGCTTGGTGTTGCAACGGTCGTTTTCGAGGGTACTCCCGCATACCCCGATTTCAGCAGATACTGGGACGTGGTTGCCCAGCACAAGGTCACACAGTTCTACGTTGCTCCTACCGCTCTGCGACTCTTGAAGCGCGCTGGTGACCACTTTGTCAAGCACGAGATGGAGCACCTGAGAGTTCTGGGCAGTGTCGGTGAACCCATTGCTGCAGAGGTGTGGAAGTGGTACTTTGAGATTGTTGGAAAGGAGGAGGCTCACATTGTCGACGTAAGTTTGAAGCACTGTGTTTGTGACAGAATGACTCTAACAATTCGCAGNACGTACTGGCAAACAGAGACCGGCTCGCACGTCATCACTCCCCTCGGCGGTGTCACCCCTACCAAGCCCGGTAGCGCTTCCCTTCCCTTCTTCGGTATTGAGCCCGCAATCATCGACCCCGTCTCCGGCGAGGAGCTTCACGGCAACGACGTCGAGGGTGTTTTGGCCTTCAAGCAGGCATGGCCTAGCATGGCCCGCACCGTCTGGGGCGCACACAAGAGATACATGGACACATACCTGAACGTCTACAAGGGATACTACTTCACTGGTGACGGTGCTGCTCGTGACCACGAGGGTTACTACTGGATCCGTGGCCGTGTCGATGACGTTGTCAACGTCTCCGGTCACCGTCTGTCCACTGCCGAGATCGAGGCTGCTTTGATCGAGCACAGTGCCGTCGCAGAAGCTGCCGTCGTCGGTGTTGCAGACGAGCTTACTGGCCAGGCAGTTGCCGCCTTTGTGGCCATCAAGAACGGCAACGACGCCAACGACGCTCTTCGCAAGGACTTGATCATGCAAGTAAGGAAGAGCATTGGTCCTTTCGCTGCACCCAAAGCCATTCACGTAGTTCCCGACCTTCCCAAGACCCGCTCTGGTAAGATCATGCGCCGCATTCTGCGCAAGATTTTGGCCGGTGAGGAGGACCAGCTTGGCGACATCACTACTGTAAGTCTCCAGAACACAAATCCACCTGCAGAACCAAACACTAACCTGTCTTCTAGNCTCTCGGATCCCTCAGTCGTCGACAAGATCATCGAGGTTGTGCACGCCAGCAAGAAGTAACTGCATTGCAACGATTTCATTACGCATCTCTGCGACCATTTTCCTTTGGATACCACTTTTTCGCCTCTTTTTGTTTTACATTATGTCTACGGACCCCTGTATGAATCGTCCATAGACGCTGCAGGATTACTATTTATCATCTCTTAACTCTTGCCAAATCCTTCTGAAAGGAGATACTATTATCATCATCATCATCATCATCATCATCATCATCATCATCATCATCATCATCATCATCATCATCATCATCATCATCATCATCATCATCCTGCCATTTACGCTGCTGCGTATCCAAAACTGACTCTTTGAGCTTCGGCAATCCATTCGCGTGCCATGCCTTCCTTCTAGGGCTGCGGACCCTTTGAAGCGAGGGCAGGCCCTCCCGAGTGGATCATCACAAGCTATACATAACCCCCATTGCATCTATCCCTAACATGGCAATCCTGCCGAAGAGGATAAACCTCTGTATATAGTATCGAATCGAGGCTCGGGTCGTCACATTGATAAAGATGAAGAAAGATGCGGCTGGAGCGAGAATCCTGAAAAGCATGGAGTGCAATTTACCACGTCTAAATTTGACCACGAGACAAGAGGTAATTAAGCGAGATGTCATTCTAGAACCGGTTGTTTGTGTTTTTCTTCTATGCTGCTGTCGAGGGATGACTACAAGAAACTCGGAAAGGCAAGAAAAAGGAAGTTGGAAGGGATGTGCAAAGGGGAGCCTGAGCATTGATATTCAAATCGTTTTTTTTTTGTCAAGTATGTCATGGGCCTCGGAATTCTCAGACAAAGACATGCTGCCTTGACGATCAACCCAACCAAAACATCTGTGGTTCCTTGAACGTTCTACAGGTTTCATGTTTCGCCGACGCCATCCCGATTCCCGAATGATGGCTTGATCAAAAGAAATGTAGAGAAGTTGGCTGTGTACGGGCAAGAGAATTTGACCTCTTGTGTTGTTGAAGGAGAATGATGCCTTTTGTCAACCAGGGAGATCTTCAGGCACACGCGTGGGGACCTGGCTTGTTTGGTAGAAGTTCACGTTCGTCTGTTCCCGCCCTTGTATCTCGCCGACATCTATCAATTGGATACACGATGTCTCGAACTCTATGAGATAAGGTGACATCTTCAGTTGCGTGCTNCTGTTGCTGTTTCTGGCATACAGGCCGCCCGATGCGGCAGCTGAAACTGTGNNCCTTGGTTGGGTCAGGATGTCGCAGGTTTGGAAGCTGAAACGGTCCAGCTCNGAGCGGAAGATGAACGAGCGGCAGCTTCCCCGGAAAGACCTCCGTTTCTACTGCAGATCTTCGATGATCATCGATCTTGCCAGNTCGCAGCTCCCTCTTCCAGCTGGGTTTGCGACCTTCTGTCTATAGACCATGCTCGTTCATCGCTTGACCATCTGTGTTTCTCTTGTTAAACAAGCTGTGCGACAGACTGCACATCCTTGAGCAGTTGGAGCCATGATTGCTATCATGTTGACCTTTCTGTCGCCGTACTCGCCGACAGAAACACCGGCCTTTCAAGCAAGATACGGATCTATGCAANNTGACCGATTTCATCACACTACGTCTACGGGAGCTCAGGTTCCCGACCACACAGCCTTATATGANGAAAATCTCTGTAAGTGCGGGTTATTGATGTCAGACACCGAGGCCAACCATTGTCACGTCTCAGGTTCGGCCTTAAAGGACCCTAAAACAAATTAGCGTCATAGTTTCTGGTTTTTGGACGTCTCAGACGCAACTATCTTATACTATGGCGACGGCTTCACGTAAGTGTACCTCGCGTTGTCCAACTGGTCTTGTCTCAACTCTACCACTCGTCACTCTTTCGAAGCCTCTCTTTTCTCTCGTCCACGCCAAACTGACTTGCACCTGTCAGAGTATTGTCGGCAACTGCTGCCCTTCCTGCAAGCCCTATATCCATTGAAAGACATCTGGAAGAAACCTCAACTCTGGGCACATCTTTAGCTTTGTGCATCAAACACTGTCAGCATTCGAAGACCAGAAGCGCTCAGCAAGTGCTCTTCGAGTCAAAGGCGTACAGGACAAGCTATTCGCACCATTTTGATCCATGTATGTTTCTAATTATGCATGACCAGCCTGCATCTACTGACCGGCAGCTAGTAGTCACATCACCGACATGTCGGGCAACGGTCAATATGCACTGTTTCCCAGAACGGACAGCCAGGTTCCGCCAGTTAGATACAAGCTCACACAGACTCCCGGAGAGAGAGCTAAGCTCGTTCTGGTGAACGAGGCAGCAGGTCATGAGCCAAAGCCTCTTTTCAAAGAGGTTTCCCGTGGTCGTGGAGTTGTGAGAGGACACCGTCAAGAGCATTCCGATGTACTACCACTACGCAATATGGAAGACCTCCGCTCAAAAGCCGAAACGCATGAAAAACAAAGGTCCTTGTCTTCAAATCCTGGCAGACAGCGATCAATGATTGCACAGGAGATGTACAGCCGCCCTCGAGATACCAGATCAGCAGAAACTCTACAGCCCATGCTGCAGCCAACATCATATGAAGCTCCGCGCAAGCCTTCGATCGGTGCCCCCTTGGAGAAGTTAGGAGCAAGAATTATGGCGAGGAAAAACTCACGGGACGAGACTCCTGTGATGATGAGAAAGAGTTCACGCGACGATGGATTCTCATCGCTCCGAAAAGGCTCACGAGAGGAGATTACAGCGTTGTTGAGAAAAGGGTCGCGAGATGACACTGCCACACCAAGGGGCAACAACAACGTGGAAGACTCTTCAGATTCAACAAGGAGCACACCACGACTACAACTTACCACAGTACCGGAGGCTCGCGACGAATCAATCATGCAACGAGGCCGCCCTATATCACGACGAGACAGCAAGAGAGGAAAAGGAGAAAACGCCGACCCCTTCTCCGGCAACATGAGCCCTCGATCACACTCTGCTGCACCCACTTACACACTACCGCAAACCTGTTATGCAGCTTCAATCTCCTCTGTTCAACCATCGCCTTCAAAACAATATACGCTTACACGACCATCACTTCATACATCTGCATCGACATCAGCCGTTACCCGGCTACCCTCGATCCAACAATCATTATCAGCACCTAATACCGCTCGCCCAACATTCCACCAATCGTCCTCAGCATCCGCCGTCCGTACCCTCCAATCCTCGCCGTGGGAGCCTAATCACCCACGCAAAGACTCTCTAGACCCCATCGGTTTCCGCACAGAAGGACCCTTCCGCATCGTGCGCGCCCTCCGTGAAATTGACAAGTCCTGTCTGCGCCTCTTTGACGACTGTGAGGCCCTCCAACGAGAACGCCAAACCCTACACACCGAAATGCTCTCGGTGATCAACAACAAAAACTTTAATGCCGGCCATTTGGCAATCATCAGGCAACAACAGCAAGACTTGGTGGACCTGGATACCAAAATTGACGCTTGCATGCACAATGTCATGGAACGACAGCGGCGAAAGGCCAAACTTGTCGATGGGCTGCCAGAAGTACAAGAAATGGATAAAGCGGAAGAGTTGAGAGAAAGGATCACTGCGAGAGAGGCAGAGAATACTGGTACTCCGGTCAGTAGAACGGCTTCGCCCTGGGGTCCTCGGGAGAGCTCACTCAAGACGAACGGTCTGCTATCACCACCTTCGACGGTGAAAGCGCAGAGAGGCACCGCCACCTATTCGGCCATTATGGATTTTCTCGACGAGTTCGACTAGGCTAGCTTTTTAACTCGTAGTAATGTTTTTGTAAATATTACAGCCACCATATTTTCGGCCTTTTACTATTTCTTATTATCCATATCTTTCTCCATTTCTGTTTTTTTGTCCGTTCTTACTATGCAAGTGTTGGGAGACACATATTCAGTTGGCTAGAGTATAGATTTAGAAGAAGAGACGATGCATGATAAGAGAATAAAATGACTTTCACAGGACTATAAACAAGACCAACAGCGGGATATAGTAAAAGAAAAAAGAACCTCCAAGGAAACTACCCAAAACAAAACGCCCGACTGAGGAAAACATCAACATGGACAAATCATTACTGTCATCCAACGCGCAAATTTTTTTCACCACTTTCCAGACCAATCCAACAACTTCCAAGCTCCACGGCCAGCCACTCCAAATACACCAAGTCGTCGATGGAGCCCTCTACCGGCCTGCAAACGCTGAGCTATCTAAGCAGCCTGCCCATCATAGCAGATCTTCAGACTCGCAGGGAAAGGGAAGTACTGGTCCCAGTCTTCGAGCAGGTAGCAGTGATACATCCATTCGGGCTTGAACTCGACGTCGGGGGCGAGAGCGGAGAAGTCCTTGACAACTTGCTTGACGCTGTCGACGGGGCCGGGCCAGACGGGTGCAGGCCTCAGATTGGGCAGTTTACAGAGGGTCTTGAGGATGGCGCCCATGGCGACCAGCGTCATGGGTTGACCGAGGCATTGGTGGGGTCCTTGGCCCAGATGGATGTAAGAGTCGATGGGTCGGTCCAATTTGATCGCTTCTGGGTCGGGGAAGATGTTGGGGTCGCGAGATGCGGAGCGGAAGTTGAGAGCGACTGTGTCGCCGACGTTGAGCTTGACTCTACGATCCATGTCTTCGACTATTGTTTCCTTGGCGACAGTGCGGTAGACGCCTGTTTCGCTGTGAAGACGTGAGAACTCAAGGAAGTAGCGCATGATCTTCTCCTCGGCCTCAGGGGTGTCTTGGACGGCCAGTTCGTGCAATCCTGGAAGATGTTCCCGACCGTCGCTGAACAGCCAAGCAATCACCTGGCCGAAGAATTGACCCTGATTGGCACACATGCTGCCTGCAGTAGGGATGATTTGTGACCATACGAGCTCCTTGACGTCCATGCCCGAAGTCTGCAATAGACGCTCGATCATGTGCTTGCCATATTGGGTGAGAACGGAACGATCCTTGCCCGACCACCACTCACTAATGCGATCAACGGCGTTGGAAAGATGTGGCATATTTGCTAGAGCCTGGACCTGCATCTCCATGAGCTTACCAACGGCTTGGATAGCACCGTAGGCGCCTTCTCGGAGAGCAAATGAATGTTCAGGATCAACATCGAAGAACACGCATGCAAACACAGCTGCCATCACAAGGTACATTTGTTTCTCAGTAAAGGCGCCATCTGGGTTCTCTTCTGTCTTGAGTGGCAGGTTGAAAACTTCCGAACAGAAGTGCACATGCACAATGTTGGACACATCCCGGATAAGATCCACGTAGTTGGTGCCGGCAAGCTTGTATGAATGCTTCTGCAATAGCATAGAGGTGTGCTCTTCGTAGAACTTGCGGACTTCCAGAAGCCATTTCTCCTGTCCAGTGGGTTCTTTGCGTGAAAACTTGCCAAGATACAGAGCCTGCTCCATCATATCGCGAGAAGTTGTGTTGGTCTTGGTGTCGCCCGCAAGCATAAAGCTCTTAGCCAAGGGGCCCATGAGGAACTCGATCTTCGGGCCCCAGTACACTTTGAACGCATCTTGATCGTAAAGTACCCTCTTAGCAGCATCGTAAGAGAACAACATCTTGGTTGGGGGAAGGCGAGTAGGTCTGTCAAAGTTGTACTTATGAGCCTTGCCTAGACCAGTCAAGACCTTCTTCATCTCGGAGGGCACAGTGAAAGGGAAGTGGACGTAGACTGAATCCGGACGGAAGTGGTTAGGGAAAGCCTTCATGAAGAGCTTGTACATCACACAGCCGTGGTTGATTTTGAGATCATCGCCTTGTTCGGCAAATCCCCAGTTTGTGAGTGACGCAGGATGATGAGATGTTGTATAGAATCTATCGCCACGAACTAGAACAGTGGCATCGGAAAGGATGGCACGGGAAGTCGTGTATGAAGGGCAAAGTCCCGATCCAGGGCGCATTGCGAATTTTGCGTCTTCAACAACTAAACCAGGATACAGCTCAACATTATCCGGGTGGTCGTACAAGTGCTTAAGAGATTCGGAAATCTCCTTATCAGCAGTGATCTCTTCAAAGGTTGAGTAAGGCTTCAGGGAGAAATGCTTTCTGAACTCGTTGAGAGTTGCCAGATTCCAAGCTCTCGCTTGTCTGATGCCCAAAACTTCGATCTGCTTCATTACTAGAGGTACCTGGCGGGGACCAAAAGCATTGGCACAGTCTTCAACGCCCTCGACCAGGATCTGAGCAAGTTTGTCGTCCGGTAAAGTTCCATCGGCATTTCTCCTGATGTCGTGAAAGTTGCGCTCTGCAGGATCTTGGGCCTTGAGATCGACCTCCATGTGGCCCAATGTTTTCAAGAACTCCATCTGAGGAACCTCGTCTGGCTTCCTGCCAGGGAAAAGTTTGGCGAACAACTCTTGGGTCCACTTGTCGTCCTTGTCTGAAACTGCCGAGTGCCAGCGGTAGACCAGATTGAACTCAGCACTGACTTGGTTACCACAGCCCAGGTCAGGCTGGCCAGGGAACTCAGCGCGTGGGTTGAGAGACCAGTCAGAGTCTGTTTTGTTGAGGTTCAAGATTGTTCTCACATAGTCGATGAGAATGACGTTGATGTAGAGGCCACAAGTGATCAACCTTCCGGTCTGGAATAAATCATTGTCAAACTTGGTCCACTTCTCCTTTGCAGCGTCCTCAGCAGGCCGGGTAAATCTGCTGTTCTCGTTGATCAGAGCCAATTGCTCTACGATGTAGTTGTGGAAACGATTGAACATGATCATGATCACGCCGACTCCAGGGGGAAAGGACAGAAGACGAGTCTCTGCAAACGAGTCGGGCTTGATCTTGCCGTCTTTGAAGGTCCTGATTGTGTCTTGTTCGCTCTGGTCACTGCCATAGAGTGGGGACAAGTCCAGATATGACGAAGTGTCAGAGATTCGGAAATCCTTGTGATTTGTCTTGAATAAATCGTGGATGATGATCGACGCCATATAGAACAGCATGCTGGAAATCTTGTTGGGGTGCTCAGTAGGCTTATCTCTGGCCATGAGAACATCGAACAAGACAGCTGGATCTGGTAGGTTGCCTGGTTGAATAGTTGCCGGCTTGACGGTGCGAGCATAAGATTCATGAGCGGCTCCCAGTCGAGGGTGGAGATAGCTGTTGTCAGATCCGTCTGCACTGCGGTACTGGTATCTGTCACTCATGAACACTTTGGGAGGATGTTCCAAGTCATTCCAGAGACTCGTTACAAAGCCATTCGTGAGTTTCTGACCAACCACGTCGTTGGGAAGTCTTTGAGCAGCCTGCGAGAAGTGATCAGCAAGAGCTCAGAATGTCTGACATGAGAGACATACGCCGATCAGATATTCCATGAGATACTCCTTGTCGTCAATGTAGTCTCCATTCTTGGCCTTGATCGTCATTTTTGCGACCTTCTCGACAGAATCGAACCCAAGATGAGAAACATCCTTGACAATGGTAGCAAGGGTGGAAGCAAGTGTCTCGTCTTTCTCTACTGGCAATGCCGAACCATCACCTGTGCCAGTGGGAAGCGGAGCCTTCATTGCAGACAAGAGAGTGCCCATTGCACCAATTGATTCTCGGACTTTGTCGGCCATGCCATCCAAGGCCGAAGGAGGCAATGGAACGGAGGTTTCTCCGAAGTGGTTCATCTCGACTTGGTTCACCCGTGGCTGCTTCGTGTTAGTGGCGTTGGTCTTTGATGGGCTCTCAATGTACACAATGCCATGGCCTTGGTCATCATCAGGTCGGAAACATGATGCGCTGCTGAAGACTCGACGAAGACCCTTCATGTTGGCTTTTTCTGGCAGGAGGAAAATGAAAACAACGAGATGAACTGCAAGAAAGAAAACTGCTCACCTCGACCATGAAGGGCAGTTTAAGAATATTCGGTGCTAACAGATTAGGACGACGGGAGAAGAGGCTAAAACCAGGGTATCAAGCTATACCCCAGGGGGCTGAAAGTATAATTCAGCTTTCAGCTGAGCGACCGTTGATAGATACGACTTCTAGAGTGCGAAGAAGATTTGATGCCGAAGAATGTAGATGATAGGATGGAAAAGAAGCGAGACTATTGAGAGACGTTTGAGCTGATGGACGTCGGAGAATCAAAAAAATTGAAGATCCTTAGGTGGTCTTTTTGTAGAAGGAGCCATCTTTCACCAGATTGGGGTGTGCTACCACTTTAGGAACGAGGTCGGGCGCGGCTGACGATGACAGCTGAGAAAGCGCGGGCCGTCGCGACGTGGTTCCTTTGCAGCGATACTTGGTAGATAGCATGATCGTATACTTTCCTTGTCGCAGGAACAGAAGTGATCGCGAGCGGGTCTATTCGTGCGGCACAGAGGTGGTTGTGGAGGCACTGTTGGTGTTGGACGCCTCAGCCGAGAGGTAGAGGATTCGTATCTGGGCAATTAGGAAAGCAGAAAGGCTGAGGCTGTACAGTCATGAAGACAAAAGCGCAGCAGTACAGGGTGTACAATATTGGTCGAGTACATATGCAAGACAAGACGTGGGCTGCATGCAGTGTGTCGAGGCAGGCTCAGCCTGGATGCCTTGGGGGAGTATTTCCACCTTGGTCTACGGGCAGAGCGAGGCAAGCAGTGCTGCAGCATCGACGTCGTAGAGTCGATTCACGTGTTGACAATTGAAAACGAACCAACTTGCAGGGCTAATTGATGAGCGACCAATGTCCTCTCTCTGCCTAGTTCGGCGGCACCGAGTAAAGGGGTTGGTTGCTCGAGGGCTTGGATGAGGAGCCGGCGAGCCTCGGCACGTGGAAGTCAAAGGATTGTGTCCAAAGCTTCCTGCCACTAGCGCGAACATGTCGCGACGGTTGCACTTGTCGTCAAAATAATCATTCCGTTCCGGCGATCCGCTTTGCTCGTCTAACCGTCCTCTTCTGACAAGCAATTAACTTCGCATCGAAATCACACCACGGTGACTCCGTATACAACATGGCCTCGAAACCGGTGAACCTGGTCATCAAACCCAGAGGTGACGACTGATCCTATGCCCTGTCGCCTACCACGACGACACGGCCCAAGCTGACGACCAGGGGCTTAGGACGCACAATCAAGAAGCTCCCCACCGAGGCCACCACATATCTGCAGGGCAGTACCCACGATCTGTACCAGCGCATTGCCGCCGAATCTGGTATCTCAATCCACCGTCTACGCCTGACCAAGGGCAGCGACGGCTCGCTCGTCCCCAATGCAAAGGACTTTACTGTCGAGCGCACCGGTCTGCGCAGCGACAGTGTCGTCTATGTGAAAGACCTTGGTCCGCAGATTGCCTGGCGTACCGTCTTCATCATCGAATACCTGGGCCCGCTGCTCATCCACCCTCTCTTCTACTACCTGCGCCCATACCTGTACAAGAATGCTCCCGCCGAGCCATCATACCTCCAGTCCCTCTCCTGCATCATGCTGGCCCTGCACTTTGCAAAGCGCGAGTTCGAGACAGTCTTTGTGCACCGCTTTTCCAGCGCTACCATGCCCGCCCGCAACATTTTCAAGAACTCTGCTCATTACTGGGCGCTGGGTGGTGCCAACATTGCCTACTGGATCTACGCCCCTACTGCTCCTACCGCCGGCCCTTCGAACCCCTTGATTACCTACCTCGCCATCGCTCTTTTCGTCGTTGGCGAGCTGGGCAACCTCAACGCACACTATGTGCTACGTAACCTGCGCAGCACTGGCGGCACCGAACGTGGCATTCCCAGCGGTCTGGGCTTCGATCTCGTGACGTGCCCCAACTACATGTTTGAGGCAGTGGCATGGATCGGTATTTGGCTGGCGTCTTGGAGCTTGAGCACAGGTCTTTTCGTCGTGGTTGCTGTGGGCCAGATGGCTGTTTGGGGCAAGAAGAAGGAACGCAGATACCGCAAGGAGTTTGGCGACAAGTACCAGAAGAAGAGATTCTCCATGCTTCCTGGCCTGGTATAAGGGAGATTAGACGTGGGACAGACTTCATGTGGCATAATGCAGGCATCTGGACAATTGTGTCAGCATGACTTGAGAAAGAAAGGGCCAGGTTGGTCGTCACGCCTAGATGAGGGGGCCTGTATATATAGAGATGAAACAGATAGCAATGTACCGAGTAAAGCAAAAGAGAAATACGTTACAGAATCATGTACATTGAAAGGTGGCTTCTGGTTTGCCGCGTGACAGAGATAGAGAGAGACGGTGAGAACAGAGAGAGAGAAAGGACAGAGCATATTGCAACGACCAGCGTCCACGACAGGCTTCCTATCTCCTCGAAGACCTCGCACCTTTGAAGATCAAGCCGCCAACGACACCCGCAGCCACAGCCAAACCACCGATAATAGCAGCACCCATCAAGCCCTCCTTGGCAACCTTGTCATCAATCAACTGCCTCAGACTCTTTGCTTGCAGATTGTTCGGCTCCAGATCGATAAGCAACTCATTGTAACGACGGGCCTCTTCATACGAGCCCAGCTTGTAGTTTCCAAGGGCGAGGTAGTAGAGACATTCGCGACGGCGGTCGGGCGACGAGCGGAAGATTTCGGTGAGCAGACGCACGCCTTCTTGTTGTTCGGGCCGCTGGGTGGATTTTATGAGGCCCCAGGCAAAGTTGAATTTCGTCTGGAGGGAGACGTATTCGCCTTCTTTTTCGTATTGCGAGCGCAGGACTTGGAGTTCGGCGGGTTTTAGGGGACTGGATGAGTAGAGGGTTAGTTTGCTTGGAGTGGTTGGCTGGGTGGAGGGGGAGGGGGGCGTACGACTCCGCATCTGCGGCATCTGGTGAGGTGTTAGTGTGGTAGAGCATAGCTAGAAGAGTGTCCAGACTCACATGGAAGATGATCACCCATGATTGTGTGTGTATTTGGTGTTGAGCAAGAAGGTGGAACTGCTGGTGGCTGACCGAAGTCGCATGTGAGATCATTGGGGCCAGGGTCTCTGTTGCCCGCACGTGGAGGAAAGCGCGTTGCTCGGCCACTGCGAGTTTGTAAACACCAAACTTTGACTCCATCACTGCCACAATCACCACCACCAGCGCACATCGACCACGTCTTGATAACACTCTTACATCTCATCGCCCGCCAGCATGGTTCTCTTCGACGAAGACCCCGTTACTGTGCGTAACCCCATCACCAACACCTTGCGACACACAACTAACAAACACACGCACCAGCTCATCCGCCAAACAACCCGCAACTTCCACACAGACAGCGACCTGCAGTCCATCTCGCGCATCCACTCCTCCCTCTCCACCCTACGCAGCGCCCGCTCACTGCGTCTAAACGCCCAACACACCCAACTCGCCCAGCTCTCCCGAAAAGCCCAACACCTGCGCGCAACTCACGATTCCGAAATCTCACGTCACGATCCTGCCGCCCACGCGTCCGATATCCTAGCACTGGACACTGAGAAGTTCAGAGTTGCAAAGGCTGCCAATGAGCTAGAGATTGAGGGTGAGAGATTGGGGTCGGAGGCTTATACCCTCAAGAAACAGTTGCAACGATTAGAAGAGCAGGGTGATGATGTGGAGAGTGCTGAGAACAAGGCTGAAGATGAGGTCGTGTGAGTGTCATTTCCCTTTCAACTGCCTGCAATTTTCTCGAAGGAAGAAGACTGACAAAACATCACCAGATTAAAACTAGGTGTCTACCGCAGCTTGGGCATCGACGCCGAACAAGACCACAACACTGGCGATTTCTCCCGTGCCGTCATCAGGAATGCCGCAAAGGGTAGCGTCAACGTGGTCAACCTGGATCCAAAGTTTGATCGCTTCTTCTACGCAAACCATTTCTGGAACAGCATGTAAAGAGAAAGTTATTTTTTTTTCTTTTTTTGGTTGGCACATGGAACGGGCGTCTTTTTGGTGACCAGGAAAGGAGTTTGTTCTTGGTTCCGGTCGGATCGGTCTATATATCATGGCTTTATGAACTTTTATTCACTTCTTCCTTTCCCATAAACCATCGAACAAAAGGCATATATGCAAAAGAGGCACAGACACAGGCAGTTTCTTCAATTTCTGAATAATCGTAGAATGTACAATCATTTTGCAAAAGGAAACTACTGGAACAACAAGATCACGAACCATCTTTCCTCCTCATCACCTCCGTCTACAAAACATCTACATCAGATGGCTTAAAAAAACCCCTCTACTTCTTACCACCCTTCTTCTTTGTAGGCACGACCTTGAAACTGCCATTGTTCAACTCATCCTTGGCCTCCTGTTTCGGCACCGAAGCATTCTTCTTGGCGACCTCGCTCCAGCCGCCAGCTTGAGAGGCAGCGGCGGCAGGACTGGCGGGCTTGGTGGTGGTGTCGACGAGACCTTTGTCGGCGAGTTTGCGGCGGCGGATGAATTCTTCGGCAAAGTGGCGCGAGTCGATGGTGTGGGAGACGCTGTGCACGGCTTCGGTGACGATTTCGAGTTCGGAGGGGAAGGAGAGGAGGTTGGTGACGAATTCGTCGGCTGTGGAGGAGAGTATGTTAGCTTTGTTGTTTCTTGCTTTCAGAGAAAACTGTGCTTATGACTTACCAGTCACGCTCTTGTTGAGATCGTGCTTCAATTCGTTGACGGCCCACTTCTTGAACTCGTCAATGGCGTTGACGGCAGAAGGTCCTGCGGTCGCTCTGGCGGGGACGGTCTTCTTGACGGCTGCTACGGTAGGAAGCACAGTTGAGCTAGCCACTCTGTTGGCGACAGGAGTGGGGGTAGGCAGAGGGGTCTTGACCTTTCCACTTGCACCAACAGTGGTCCAAGCACCGCCGATGCCAGGAACAGGGCTAGCAGGGGCAGGAGACGATGCCACCTTGCTGGCAAGATCGGCATATCTCTTGCCAGCGGCAGACTGCTGGACAGGAGCAATGCCGACAGCTGCGGCGGCCTGGATGGCTGCAGCAGCCGCAAGACGCTTCTTGCGAGCTTCTTCCTCCTTCTGGATCTGTGCCATGCTCTTTGTAGTGGTAGGCGCGGCGACTGTCTTTGCAGCCTTGGCCCATGGCGAGGGAGCAGTGCCAGTGGCGGGCGAGGCAGTGTTGCTGCTTGCCCAGTTTGAAGTCAAGGGCAGACCGGGTGCAGGTGCAGTGGACAGCTGGACTTGAGCGAGCTCTCTCTCGAAGGCAACGCGGCGAGCTTCGACAGCAAGTGCTTCGGCTTCAGCGGCCACCTTGGCCTCGGCTTCTTGGATCTCCTTAAGAGAGGGTCCTCTAGAGGATTCAGCGGGCTCCTTGGCCCAAGGAGCGACCGAGGCACNTAGGGGTCTCTGCTGATGGGGTTTGCGAGCGAGATCTAGACTCGGCATGAAGAGCATCAGCAACATGAGATCTGTTACGCTGAGCAGCAGGAGCAGGTAGGGGAGACTGCGATGGTGCAGGAGGGAAGGGTTGAGGCAGAGAAGTGTCGACCTTGGCCCATGGAGATGAAGCAGGGGCAGGAGACTGCTTGACAGATGCAGCCTTCTGAACTTGCTCGGTCAAGGAAGGTTCCTGCTTGGATTGAATTGCAGCGGAAGCGACAGCCTCCTCGTGCTGTGCAAGCGCTTCAGCTTCTTCCTCGAACTGAGCGTCGTACTCCGACTGGGTCTGTTCAGGAGAGTGAGCTTGACCCTGCTCTTGCTGAACTTNNGCTGCTGTTCGGATGGAGGAGCGATGGGCTTGCCAATGACACCCTCCGAACCGACGCCGAATGGGTCGGCTCTGGCATGCTCTTGCAGGCTTTGGAATTGTTCAAACTGATCGTTCCTTGCAGGCTGGTCGTGCTGGAATCGGTGAGCAGCATCATGCTGTGCCTGCTGCTGTTCGAGGCGAGAGCGATCGTCAAGCATTGTGGAGATACGGCGTTGCTCATCGGACTGGGGGAATGGCTGGCCGATGCCGCCAAAGTTGCCCTGAGTTGATCGTCCGAGGTTCAGTCTGTTGACCATGCCTGACACATCTTCTTCTCTGATGTTGCCGAGCGCGTCTACGCCAGCACCGATAGCACCGAGACCGCCGAGGGGTCCAGCAGTCCTGAAAGAGTTATCGAAGAATCCAGGGACATGAGTGCTACCGCTTGAGCCAGTACTTCCGAAAGTGCTTTGAAGAGGAGCAGGCGGGAACGGAGGTGCAGGCGAACTAAGGCTACCAAAGCTCTGCTGGCTGTGCAAGCTCTGGACACTAGATTGGTGGTGCAGCTGGGGAAACAGCAACTGGCCAGTCTGTGCCTGGAAACGCTGTGCAAACTGTTGCTGGGCGAGATGCTCCTTCTGGCGAGCCATCAAGTATTGCTCTTCTTGCTTGCGGCGTTCCAAGGCATTTTGCTGGTCGGCAGTCAGGGTAGTTCCAAAGCTAGGGAAGCTGTTGGCGAAAGGAGGCTGCGCTCCTCCTGAAGACAGAGGGTTAGTCCAGTTGTTGGCTGGGGGCTGAGGAGCAGTGGGGTTGCCATGAGGAATGCCGATCTGAGGAACCAAGAATGGCTCGCGAGAGTTTCCAATTCTACGGATCAACTGGGCCAAGGGCTCATATTCGGGATCCTCAAACTTCTTAACAAGCAACTCAGGAGAGAAGAAACCAGCTTTGTACCAGTCATGCATCTCCAAGCCTGACCACGGACCTTGAGTGACTCCCTGAGGGTCACGGTAGATCCACCTCATACGGTCGGGCATAACCATAGTCTTCTGCTGAGCTGGGGGTGGTTGGTTAGATGCGGAGCTACTGACAGCCTGAGCCTGCATAGAGGCAGAGGGCTGAGCAGGGCGTTGGCCGATGGGCTCCTGTTGAGATGGCTCCGTGTTGCGGTCCTGGTCAGAGAAGCCAGCAGCCACGTCGGCAGCACGTCTGAACGGACTAGACGTGTCGCGAGTCGGGTTGGCAAAGTCTGCTGAACCAGCGTCATCTTCGTCTTGTCGACCATGTTCAGAACGCATCTGCTCCTGCACGCTGGTGGGGAAGAGAGAGCCAAGTCGGCTTCCACCACGGCTCTGGCTAGGGTGCGCGCCGAATGCTCCCAGACCGCTCAGAGCAGCAAGGCTGGGAGAGCCCAAGTCAGCGGAAGAGCCGAAGGGGTTGTCGCCGAAGTTGCCAGCCAGGGCAGCCCTATCCCTACTAGGCGTACCAATCGATGCCTGAGGACCACCCCAAGCGGAAGCGCCGCCAAGACCAGGAAGAGCCCCCAGGCCAGAAAAGGTGCCAAAGCCTCTGTTGGGACCAACACTAGAAGTCTGGCTACGGTCGCTTGGTGGAGCTGCCGGAACACGTCCCAGATTACCGAGTCCATGGAAGGCACCAGGACCAGAAGACATGGGGTCGTTCATGATGCCACCCAGGTTGGGCAGATGAGCATTATGAAGATCGGAAGGGTCGTCGTCAGCGTCGTCAAGATCAGCAGGTACGTGCTCGGGACTATGGTAGGGGTTGGTATCCGAAGGGCTCATGGCATCGTTACCAGTGGGCTGTTGTTGTTGAAGACGGCTGTGAGATTGATCGTGCTGCTGGCCCATCAGAGTACGGAAAGGATCCGATGTCATGCCAAAAGCGCCATGGCCAAATTCGTCACGCGAGTCTTGACGACTCGGAGTGCCGAAGCCGCGGCTTCGGGGAGGAGAAATATCCTGACCGCCGCCTAGAGCAGCACTACCAGTAGCATGCTGCTCGTGTTGCTCTTCGTGTAGGACTGACTCCAGGCCTCCAGGGGTTGCTTGCGATGACTTGGCATCATCATTGTCCTTGGCCATGAGTCCTTTGAAACGACTTTCGGCTCTACCACCGGCCAGTCCTGGACGTTTGTCCGCAGTCGGGGTGCCCGCAGTAGCACTGGAGTTGATAGCAAAATTGCCAAAAGCCCCCATTGGCGAGAAACCAGCGCTCTGTGGAGTGGCGGACCACGGAGATGACCCACCACCGACAGCCGTATTCAAAGGACCAGTGACAGTGCGCTTGAGGCCAGAGAACGGAGGACGAGCGGCGTCAGAGGCATCAGCAGGAGGTTTTTCATCCGACGAGTCACCAGTATCCTTAAAGTCGGTTCTTCTTCTGGTCAGAGAAGGAGGAGGAGAGTTGGGACGAGACTCGATGCGTGAAGTCTTTACAACCGAAGGCGAGTTGAGCTGCGAACTCGAGGGGAACGGATAGGCCTCCTGCGTTTCGCGGCGTCGAGGACCAGGTCTGCTGGCACCACCTGGAGAGCTAACACCAAACGCACCGGGACTGTTGACATTCTGCGACACAGAAATCTTGCGCATGGGTGGATTGACAGCATCCTTGGTCACAGTAGTGGGTGGTTTCAGAGGCGAGTTGACAGACGAAAAGTNGCTGGCCAGACGATTTAGCAGCAGATCAACGTGTGGTACCAGAACATGACGTACCTCCTTCTCTTCATCGTCCATGTCGACCAGGCCCAAAGGACCTGTAGAGCCGTCTTTTTCCCAGCAGACCTCGGGACCGGGAACGTGGTCTTTTGCTTGTTCGTCCCTCCTGCCCCATCCGCCCAGAGAGACACCGTTGGTCTGGTTTGGCTCCCATCCTGCGACGAACAAAGGGGAAAGTGAGTCATCTAGCGAGCCTTCTACATTCTGCTTGTGGTACAGATCGAGAAGTTGGTTCTTGGAGTAGCGTGTGTCCGAGTGGGCAGGGCCATTGCGATGCGGAGGCACATAGACGGCAGGTTGTGCACCAGAAGTTAACTCCCTGGCATTGGAGCTCATCATCGAGGTAGCGACAGAGGGACGGCGGAAGGTCTGGGTTGCTCCGTTCGTTCGACGAGCNNCCTAGAGATCACGTAGGGTCAGCCGCTGGCACATGGCTGTGTTTGCGCCTCACAAGCTTCGTGTGCAGCAAAGCTCGAGAAAGCCACCATCGACGTACCATTCTCCGGCCGAATCGGTGCGCGGAGTCGTGGGTGTGTTTCCGCCCGCGGCAGCGGATGCGAATGTGCTTGGAGGCGCCATGTTTTTGAAGAGGGCAAGCTCGGAGGTGAAGTTCGTGGAATGATGGTAGCGATAGGTGGCGACTTGACGTCTACGGTTGGAAGCGAGATGCGGGTGGCGTGCTAAGAATCGAGCGTGCGAGGGCGAGAGATGTTGCGCGGTGAATCGTTGGCTGCGTGAACGATGGTAAAGAGACTGGAAGTCGATATTCGCATACTAAACTGTCCCCGATGGCGTAGAAATCTTGGCGTTTGGTGGGTGACCGCGCGCAAATCCTCTCTTCGCTCGTAATCCAATGTCCTTAAATTCATATTCGCGAAACTGTTTTCGGTGCCTATTTTGCTTGTCTTCAATGCCGATACGAATGTCTCGGCTCGTGTATACGGATGACTGCCTGCTCTGATTATCACACACTATGCATTAATGCAGCATTCGAGAACAACTGTAGCATTTGTATGCCTCGCACCTGAAGCTTCTCGCTACAGTCGTTTTAGCTTCAGTCGTCACATGAGCAGCCAGCCATCCACCTAATGTCCAATGCACAGCTAACGACCCCCAAACTCTTCTGCCTTCTCTGTAAAATGTGCTTTGAGTTCCTCGGCCATCTTGCCTTCTGTTTCTGCAATAATGGTGCCAACCAACGAGTAATTGTTCGCAAGAAAGCGATCTCTCTTCTTTTGTTCAGCAAAACTCTTGCTAAGCTTCGTCAGGAAAGCTTCGAAATCGTTACGCAACCTTCCTAGACTGTTCTGAACTGGCTCGTCGTCGCCAGCCTCGCTACTCAATGCTAGGATTCCCTGTGTGAAATTTGCAAACCGCTGGGTTATTTGATTAGGGGCAATCGATTGTGGCGCAGATGCAGATGTCAGAATGAGCGCTGAACCCGCAGGGCGTCCTGAAAGTGAAGAGGTAGCTTTACGAAGGGATTCGCAATGCGCATCCATGACCATCTGGAAGCGAGGCCATAGAAGCATGTTGGTGCCGTTAACATAGCCTTCCATAGCGGGTACTTTCCGTCGTTGCAGTTCGAAAGCAAAGTGCTGGTTTAAACGGACAGTGATCAACAGTCCGAGTGCGTCGACAGTCTGGTCAATCAACTGCTTTGTCAAAGCCTGACCCAGAGCAAATGTCGGTTGGAATATTTCCGCAAACTTGCGATTCACCTCGTGATATGACTGTTTTGAGAAGAATTCGGTTAGGAAGGAGTACTCGCCCGAGGCGTTATCCATTAGCGCAAGGTTGAAAGCTCTGAAAGGTGCCTCAAGATAGTATGCAGCCTTGTCTTCTTCTGCGATGTGCGAAGAGAGAGCTGACTTGAAGCTGCCCTTGAGCATGTCCATGCGTCGACCTAGCGAGAACGCATCGTGTGGAGCGGCCTGTGTTCGTGAGCCAGAGACTGCGGTTGTTCGTTTCGTGGTATCGTCTTGTGCCAGGACTTCGTTCTTGTCAACAACGTGGATGTTCATCTTGTCAAGCGATGCTTTGTAGCGCGAAAAGTTTTGCAAGTAAAACCAGCGCATAGTATTGATGTACGCACGGCCAATATCTTGACCCAACTGAGGTTGGTGGCGATCCAGGAATTGGAAGGCGTCCTTGTATCTCATGAAGTTGTTCTGCTGCAGAAGCTGGGCGTTGACGCCAGGAGCGCGCAATGCTTTGATCTGGGATACGACATAATCACGAGTACGCTCGACAGCCTTATTTTTGAGGCTGTCTATCAGTGGTTTGAGGTCCGCAGCACTTTTGGACCTAGGAGCTTTTGAGTCAATGATCTTGGAGCGCTTCTCGAGATCGTCCAAAGCTTTGATCCAGGCATCATCAATAGGCCCGTCTGATATCTTTCGTACAATGGATGGGGGGATAGTCAAGGCATCAACTTCTGGAGCAAGTAGCTTCTCAACTTGCTTACGGGTTTCAAGCTTGGTGTTAAGGGCCGAGGAACGATTTTGCAGGGTTTCGATCTCGGCAGAGACAGCGGCCAGATCGGCCTGGAAGCTGGTGAGGTAGTTCTCTACAGACTTGAGAACTTCGTCACAGGCGACAATGGACTTGTGCAAATCCTCAAACTTGCCTTTATCCTTCTCGACNNTAGACAAACCTAAGCTTCAGGTGGGGGACCAGGGTGAACGAGGGCGTGCCAACATACATTCTTCGACAGACGGCTGTTCGGAAGGTTGATCCGAAGATGAGGAGGCATCGGCAAACTCTTGCAGACTCAGTTCGCCAAAGTCGATGTTTGCGCCATGGAGAGCGGACGCACCCGGAGGGATGGACTCGGGATGGACAGGAGCTAAGATGTCGCGTAATACGTCAAGTGGATGCGAGACGTTATCAACCGGAGAAGCATCGAGCTGGTTCCTCAGGTTGGAGTGGGCAGGCGGATATCTGGCAGCAGCAGGCAGGCTATCGGTGGATCCGTTCGTGAGGAGAGACAGAGAGGAGGAGCGGTTCGTGATGGCAGGTCTGTGGGGAAGGGGGCTCGGGGCAAGGTGACTGGGCCTTCGTTGCGGCGCTGGCGAAGACGAAGGCGACGGGTGTTGGGAGTAGCGATTTAGCCACATGCCATCTGCAGTTTGGCGGTCGAGCGAGTGGAAAAGAGGCGACTGGTCAATGTTGTTGGGGTTGTCAAGCGGGATGGCACAGACTCGCAGCGCTGCGGACAGATCAAGGTGTTGGGTCGAGTTCTGGAGATTGTAACTTACTGCTGCTGCTGCTTCCTTGCGCTAACTTTTCGTCCGTGCGCCGCGCCTTCCTTTCCCCACTTCACTAATTTTCGACTTCATCCTTTTCTTCATCCTTTCGCCATCTCTATCACCACACCCCCATCTTCCACCCATCACCACCCATCCACCACCACAACACCGTCAAAATGGCCGACAACGACGCCCAGGTACGTCAGCTCTCGCCTGGAGCTCTGCAGTCCTGCGCGAATGCTCCTGCCCGACCCCGCGCCGCGACAACAAAGCCTCCAAGCTCAATCCCGTCTGCCGTTTGCTCAACATGCTGACCACGCCGTCCTACAGCACGAGCAGCACACCTTCGAGTCCACCGATGCCGGTGCCTCCACCACCTACCCCATGCAGTGTTCTGCCCTGAGAAAGAACGGCCACGTCGTCATCAAGGGCCGTCCCTGCAAGATCGTCGACATGTCGACCTCCAAGACTNNCGGCAAGCACGGTCACGCCAAGGTCCACTTGGTCGCCATTGACATCTTCACCGGCAAGAAGCTCGAGGATCTGTCTCCCTCCACCCACAACATGGACGTCCCCAACGTCGCCCGTCGCGAGTACCAGCTCGTGAGTTGCTTTTCCCAAAGACTCGACCCAATCATAGCTCAAACTGACTCTTCTGCTAGNCTCGACATCACTGACGACGGTTTCCTCTCTCTCATGCTCGACGACGGCTCCACCAAGGACGACGTCAAGGTCCCCGACAACGAGATTGGTGAGCGCATCAACAAGCTCTTCAACGAGGAGCAGAAGGACACCAGTAAGTTATGCCGCTGCTACGAGCGCTACTCTCCAGCAGCTGACCACTTATTCNNAGACGTCATCATCCTTACTGCCATGGGTGAGGAGTGCGCCATTGAGGCCAAGGAGGCTCCCAAGTCCGGTTAAACGATTTGCACTTCCAATACATCGAGACAGCGCTTTCCACGCGCTGCTTCGGCGCCAGATGAGCATTGCAACAGTTCCGCTCAGCACAGTGGATGCATGATCGTGCTTGCCCTCCGCTGCTGCTGCAAGCCTTTTGTTCGATCTCGACGGCATCTAGCCGCATGTTTTCCCTTACGACCCCCCTCTTTCCCACGGGCGAGTTGACGTGCGCGTCTAGACAATAAAATGTCACGAAGCGATGGTTTTCAAAAAATCTACTCAATGCAAATCAATTTCCGAACAATTCAAACAAGTGCACATGTGACATAGCAAACAACGTGCTTCCATGAATTTTGAAAGCTACAGATCCATACATTGAGTAATGAGCAGATCATCCATCAAGGTAGTGTCCCGTATTGAGCTTTTGGTTATAACCATTCGAATGCTGGCCCGAGTCGAAGGACCAGACAGGGTCACACTCCAGACTGGGTTCATGATTCGCCAAAGTATCATTGAGCACCGTGATTTGGGTTTGGGCGCGACGAAGTGATTGTGTCTTCATATGTTGGCATCAATTGTGCCGCTTCCGGTAGAAATTTGTTGTATATCGATGTCGTCTGGAATGCCTTGTCGTGGTCGTATGCTGGCCATGACAAGAAAATCCAATTATCCAAACACCAACAAACTTTGCCCACACAACTTTCACCCACCAACTCCGATTGTGACCACGCATGCTCTTGTCGCTTGGCGCCCTGCTAGAATGATAATCGAGAGAGAGCGCAACTTCCATCGCACTTTGATAAATGGAATTCGAGTGTGAGGCGGGCTGTGGTTCGTCGACATTCCAGATTGGCGATGATGGTTTTACATACTGTTCTGAAGGACATCGTCAATGGACGGTGAGTTTTCGCACTTTTCATCCTCTGGAACTTCGATACAGAAATGTCTGATGCTCTGTTTAGCGAGGTACACAAGTAGTCGAAGACACAGAGGGAGCGCCAGCATTTGGCAAAAAAGCACGAAGGGAGAGAGATGTTGAAGAAAACGCCGAGACTGGTGAGCATCCCATACCAATCCTTCAGATGTTTACTNNGATCAGCACAGCCTTGACTGGTAAAAGGGCGTTCGAACACTATCTACTGTGTTTCCAACTGGTCTTGTGGAAACAAGTAAATTGGTTGATCAATGCAAAACACCTCCCAAAAGAGCTCGAAGTAAGCCATGACTTGTGTCCTTCGAGTATTGATTATACTGATTACAACAAGACAGTGGTGCGTGATATCTGGGCTCTACGTCTGCAGAGCCTTCAATCACGGGTCAGCTACGAATCAGAGAGTGAGGCCGAGCATAGTTCTCAGTTCTATAGTTCTCAGTCGGAGGCCGAAAGGACTGATGACACAGCACAGACACGTCGAGCAAGGAAGAGCAAAAACGACGCCGTACCCAAGCTTGTTGATGCCTTGAGCATGTGTTATATTGGCTGCCTGCTGATTCGATTGCCAGTCACTGTCGGCGACTTGTACACGTGGGCAGCCAGTGGTGACCTGATATACTACAGGGCTGTCAAAGCTTTATCCGAGTCGATGAAAATGCGTCTACCATTCAACTACCACAGGATTATGGACCCTCAAGATATTTTGAGTCCAGGATTGGTGCAACAGGCGGTCCTCGACAACATTACAGCTTTCGATCGTGCCTTTGGCATGGCTACGCCACCTATCAACCATGTTCTTATCCTTTACCGATGGATCAGAAGTCTTGCACTTCCTCTGGAGGTGTATTCAGCGACCTTGCGGCTGGCTAAACTTCTTGAAATCACGTTCGTTTATGATGTCCAAGCCAAACGCTCGTCAAGATATCGTATCCTACAGCATGCCGAACCTCGACTCATGGGTGCTCTTGTAATCGCAACAAAATTATTGTTTCCTTTGGACAATGTCAAACGCTACCCAAAGAATTCAACCGAGCTCTCGGCACTAACTATGGACTGGTCAAATTGGAGCNNCAAGGTACGGGCGGAGTGCAACGATACGATCAAGTCAGGAACACCGCTGGGCTACCAAGAGGCCATGCAGATTCAGGAAAAAGATGTACTCGACATGTCTGATGATAAACTCGATGAATATATGGATTGGTACGGCTCAGTCTTTGCAGAGGAGACCGTACGCGAGAAGGGAAGGATAGGCAAAGAGGCCGAGTTCCGCAGAGCTCTGCTTCGTCTTTTTCCGGTTGAACGCACCGCACAAAACGCATCCGATGCCATGGATGTAGACAAGGAAGCAGAGCCAGCGGCTGAAGATGAGCGGCTGAGAAAGGTTCAGAGCAGCCTAAGACCCACTCGTGTCAAGGCAGATGTCAGATCAATCGAGCCCAAAGTAACTCGACCGGGCAACAGCTACAGACGATATCGAAATGTTGGAGAACTCGATGACTACGCGAGGGAGTTCTATGACGAGGCTGCCGATCTGGTTGCACTGCCTCTAAATTCACTCGTGAGGTGCGTCTTTTTCTTAGAGAAAAGGCTGGAGAAGTGGGAGAGCAGCGAGAGAAAGAAGTAGACCAATATTGTTATGCATCTTTTCTAGTTAAACATGTCCCAGCTGCACTTATACTAGATCAGTTGAATTGGATGCGAAGCTTGCTCTGATCGACCACTTGACTTGTGAGCTCTCATGTCTCTCCAACACGATCTTTCGCAAACAGTGCACCCGCAATCGCGACAGGCCGTCTCGACTCCTGACTGTCGGCCAAAACAAAGATTTTTTCTGCTCTTGTGAATGATTGATGAGACAGTCATGGAGTGAAGACGTGGTCTTGGCATGGTACTCGGTAGGTTGGGCGGGTCGACTCCGGAAGTTGCCGCGTCGGCACCCACAGCGAGCGCTATTTGCGATTCTCAAATTCACGTCTGCTTCTCGTCGCGAAATTAGGTATTGTATTCAGCACACGAAGACCGTCACCAGTAAGTGCTATGCAGAGCGTGTTTCTGTCGCTTGTTGAATGTCGCTAACGTGAATTTGTGTCACAGTGCAGATGTAAGCCTCTCGAAACCCAGCCGCCGCGCCCGCGCACCGCAATGCAGAAAGGACTCCCAACTGACAGCAATCGCCACACAGCTTCGTCAAGACCCTTACGGGCAAGACCATCACCCTTGAGGTCGAGTCCTCCGACACCATCGACAACGTCAAGTCCAAGATCCAGGACAAGGAGGGCATTCCCCCAGACCAACAGCGCTTGATCTTCGCCGGAAAGCAGCTCGAGGATGGCCGCACCCTTTCCGACTACAACATCCAGAAGGAGTCGACTCTTCACCTTGTCCTCCGTCTCCGTGGTGGTATCATTGAGCCCTCGCTCAAGGCTCTCGCCTCCAAGTACAACTGCGAGAAGATGATCTGCCGCAAGTGCTACGTAAGTCGCCACGCTCCCACCCTTACCTCTGGACACACGCGACACGTCTGGCAAGAGAAGAAGACATCAAGAAGAAGCAAGACGCGGTGGACGAACCAGACGATGATAAAGAACATTTCTGACATGGCGCTCCTCTTTACANNGGCTCGTCTTCCTCCTCGTGCCACCAACTGCCGCAAGAAGAAGTGCGGTCACACCAACCAGCTCCGCCCCAAGAAGAAGCTGAAGTAAACTACTCGCCCCATCACTGCTGTCTTGGCTGTTGTGCTTCGTTACCTCAAGGGACTAGGCGTTTGGGGAGGAGGGATCTATCACGGCGTCTCGACCAGATGCCCGAACCGCGAGTAGTGGTAGCTCAGAAATGTCATCACTCTCCCGCGTTGATGTCCGAATGCAAGAAAGAAAAAAGTCATGCCCCCAATCTTCCAATCTCGACCACCTTGTCAGTGATGCTTCTACCTCATGTGGCCTACTCGAATCTCCTTTGCAAATCTGGATCTACCAATGCAACCACAGGTTTGCAAGGACCCTGTCACGTACCTGCGTTGTCTGCCTGCAACAGAACCAGAAAACCATCGTTATGAAGTAAACTCAACACACGATCTAACATGCAATACGTTTCGCTGAAGTCAAGACATGAACTACTAATCTGTCCCATCCAACTAGAGTGCAGAAACTCGGACAAAGAATTGGATCAAGAGCTGGGGCTCCATCGGTTCAGTCTTCGGTGTGCTTCAAACATGACCCGTTGGTAGTTTTGTACGGCTCATAAGTTTTTCACCGCGGGTCACCGCACCACGGCAACGAGTACAAAGAGACGAGTTGAATTTTGAGACATGTTTCTCCATGTCTTGCAATTTTGCTGCTATACAAAAGGCGCTGGGTTTTGATTCAGTGACATGCTAGTTGCCCAGTTGAAAGCCTGTATAACAAAGATATCTGCAGGTGTCCGATCGTTTGAAACATGATGAATTTGCACAAATTATATTAGAACAACTCGTGTAAGTTGGTGCGTGTGGTGAGATCGATCGAAACAGGTTATCGATCAACGTCTTGCTGTCGTGGTGACTGGAATGCTCAATCTAGATATGCAATCTGCCTCGCACAAGAATGCACGGAGATCAAAGACAGGGTTGTCAATGGCTGCAATTCGACGCGTGCAAAGAGACAAGAAACCAAGGCACGAGAAGTGCTTTTGTCGTCATTCGATAGATCGGTGCAGAAGTGGCTGGGCCATTAGGGTTTATGAATCCAGGTACATGATGGTTAAATGTTTAACCATGCACAACGGTTAGTGCAGGCTCCATCTGCAGGCTATTCATGCACCATTCTGCTCGTTGGAAGCAGATTATAGAGTCTAGTATTTCTTTGAATCAAGAACATTTAATTTACACATGTTCACCAAGAAGATAGAGCAAGAAACGGGGCAGAGAAGAAAGTCATAAAGTCGTAGCTGCCGAGTATTGGTGGAGTCTTTGGGAAGCTTTGGCAATCGCGAAACGCGCCTTCCTGCTCGCGTCTCATTCCCACGCAGCAAGGCCTTCCTCGTCCTCTGCACCTCTGACCACGACCACTCTCTTTTCAATTAATTGACTATCGCCCTCTCTTGATACCGAGTATTATTAATCCGCCATCAGATCGAGCATTCGCCCCACCGCCCGCCGGCTTGTACTCGATACACGACAATTCTGACACGCGTGAGCAGAGAACGGGCATCTCACGCGTGTGCAGACCAGAACAGAGAGCATAGTTTCCGTCATGGACTCGATTTCTCATTCCAAGAGGGTGCTTCCTTCGACCGAGAAGCCTGATCCCGTCAGAAGGCCCTCGCTGCTGCCGGCCTTCGAGCCCCTGTCGTCGTCCCCCGGAGGTCTCCCTCGGGCATTGAAACGCAAATTCCAAGAAGACGAAGACGACACGCGCAAGTTCTATCCTACTCCCGTACCGACCTCTGCCACCGGTATCCTCTCGTCATCGCCAAATCGACGCGTCCCCGGCCTGCAACGTACCGCGTCTTATTCGTCGCTTTCCGAGAGAGCCCCTCTGGGCACAGTACCCAGTGTCAAGCTACCTTCCAATGGCGACCCTCTCCTCATGGGACGATCAAGCAACTCTTCCGACTACCAGCTGTCAGCCAACCGTCTGATTTCACGCGTTCACGTCAAAGCCACGTACAATGCACCCGACGGTCCGCGTCTTCTTGGCGAGATGGTCGTCCAGTGTCTAGGATGGAACGGAGCAAAGGTCCACTACCAGGGATCTGTCGTCGAGTTGGCCAAGGGAGAGAGCTTTGTATCACAAAAGCCTGGTTCCCAAGTCATGATCGATGTCCAGGAGACCCGCGTCTTGCTGGCATGGCCCCAGGAAGAGAAGCAGTGTCCCTGGGACATCGAGTCATCCGTCAGCAGAGAAAACAGTGCAGTGCCTGAAAGAATCGCGTCGAGTCCTCCTCCTGTCCTGCCCAGACTCCGCTCACCAGAGTCTCCCTCGCCCAACCAACACGACAGCGTCAACGACACCTTCTCCGAGACTTTCATCGCCGATCCCTTTGATCTTCCTAGCAGCCCAGCTCCTGTCCACGTCTACGAAGACAATGAGCAGGCCGAGGATGATGATCTGCCTGCCTCGTCGACCCCGGTGCCTGTAACCAGGCTTTCCCCCGAACCTGTCGACCGCTCAACACCTACTCCTACTAAAAACAGTGTACAGCAGTCCACGACCACCAACCCTTCCGACGCGCCTGAGGAAGTGCTCGAGAACGATGAAGAGAATGATCCCATCGTCCACTCGTTTGGCCCGTATGGCGACAATCTCCTCTCACGCTTCGAGTCCTTCAAGTCGACCTGCAAAGAGGAGGAACGTCCACGTGTTCCCCTCAAGATCAGCCTCAAGTCTGTCAATCAATTACGCGCTGATACTCAATCGGTCCAGACCAGCCGTAACCTCTCGCCTGTCAAAAATCACATCATCAACCAGTTGGCCTTCACACGCATCCACTCGCTGCCCATCTCAGCCATCTACAACAACCTTCCAGCAGAGATGAAGGGTGGTCGTAGCTTCGGCGAGAAGGCTCTGTCTTCGGAAGAACTCAAGGACCTTATGGACAGAATCCCTTGTGTCGGCGAGATTGCTCGCTCGGGTAAAGACGCCGCTGGCAAGGCTCTGGAAGATGAGTTCTACTATGTCCCTGAGATGGACACTGATGAGCACCGACGCGCCGCTGTGAGCATCGCCAAACCTCCTCTTAGATCCACTCGCAAACAACACAAGGTAAGTGCTTCCTCTATCCATCCTCTATTGCATGTCCTGACCGTTCTTCCCAGNCAATACTATTGGAAGAAGCCTCGTGTCTGAACTTGTGTTAATAATTCATCTCTTTCTTGCTCTGAGCTTTGCTGACACGCAACGTTCTATTTGCCCTGTTCTGTTTTTTGCTTCTCAGCGATACCAAACTTCCACTACGCAGAGCGTCGCCTGCTGTTGCTAAGCAAAGTACACGCTCAAGTGTGTCTTGCTACACCATTGCTCTTTTTCCTTTTTCTTCTATTGACGGGGTCTCCGATTAAAGTGAAGGGATGGGAATAGGACATTACTAACGATTGAAAAGAAGGAGGATATGGGTGTTTTCTGTGTCGTGCTGTGTCTTTGCCCCTGTTTTCTCGCGATACTCTCTTTTTCTGGCGAAACAACATGTAGTGTAGAACTAGCGACTCGGGCGAAATGTTTTTCAGGAAATGTGAAACTCACTTTGTTCAATCATGTCATCTCTCGTGTGATCTTAGTTTTGCCTTTCCTCCTAGCATAAGATGTTCATAGTTAAACTAACGATTGAACATGGCATTAACAAGTATCAACACACTCCTTTGGAAGGGGGTGACCCTGATCTAGATGAGGAAAGATATTACTCGCCTCCTCTCTTTCTGACCAGAGATCATTGCTTTCTAGAGGGAGGTCAGACAGACAGCCTGTGCTGTTTCGGAGGAGTATAGTGTCTAACGATGGAGCAATCCGGATAGCGCTGCGGAAGGGATAAATTTTACATCTTAGGGAAGGGATGTCGAGTAAAGTTGTGATGTACATGCATTTCTTCTCATGATATCCTCAGTGTAGGTTAATGAAGTAATCTGTATCGACACCTTAGCAGCCAATCTAGCGAACCTGCCAGGTCTACTATAGATGTTCGTAGACAGTTGTCAATGACTTTTCTACAAGAGGGTGGATATGCTTAAATAAATATAGACAGGGTCACCCAACGACGTTGGCATGTGATGAGTTAGAAAAGGACAAAAATCAAAGCTCATGTTAGGGATGTATAGTCGTTACGTTTTGCTACACTGTGAACTAGTATGTATGCGTCTTGTGATCAGCTGGCCTACCGAGTCCATTTCTGATCTTGTCCTCTTTGTCAACGACTTTCAGGGGCAGTCCAATGCCTACGCCAGTAAACACGAAGATGGCCCACTTCCATCGAAACGGATTGATGCTCACGCACTACAACTTTTAGTTAGCATTCTGGAATCATCTTGGACGAGGGTTCAAGAAAGTTGGTAAGCAACTTACAAAGAAGAACCACCACAACAGTTCACTGTAGGTGAAGAAGTCGAATGCGCCGGTAGGAGCCCGAGCTTTGAGCCATCGTGTCATGTCGACCCAGAATTGCATCCAGTAGGTCGATGGTCGGGTGAGTGGATCAAGGAGGAACATGAGCAGGATACGAGTGTAAATGCCAATGTGGAAGTTTCCAACCGTACCAATTCCACCGACGTATGTGCAATTGTTGGCACAGATGGATTTGTGTTGAGGAGGGAAGGTTTGGAGATANNCCTGTTGTTATAAAGTCAGTGGGAGTTCGGTTTTGCTACACACGATGAAGGGATAAAGAGAGACGTACCAATTGGGAGCAGAGTAGGGCTCAGTAAAACACTCTTCGGGCAAGAAGCTCAAGCTAGGACGCTTGTACCCTGTTGCCATGATGATGACTTCACCTTCCTCTACCTTCTCGTAACCAGGGCCGTTCTTGGGTACACCTTGTTGACGGCGATTGAATCTGATGCCATTCTCTTCTATTTCCAGGATGTCGCCACGTAGCCAGGAAGCAGTCCCGGATCGAATCTGCTCCAAGACATCGTTGTTGACCATAGGCGTCTCCTCGAACAGACCAGCCGAACCAGGTGGAGGTGAAATGTCTGCCAGATCACGGTAGAAGAACTTTCTTAGAAGTTTCTCCGGGATCCACGAGAAGATGGTCTCTTGTCCGAAGATGTTGAAAGAGAGAAGCATGTCTATCACAGGGTTGCGAGGGATAATCCACTTCTCAGATCTCGAGAGGATCTTCACTTTCTTGACCTTTTGTTTGGTGGTGAACTCCATGGCCTCAATGGCACTGGCGCCGCCACCGATGATGAGGACGGTCTTGCCTTCGACGTCTTTTCCATCGAGTTCGCTAGAATGGTATATTTCTCCTCTGAACTTGTCCTGGCCGGGCATAGAAGGCATCTTGGGATCACCACAACTGCCAATTGCGGCAATGATGCCATCAAACTTCTCGTTCGAATTGCCGTTTATGATCCATCGACCCTTGTCGTCTTCCTTGACCGACTCGACCTTGTGGTCGAATGTAGTCTTTTCTTCGAGGTTGTACGTCTTCCAGACCTTTTCAACTTGATCAACGATTTCTTTGCGATTCGGATACCCTTTGCTCCAGAAGACCGTGGGGAAGAAGCGATACATGACNNCTGAAAGGCGTTAGCCGAGTTCTGACGACTTGCTTGGTATTGTAAATTTTTTTACAGAATGAATCTGGAGTCCACTGGTATTGTTTACTTTTGCCCAGATGCCTCCCAGATGTTCGCGAGGGCCTGCCTCGAAAATGTGAACATCAAAACCATTGCCGACACAGTGGGCAGCGGCGGAGACACCTGTGAGTCCAGCTCCTACAATAGCGATACGAGGTCTTTGCAACTTCTTCCCGGGAGGAGGAGGGTCTGGCGAAAGGATCTTTGCAAGCACCAATTGGTAGATACGAAAGCATATGATAACGAACTTGTTGAAGGCGGCGGCCGCCGTATCGATCGGACCAGCCATGAGAATAGATATCGCTCGACAAAACGACAAGACGATTGATGTACTAGGTAGAAGTGGAAGAATGGGATTGTATGTTTTGTTGAGGAACACGAATGTCGACTATCACATGCAAAAAGATGTGCTGGTTGACGTCATTGGAACACACGTGGGACACTCCCTTGGTCCTCTCCTTTCTCAGGCCTTAACGTTGATCAGGTTTGAAATTTGTCTTCAAGACGAGTGGTATAGCTTAGAGGCACTTGTGGTTATAGTGGTGTGGTGCAGATGCACCTATATGTGGACCGCACAGGGGCAGTATCACCCTCCAAGGCTACAGCTGTGGAAGGCACAATCGTTTTGCCAGCTCCCAGGCGCATCTTCTGATTTTTCCAAGCTTCAAAACAGACACAAACAGTGGCAGTGTCATGGTTGGTAGCTGGAAGCGTGTTTAATTTTGGGCGACGCATCGCAACACGAAATTGAATCAACCTCAGCTGTTCCTTCCTTGCTTGTGGCAGTCAAGCTTCATGGTCAAGCTTCACATCAGGTTCCAGGCAAGCTTCGTGGCACCATTCATGACTTTTTGAAAGAACAGCACAAGACCGAAGAGATCATTGTGTAGCATGTGTATGTCCTAACATACCACATGATATCCATAGTCGTCTTTTTGTCAAGCGTTTGACTTGGCAAAATTCGCTGGTGACATGTCGTGCCGACAAACTCGAACGGAAATCCTCCGAAGACAAGCTCTCACCATCCTTCTTCCCGTCGGGATTCATGGACTAACATACTACATGTATCCAGTGTCCGAGATTGCCTGGGTACAGCCGGACAAAGAATTGACAGCCTTGCAGCTAGTCCTCGCAAGCTTCTCTGATTTGCTCTCAAGATTGGTGTTAGTCGAAGTGCCGCCCACACTCTACGCCCGCAGCGGAATCCTTCGATATTACCAGGTAGTTGTCAGACAATCGCTGTTCTTGAGCCTTGTAGGAATGCATACGCCTGTGTATGCATGACGGTCAAGATCTTACACTCATCAGCCACAATCCTCTAATCTCAACCCAATCTTGTCACTTGCTCCGTCCACGGGCTAGCTGCTCCTCCCGATGCCTGAATGCGCATACTGGGCCAAATGAACACTATCTCTCTTCTTTGTACTTTCAGTCCTGTATGCTTTTTCCATCAACGCCAGTCAAGGCCTGACCTGTAGACACCATGTAAGCACGACCAGACACCCGGGCTCGACGTCCATTCATTCCGAAACCTTTCCCTGCAATTTTGCGAACGATCGATTATAATGAGCGACTAGACTGGCTGCCCATCGGAAGGATGTTGAGTCGTAGCATGCGAGAAGAGCTTTTGATGGCTGTCACTGCCAGCGAGGACACAAGGCTGAGCACCCTATCAACCACTAGGATCTGCTGGAACAGTAGGACAATACTGGTGACTCTTGTATTTACCCGTGTATAGTCTTCGAAGGGTCGAGTACAAGTTCCATCGAGAAAAGGATGCTACTATTCCTAGGAGGGTACCTCGAGGCGTGTGTTAGCATGAGGCACCGGTACAACCAATCCCCTTCACACAGACTGGCATCACTATATTCTGAGCATCCTTCCAAATAACGCCTCTATAAGATGGACCTAGTCACCTCTTTAGAGCCCACCACCTTATACACCATCGACCGGGTTTATCATCTTATCGCATCATGATGTTTGAGAAGCTCAAGTCTCGGGTCTCAACAACGTCCACGTTGACAACTACTGCCTCCGACAGTCATCGAGATGCCGAGAAAGGAATTGATGATCCTCATGAATGGAAACCGAGCAAGCAGGTCAAGATCGTCGTAACTGTTCAGGCCTTTGTATGCTTTGTTGTAGCTTTAGACTCGACGATACTGACCACCACCCTACCTGCAAGTCTTCAACCATTATGTGAACATAAGAGGACATAGGCTAACGACCAAAGATANCTCTCCAAAGCTTTACACACGAACACTACTCAGGCCTTCTGGATAGCGACCTCTTACCTCTTGACCTCAGCAATCTTCCAACCACCCATTGCAGCCTTGTCAGACATATTTGGTCGTCAAGCGATCTTTCTCCTCGCAATTGCGCTCTTCACTATCGGCTCCATCATCTGCTGCGTATCCCATAGCATAGTCAGTATGCTTATCGGAAGATCTATACAAGGCATCGGTGGTGGTGGCATCCTCTCAGCCAATCTTATCATCCTCAGCGACATCATTCCCCTCCGCCAAAGAGCCCAATACCAAGGCTATTTGCAGCTTGTGTTCGCTCTTGGAAGCAATGTTGCACCCGTCATTGGTGGAGTCATCGTCGAAAGGAGTACCTGGAGATGGCTATTCTACATCAACATTCCTTTCTGTGTAATTTCTCTGGCTGCAGTGCCATTCGCCATATGATACTCGAGACCGAAGACGGCTACCAAGAATCAGTTGCTCTCCATCGATTGAGTTGGGATCTTTCTCAGCATTGCCAGTACTACTTCATTCTTGATCGGTATCAGCTGGGGTGGCACAGAATACTCCTGGTCTTCTGCTACAACACTCTGCCCTCTGGTCCTCGGACTTGTAGGTATTGTTTGTACTATCGTCTACGAGATGAAGTATGCCTCAACACCGTTCCTTCGAATGTCGATCTTTCGCAATCGATCGGCCATCGCGGCGTACATTTGCACGGTATTCATGGGCTTCAGCATCTACGCCACTCTATACTATCTCGTTCTGTGGCTCCTCGCGGTCAAGGAGATGTCAGAAATCATGGCGGGGATATGCACACTTCCTCTCGGATTGACCGTGGTACCAATCAGTGGCATTACCGGCGGCGTCATCACACGCACAGGCACTTATCAGTGGGCCATCTGGTCTGGCTGGGTGCTCGCTACCCTCGACATTGGCGTCCTGGTCCAGCTTCATCCTACCATATCAACTGTAGCCTATGTCTTCATGTTCATCTGTGCTGGCATAGTATTGGGGCTACTGATGAACTCACTCAGCGCCGCAGTGCAAGCCATCTCACCAACAAAAGACATTGCATACGAAGCTTCCATGTTTGCATTCATGAGGAGTCTTGGCCTGTATCTTGGTGTCACACTATCTCTCTTCTTTGTACTTTCAGTCCTGTATGCTTTTTCCATCAACGCCAGTCAAGGCCTGACCTGTAGACACCATGTAAGCACGACCAGACACCCGGGCTCGACGTCCATTCATTCCGAAACCTTTCCCTGCAATTTTGCGAACGATCGATTATAATGAGCGACTAGACTGGCTGCCCATATCTCATGCAATACGTGTTGCTTGGCTCATTTGCTTTCACTCTTGAGTCGTAAGATCTCGACGAGAAGCCTGTCACGTTCTGCTTCCAGAGCCTGAACGTCTTTACCCTCGAGCTCTTTACCAACACTAGCGCTTAATGCATCAAGGCTTTCGTTGTTAAAGACAAAGGCATGCTCTCGCATATCCGCAAGCCACGTCTCGGTGGCAGGACCTAAGTGTTCTAGCAGATGTCTGAAACCATCAGTGCCGCCACCACCTCCCATGGCGTTTGACATCAAAGGTCCCGTCAACGCATATCGAGGACCCAGACTGTTGGTAACGCAAGCATNCTGCATCGTTGTCAGGATTTCACATCAAGCAAATGCTTTCAGGCAATACTGACCAAGATCTTCTGCAGAAAGTATACCTCGGCTGACCAATGAGTATGCTTCACTGCACAGAGCAGCCTGGAGTCGATTTGCTGCAAATCCGGGCACTTCTTTCTTGATAACAACAGGTCTTTTGTTCAGGGACTTGTAAAACTCCACAGCAGTATCGACACTCGCTTTGTCGGTTTCAGGATGGGGAACCACTTCAACAAGAGGCATCAAGTGTGGTGGATTGAACGGGTGTCCGATAAGGATCCTGCCGGGATTCCTCGTGCAATCCGAAATGAATCTCGAACTCGGTAGTCCGGAAGATGAAGAAGCGATTACAACATCAGACCGTGTAGCAGCATCAATCTCAGCCAGTAGCTTTGTCTTGATCTCCAACTTCTCAGGTGCATTCTAGCACTATATGTCAGTCCAGTTGCAAGGCTAAGATATCAAAAGAGTCGGACTTACCTCTTGAACAAAATCGACCTTGGAGTAATGGTCCTTGAGACTAGCGCCGACGAATTGGTAATTGCCGAGCGAAGCACAAGGCGCGAGGCCAACCTTCTTTAGATCAGGCCAGATAGTCTGAAGATACTTGTCGAGTTTCTTTCCAGAGCCTGAGGCTGGATCAGAAACAACGACACGTAGACCTCTTGCGAGGAAGAGACCAGTCCATGAAGCTCCAATGACACCAGTTCCGACAATGCCGACGGTCTTGATCATAGACATGACTGATGATGCTGTTTCTTATGTATAGTACCTGTGATTTCAACACGCAGTAAACAAGACAGGATTCTTCACTCGTGCTCGTTGGTGCTTGTGAGATAAACGATGACCATACGAAGGCTGATATCCGAGGCACGTTGGCGAGAGATCAGGAGCCTTGATGATCCTCGAGTCAACCGAGGCTGCTCATCACCATGCGAAGCCAACGCCTATTCTCGCACGCAAAGAGGTTCCCATGGTAGATTTGAGCCTTATGGTATACCTCTACCCGTCGACCCTGTTGCACTGAAGGTACCAAAGTCGCATAATGTGGGCACACATATGTTCGATGATAGGTGCTACTCGACTGTTCTCTAAGCTAGCCGAAACGTTCGTTACCAAGCTTGGTCAGCAACTCTAACTCATGCCCAGTATACTTCCAACGTCTTCCTCTTCCTTGGTAATCTGATCCTTCGCAAAGCTGTCGTGTTGCTCCGTCCCATAACTCATGCCGAATTGACTTTGGATTGTTTTGTAAGCTTAAGGATGTATTTGTGCATAGCTCGAGCACAGAAAAGAGCGACGCGAGTCCGGTCCTTCTTGTGCCTCAGGTCAGCAATCTTGGGATGGCACAATGTTCCTCCGCAGCTCCTTCTGTGTCTGCCAACACCGCATGGGGAGGGGTTTAATCTATGCATGTAAGATGCCATGGAAGGTAGGTCTATATAAACCACCACATCTCATGGATGGTGGATATCTCTTCAACACATCAATCCTCACATCTTCTATCGCCAACAGCTCGCAAGGCTTTTACTTTACACATCTCAAGAACACTCTTCACAGCTTCAATCACAATGTCCTCCAAGTTGATCACTGTATTCGGCGCCACTGGCAACCAAGGTGGCTCTGTCATCAAGCACATCCTCGCTGATGCCAAACTCTCTTCCGAGTTCAAGATCCGCGGCATCACTCGCGATGTCAACAAGCCCGCTGCCAAAGCACTTACAGAACAAGGAGTCGAGGTGGTGACCGTAAGTAGCCTTGTCCTCTCCAAAAATACAACCCAACTAAGTTTAACAACAAGNGCCGACATGAATGACAAAGCTTCAGTCGCAAAAGCCATCAAAGACTCCCACACCGTCTTCCTTGTTACCAACTACTGGGAATCTGCAAACCCAGATGTCGAACGCAGCCAAGGCATCAATGTCGCCGACACCGCAAAAGAACAAAACATCAAACACCTCATCTTTTCCTCCTTGATCAACGTTTCGGAAGCCACTAACGGAAAACTCGACTTGATGAAACACTTCGACTCCAAAGCCGACATTGAAAAGCACATCCGTAGCACTGGTGTGCCATCGACNTTTGTGCTTCCCGGCTACTTCATGGCAAACTTTGCAAACATGTTCAACAAAGGCGAAGACGGCGTCTACAATTTCGCCCTCCCCGTCAGCGATACAGCCAAATTCCCTCTTTTCGATGTGGCACAAGATACCGGTAACTTTGTCAAGGCCATCCTCAAGAATGCCGACAAGTTGAACGGCAAGCAAGTGCTCGCTGCCACCGCTTACTACACCCCCAAGCAAATCGTTGCAGACTTTGAAGATGCCACTGGTGATAAGATGAGATTTATCCAGATCACGGGTGATCAGTTCAAGTCTTATTTGCCTGAATTCATGGCAGAGGAGATGCTTCAGAATCATATTCTGCTTGATACCACTGGTTACTATGCTGGTACCAGTTTGGACGAGAGTCTGAGCTTGCTTGAGGAGAAGCCTGTTACTTGGAAAGAGTTTGTCAAGAAGAGTGGGATTTGGTGAAGACTGTGATATGTCAGGAGGAAGGGTACCTAATTAATGTGGGGAGGTCTTATCTAGCTAGCAGAAATGACGACTTAATTTACCATCTTGATTTTACGACAGAGCCTGTAGCGCCTGGCATATTAGTAATAGTGAATACATGTCTGATCATGTTGTCCTCCTTTCATGAACGACCGTCTCAAACCTTCACGCAACAGAGTCTTGTTTGGAAAGGCATGAACGAGGACAGCTTAGATCCTGAATTCTGGAGGATGATATGATTGGGGGTTCGTGAGATTTGTTACGCGAGGGTATTGCTCTACATGAGCTGTTTTGAATAACGATAATTGAGCCCAACTCAGGTGGGCGTCGAGAGAAGATCGGTCGATACGCTTCGAAAGAAGTCAAAAGGGGTATTTATACATTAAACTGGAGAAAGAAAAGGCCAGTTTGTCGTGACTTTTGTAGGCGGAAGAGTCCTCGTGGTGGAGCACTGCTTGAGGATAGTCTACCTCCTGAGCTGCTCGCCGAGGTACCCGAGCACCTTGGGGCTGATAATGCCTTGGTTGACGAGATGCTTGCTCAATCCCTTGACGACTTCCATCTGTTGTTCGGGGGTAAGGCCAGTAATGGCAGTCTCGATGACACTGCCAACAGAAGCTTTGTAGACAGCGATGAAACTNNGGATTCGGTCAGTTCTGAAGACAAGGTTTGGACGAAGCAGATCTTCTCACCTCTGGTAGTACATGTAGGCGAAGAAGCCCATGATGAATTGACAGTCCATACGGTCAGTCATACCACCGTGTCCAGGGATCGAATCACCAAAGTCCTTGATGTTGAAGGTACGCTTGAGACCAGATGCGAAGAAGCCACCGAAGGGAGCAATCAGAGAAGCAAAGGTAGCGAAGATCATAATGTGGAACTGAACAGGGGCCACGGTAATGGTGGTAGGCAGGTGGGTCCAGTTGGGGGNGATGAAAGGAAGCTGGTAAGTGTGAGACAGGAAGACGGGGTTGGGGTCGCATTCGAGGCCAGTAAAGATATTGGCACCGAGGTTGTTGACGGGGCAGATGAAGTACTTGGAGCGCATCAAGATGTTGGAAAGGCCGAATGCGAAGATGATGGTAAAGATCCAGGCGCCAACGAAACCTTCGACAGTCTTCTTGGGACTAATCTTGATGAGCTGAGTACGGCCAAAGGTGATACCACAGATGTAGGCGAAAATGTCGTTGGTGATGACCAGAGCAGCGGGGAGGAAGAACCAGATCATGCCCTCGAAAATGTTGTTCATGATGAAGTGAGCTTGGACGACAATCAAGTAGAGAGCCATGTGGGTCCAGGCAAACTGCTGGAACTGGAACTTGTAGTGGCCCTTTTCGAGGGAGACGACGAAGAAGACAAAGCCCATGACGTAGAGCATGAAGCTGATGAAGCGGTGGTGGGTAGCAAAGGGCAGGAGGACCTTGTCGACCAGGATGATGTGCTTGAAGTAGTAGATGACACTTTCGCCGTAGAGGAAGTACATTGTTGAGCCAAGGAAATACCAGTTGAGCGTCTTTGTGAAGCGTAGCTTGCGGGCTCTGCTGGGGACGTTGGAGATGGCAATGACCTCCTTGAAGGAGATGATCTGGATGGCGGTGACGATGATGATGATGTAGATGTGGCCGGCGAACATTGAGACGAAGAAGAAGATGATCATGACAAGAGTCCAGATGGTTCTGGTGATGAAAGTCTGCTTCTTCTTTTCGTAATCGCTTTGCGGCGCGGGCTCCTGGGNGCTGCAAGGGGACATGTTAGCTATCAAGATGTCGAGAGCAGAACGGCATTGGCTCGCCTTGTCGTCGTCGGTCCAGGCACCGTCGTAGGACATGTTGCGGCTTACTTCTGGCTTGGTGACCTGTCCGTTCCGGGTCGGGCTTGATGCATCGTGGGCATCTTGGCTGTCGTTGGAGGATCTGCTGGGTCTTCTTGCTTCCTTGTGCTGGAACTTGACGTCCTTCTTCGGCTTCGTCATGGTGGACGGATGGTCGCAGTTGGCGACTGGGATTCGAGTGACGGAAGCTTGCGGCAGCCGAAACGAGATTTCCAAGGAGGCTGATGGGTTGGTCGGAGGGGAACCAGGTGTTTGTCAGGAAGACCTTGTCGCGTAGATATAAGACGGCAGACGGATACTGAGGGCGATCAGACAAGCATCCGGGAGAAAGAAACGGAGCGCTTGGATTGTCGGAGAACAAAAAGGTTGGCAGGGCCGGGCAGGAGCGACTTGGAAGCCGGGCAGGCACGAACGACCAAGTTCGACATGACGCCGAAGCAGCCACCAGCCACCAGCCACCAGCCACCAGCCTTGGCGGCATGTGAAGGTCCCGACTCCCAAGAGCGCTTCTACCGATCACACAAACATGGCTGTCGACGACACGCGCTCTCATGGCTGCTCTGGACCATGACCTGGACTTTGACGACAGCGCTCTTGAACAACTGCCGCAATCGACGCTGCAGCATCTCGAGCTGAACGCCATCTCGTCGACCCAGCGCGAAGTCGCCGCCCGCAGGCAACGGCAATACCAACAGACGACCAAGCCTCTTCGCTTGACACGTCCGAGTCTACCGCCCGTCACTGCTCCTCAACCAGCTGCCACCTCTTTCAATGCCCCAAAATCGCCAGAGTCCGACTATGGTCTGGACGACAATGACGACGAGGAAGTCCTCGACTTGAACGCCGACACGACCATCTACCAGCCCACCCTGCACCAGGACTATGCCCAATCTACGAACAATAATACTTTCTACCAAAATACAGACCCCACAGTGACATATGACGTTCCACCCAACCATGAACAGCTCAATGACTCCAATACCACCCATCAGCCCACCGACACGACAGCCATTGATTCCCACATAAAAAAGGTGCGCGTTGAAGTGTCTCCTTAAGTTTCCCTTCTGACATGACTTCTTCAGCTCGAGGCCGAATTGAACGCCGTCCGATTGTCCCTGCAAAACGCAAAGGCCGAGAACCAGAAACAGGCCGGAGAACTGTCTATAATCCGCTCCAAGCGTGACAAAGATGCCAAAGAACACGAACTTCAGTTGCAGGCTCTCAACAAGTCGCGCGCTGATGATGCTGTAAAGCAAAAGGCCGATTTGGATGCGAAGAAAAAAGAGATTGAAGCCTATGAAACAAACAACCGTTTCTTAGAACACGATCTAGCCCAGGCACGGCATGAAAGGGCAAAGAGGCTCAAGCCCACCAGGACAAACACCGGTAGGCTCACGCGCCAGCCCTCTCAGTCCTTGCCTTATCGTGATGGCTTTGACGACAATGAGATCGTCAATCTATCTCCTTCCAAGCCAAAGGATAGATCCAAATCTTCCACCCCCAAGGTAGGCGAGAAGCGGAAGAGGAATGCTGTTGCCAGTCCTGCTCCTCATCTGCAACTCAATCCTCAGCCCTCTCTATCTTCTTCGCCGGCTGCAAATGCCGCTGAATCAACGCCTGTAGTCGAGGAGTTGGTTCAACCGCAAGATGATTCACAATTTCAGGTAGGTCTTGTCCGAGTCCCAGTTTCAGCTCATGAAGCTGACTGAGTATAGATGATTCGCCGTCTCATGAACCATCGTCCATCCAATTCTCAAGAACGAGTTTTAGAAACACTAAGTCGACTTGCTTTTCCGTCTATGCCGGGACAATCCATTTCTGGTCTCATAACCGAAGGCTTGTCCCAATTCGTTGCGGTGGATGTTAATGACGATTTTTCTGTCTTTGCTTGTAATCTTCTTTCGGACCTGTGGGAAAGGTGCTTACATGACAAGATGTATACACCGGTCCACTTGATTCTGGACCTCTACGAGTTCATATTGGCCATGTCTTCCGAGCCTCCAAGAATATCGCTCATCGAGCGCTTCCTCCCGCTGGCAACCAAGACGGTCGATCTGGTTGCGTTGCCGCGTGTACGCCTTCATTCGGGCGCCCATGTAGATCCACATCTACTCGAATGCATCGACGTGGATCAGATCCTCACCCTGATGCACGGCATGGCATTCGATGCCGGTCTCAACGCCGAATCATGCCAAGTGTTTTGGAAAAAGATGGAGTTTGACTTCACTTTGATGATGCTCAACAAAAGTCAACCACTCCCACAGATCATGCTAGTTCTCCAGATGCTAGGCAGCTCCGCTATGCCGGAGTCATTCAGCATCATAGTGGATGATCCAGAAAAGCAGTCTACTTTGGAAGGTCATACCATCGACCGGCTTACGACTCTACTTTTCGAAAGGCCAGAAGCCCCAGTAGGAGAGCCACCGTATGAGGACCACGAAGTCGCCGTCCTGCAAATCGAGACCGTAAGAGTCTTGAACTCACTGGCTGTCACAAAGCACGGAAGCGAAGTGCTCGCTCGACACCGTACAGCCGTTGGTCGACTCGTTCGACTGTTGCATGTGTCTGTCACCAAGCTTTATGATCTTCCTCCTACGACACAGGATCTTCTTGGTGAGACGACCCAGTCAGGCAGCTCCAGCACAACTCATGAGCTCACAACGAGTTTGATCAATCTGACGGTTCGTCTGTTGTACCATCTGCTCATGAATTATACCGACATGATCAATCTGCGCGAGAAGCTTATGGTGATACCTGGTGGACATCACAAGTTTCTGGTATCCTTGACCAGACTTGCATTTTCGGAGCAATTGGCGTACGAAGCCGGCCTTGACAACGAGGCTCTTGACGCTGCGCATGAAATATTGGATGGAATTCTGAGCCCTGAGGAAGGAGAAGCGGTCGTGCAAGCCATTGAGACACCTAGAGGGCCAAATGGCACGAGGATGTCGACTATTAGTTGAGCGATTGCAGTCTGATCTTGTGACTAGACTTGGATAGATACAAGAGTACAAATAACGAATCATGACAAGGACAAGGCATCGATGGATAGAAGTACATCCGGTTGAAATGAATTGCACTGAAGCACGTGACGCGCGGGGGAGCCCTGACGTTTTTGGGAAAGTTGAGAGTCACAAGCAAAACCGAC